GTACACCCCTCCCAACCCCCATTCCCCACACCTCCTTCCCCGCCTGCCCCCTGCCCTCCCCGCAGACGCTGCGCTACCTGCTGTCCAACCTGCGCTTCTGGATCCAGGAATTCCGCTTCGATGGATTCCGGTGGGGGCGGCCTGAGGGGCACTCTGCCGGCGGGCGCCGTACGCTTCCGCGTCTGCATCGACATGCACCCACCTCCGCCAAGCGCGCGCACACCCGCCCATGCTAACCCATGAACCGACATAACCTCTTCCCCCACCTCCCCCTCCCCTCCCCTCTCCTCACTAACCCCTCCTCCCTTACCCCGCCACTTTCCCCCGCCCCCACAGGTTCGACGGTGTGACCTCCATGCTCTACCACCACCACGGCATCCACACCTCCTTCTCCGGGGCGTACGGCGAGTACTTTGGTCTCCGCAGCGATGTGGATGCGGCGGTGTACCTGATGCTTGCCAACAACCTGCTGCACGGGGGGGAGGTGCCGGGGCCGCAGGTGGGGGGGAGGGGAGGGGAGCGGAGGGGAGGGGGGAGGGGAGGGGGAAGGAGAGGTGTGAGGTGTGCGGGGGGGGGGCTGGCTGCTGCCACCATCAGCACCGCCACCTGCGGCGCCTCCAGTGGGCGCCAGAATCTCAAACCTCTAAGGGGCCTGAATCACACGGCGCACTGGCCTTCACTGGTTTCTCGTACCACCCCCTCTCCCCACCCGCTCCCACACACCCCCACACCCCCATCCCCAGGCCATCACCATAGCCGAGGACGTGTCGGGCATGCCCGGCCTGTGTCGCCCCGTGTCTGAGGGCGGGTTGGGGTTCGACGCGCGTCTCGCCATGTCAGTTCCCGACAAGTGGATCCAGCTGCTGAAACACAGCCGGGACGAGCAATGGAGGATGGGGGACTTGGTGGGGCTGGGGGGGGGCGGGGACGTTTTAAACATTCAGAGACACTGACGAGGCAACTAACGAGCCGGGGAGGGGTGCAGAGTGACAGGGAGGGTACCGACCTCGCGGGGCTCGCAGCACGGTTATTTTGTAACGAAGCGACACTGCTACCAAGAAGTCGGACCCAGCCGCCCCACCAGCAACCCACCCTCTTCTCCTACTTCCCCCTCCCTCCACCCCCCTCTAAAGGTATCCTCCCTGTGCAACCGGCGCTACAGCGAGTGCAGCATCGCCTATGCGGAGAGCCACGACCAGGTGAGGAACGAAGGGGGGTGGGGGCGCGGGCATGGGGGGGCCGGGCGGGGCCCGCGAGGGGAGGGAGAAGGGCAGGGGGAGGCAGGAAGGGGACGGGAAGGGGGGGAGGGGCAGATGTACTGTGGCGTTGCGGCGTTACCCCAGGACCGCGGCAGGGCGGTTAACCAGGCTGAGCCGCGGTGAGCCACAGGAGGTTGTGGTGGGTGGGTGCCTGCAGACGAGCCCTAGGTGAGGGCAGGGAGGGCTGGCAGCGAGTACGTGAGAGTGCGTCACCAGCCCAACAACCCCATGTGTGTTAAGGAAAACTGGCCTCATGTGTGTGTGTTTGTGTGTGTGTTTGTGTGTGTATGCAACCCAGCTGCGGCCGCCTGCTCCCCTCCCCCCCCGGTAGGGAATACTAACCAACACTCTATTGAGGCACCCTGCCGCCTCCTATTCCGATCGCTGTGCCCTAACCTATGGTTTCCTATGGTATGGTATGGTCTTTGACCCCCCCTCAGCACTGCTCCCGCCCCTCCCTCCTGGATCACTGCTCCAGAGCCCCACCCCCACACCCGCCCTTCCCCGCTAGCTGCAACCTACTCCCTCCTTGCCCCCAAACCCCCCTCCCCCCCTCTCCTCCTCCCCTCTTCCCCCCCTCTCCCCCCATCACCATAAGGCCCTTGTGGGCGACCAGACGCTGGCCTTCCGGCTGATGGGTCCGGAGATGTACGGCGGCATGAGCGCCCTGAGGGAGGCGAATGCGGCGGTGGAGCGCGGGGTGGCGCTGCACAAGGTGGGGCGGGAAGATGATGATGATACATGCGTGACTGCGGCGGGGGTATGTGTGTGTTTGGGGGGTGGGGAATTGAGGGTGAGCATGCTGGTGACGTAGCGGCGAGGAGAACAGCCTGTACAGAGGTTAGGAAACGCAGAGCGCCAGCCGTCAATCTCCAGCGGCCCCTCCGCTTGCCCGCCTCCCCGTACGTGTGTGAAGTCATCAGACCGCAAACCGACACGGACCATGGACACCTCTTGTGTCTGGCAGGCTTGGCTCCCATGCACACCGCCAGTACAGTCACGTGGCGCATGCTTGCTTCCACCCCGCCCCGCCCTGCCGCCTCATTCCCCCATTCTTTCGCCCTAATGTGTGGTTTCCTATGATTTGGTCTTTTTCTACCACCACCACCCGCCCTGACCTCCATGCTCCCTGCGCAGATGATCCGGCTGGTCACCTTCGCGCTGGGCGGGGAGGGCTGGCTGAACTTCATGGGTGGGTCCTGGGGGGCAGAAGGCGGGGTCAAAGATAAACCATAACCCGAGATGGAAAGGGCGGTAGATAGGGGTTTGAGGTGTGTGATAGCCACACGCGTGGAAAAAGGGCTCTTGTGGAATTCCCTTGATGCACTGCTCGACACCCCCGCATTCCCAACTCACGCGTTCTCTATTCTCTCCCACCTCCTCCTCCTCCCCCTTCGCCTCATCCTCCCTACCGTCCCCTCTTGCTTCCCCTCCTCCAACCTCCACCCCACCCCAACCCAGGTAACGAGTTCGGCCACCCCGAGTGGATCGACTTCCCGCGCGAGGGTAACGGCTGGAGCCACCACTACTGCCGCCGCCAGTGGTCGCTTGCGGACAGCCCGCACCTGAGGTACAAGTTCCTGCTGGTGAGGGGGGGAGGGGGAGGGAGCTGGGAGGGAGGGATGAGGAGGGGGAGGGAGCTGGGAGGGAGGGATGAGGAGGGGGAGGGAGCTGGGAGGGAGGGATGAGGAGGGGGAGGGAGCTGGGAGGGAGGGATGATGAGGAGGAGGGGGATGTAGAGATGGCCGTTGGTCCCGGGCGCTTGCACTCACCGACACCAAGGGATCGTGTTTTCTCCATCCGCCATTGTCAAGTCTGAACCTCCACCCGCCCACACCGCACCCCCTCAACAGGCCTGGGACGGCGCCATGATGTCCCTGGACGAGCGGTACGGCATCCTGTCCTCCAGCCACCAGTGGGTGACGCACATGGACGAGCAGGAACAGGTGGGGGAGGCGGGGGGCGGGGGTGCGTGTGTGTATTGGAAGGGTGCGTGTGTGTATGGGTTTGTCGGACTCCCAGCCGCTTCCCCACCTCACACCACTTTACCTCGCCACCTCGCGTGTACCGGTAGCCCCCGTCGGACGCCGGGACGCCACCGGAGCATCTTGCCACCTCTTCCTGCTTCTCTCCCTTGGTTTGTGGCACCCTGCCGCCTCCTATCCCCAGTCCTCTACCCTAACCTGTGTGGTTTCCTATGGTTTGGTTCCTCTTCGCCTTTGACCTCCCATCGCATAGATCCTGGTGTTCGAGCGGGGTCCGCTGCTGTTCGTGTTCAACTGGTCCCCCGCGGCCGACCGGGAGGCCTACCGCGTGGCGGTGCCGGCGCCGGGCAAGTGGAGGGTGGCGCTCGACTCGGATGCGCTGGACTTCGGGGGCAAGGGGCGGGTGAGGGGGGGGGAAGGGGGAAGGGAGGGTGAGTGCGGCAGAGAGGCGTCCAGGCGCTAGGGGAGGAGGGCGATGAGGGACCAAGGAACATTAGCGGGAGGCTGTTGAGATACGTGTGTTGTTTGTTCCTAAAGGGATACACCGCGTGTTTTGCCCCCGGCCCGTGCTTTGCGCGGCTACGCTGCTAGATACCCGCTTGCGTGTGATGTGGGACCCGTACGCGACCCGTGGGTCGCAGGTGGGTCACGACGTGGACCACTTCTCCGACCCCATCCCCGCGGGCACCAGCAAGGACCGCCAGCACTCCATCCGGGTGCGGTGGGGGGGCAGGGCGGGGGCATCGGGGCAGAGGGGAGAAAATTATATAAGAAATGCAAACAACTAAAGTCCAGAGGGGAGGGAGAGAGGGGGCATGCGGCAGAAAGCCCCGGCCCTGGAAAGAAACTACGACAGATCTGCGTACGCTTTTCCTGTCTGAGAACAAGCCTCCACCCACTCACCATGCCACACACTCCCTTCCTCCCCTCCCTTCCCCGCCAGGTGCTGTCCCCCGCTCGCACCGCTGTGGTCTACTACAACGAGGACACCCACCCGCGCCACCCGCCTCCGCCTCCTCTGCCTGCAACTGCAACTCCGGATTCGCTGGAACCCTTCCCCGAAGTTACAGCAGCTTCGGGCCAGCCAGCCTCCTCCGCCTCCTCAACCTCCACAACCGCGTCGCATGCGGCGGCGGCAGGGCAGTCGTCCACGGGTGGGGGCGTTGCTGCACAGGAGGATAGCGGCGCCGCCGCCGGACAGCAGGAGGCGGCGCGGGAGTAGCAGAGGAGGCCGTGGAACAGCAAAACCAGGGCTAGCAAGGAGGCGAATAGAGCCGTATTGGGTAGGGACACTACTACAGTAGGGAGGACAGGGTCGGTGCCGCAGGAACGTAGGGCTCTCAGAGCATTGCCTACCGCATCCATCAAGCTGTCCGCTACATGTGTCTGTGTGTCAGACATGTGAGGGCGCGCTCACATGATGTGCTGCACTGTCACCTTCGTACGTATTGAGGCTTCAGGGATTGGCCGCATAGTTTGGGCCTCGGGGAGCTTTCTAGTTGGGTGTACCGGTAGGAAATCGGAATGTGTGTAGGAGTTGAGGCGTGTGCTGGAGGAGCAACAGTGCAGGAAAGCATCGGAGTGCAGCAGGGGTTCGTGTTGTGAACGGCCTAGATACGGTACATGGGCCCTGCTCTTCCAGGCAAGCCCCAGGACTGTGCAGGTTTGCAACCTACCTACATCAACCTTACAAGATCTCATACGCGAGCACAACACACCACGTGTGTACTTTACACGCACAAGTACGCGCGTCAATGGCCAAGCAAGATACATCGAGTATACACTGATAGTGGACAGTTTCGTCACGGTACCGCCATTCAGACCCATGGGTCACTCAACCCACCAAGACGCAATACACACCAAACGACATCACTCCATGGAGGCTTTAAATGCAATACGCGTAAAAACGAAGGACGCATGATAAGTAGGATAGCTGGAACGAGCTGCTCGGGAGAGACAGGTGCCCCCGATATTCTACGGCTTGAAGGTAACCAGTGGCCATGCGGCCAAATAGTTGTGAGTAGCCCCCGACCATCCTTCCTGGTAGCCACCAGCCCCGAACCGCAATTGCCTTCATTCGGACGTACAAAGCAAACATGTTGCCTCAAAGAGTCTGAGAGAAAGGCAAGACACTGCTTTTGGCAATGCGCAAACTAAGCAAGGTAAACGAGGTAAGAAGAAAGGGCAAAGGCACCCTTGCAAGGGGCCGTATACAGCTAGCCTGGACATCGAGGCTACAGCCACAGCCAAAGCTACAACCGTAACCAAGGAACGTGCACGCAAAACAGGAAAACAAATCGTGCACGCAGGTGAGGAACAACATGCACAACAAGTAGCACCGCCAAAGGGAAGGAAGATCACGAGGTACACCAAATGCGCCTGGACAACACACAGGAGAGAAGACGGAAACCTGAGAGATGGCCACACAGCGTGATGATGCAAGAAGAGGCACCTTTCAGTACCCGCCTAACTCAACCAGAAGAAACCAAGAGACTTAGGGGCCGTGGAACTGTACATGCCAACGTTATAAGAGGTATCCACCACGTTCACCACGATTTCAGCATCCAGCAATACAAACGGTAACGGCCATTCATTCATCCAAACTTTAAATAGTAGGAAGGATCGCGTGCACAACCGCAGTCACTACAAAAAAGGTGAAGAACCAAATGCATGCGAAGTCACGAGAAGAGGACCACAGCGATAGTACATTGCGACACAAAGAAATATGCTCTAGTACGTCTGCTACGTCTAGACCTGTGGCTGTCCTCTAAACTCTTTGCTATACACAATCCTTTTTCGCAAGAGCAGCCTCAACCCTGCCTGAACCCTTCCCTAAGATAAATATACATAGCACCTGCCTTGTCCTGCCTACACAACCTTATATCCTGCCTGCCTGCATCCCTACGAATGCCTCAGTTCGTAACCGCGCTGTAGCATGCCCCACGGACGACATCTCCCCACGACCCCCCCTTCCTGCACATGGCTCCCACGAACAGCTGAACTGTTTCAGAGCGGAGGCTTTCCTGCCTACATCCACTCTCACCTGCCGGCTTCCTGCATGCCTCAGCTACTAACCAGCCTGCTTAACTGCCCCCTGGGCCTCCCTCTGCCTGCCTGCATGCTTTCCCTACATACCTGGCTAAGCAACAGAGAAGCACAATGTAACAATATATAATAGCGCAACAAGAGTTGATGCAAGACATGACGCACGCACGTGCCGTAAAAATGTAACCTCTGAACCTCCAAGCCGAAAACGAAGGAAAGCTCCTACTAGAGGGGAGAAAAAGAGATGTAGACAAGAGCTGAGGTAAGCTAACAGCATGCTCCATAACGCACGTCACCACCACCACCACTAAAGACTACCTACAGTAAAGATAAGAAGCTCTCTCTAAAGCCGCAAAGACACACGAGGTGTCTGCGCCTCAAGGTCCTCTGTAATGACTGAGGCGGTGCTAGCATACAAAGACATGTTGACGTAAGGAGATCCCATTGCATGTCAGAGACGGACGGATGGACGCATGCGTGCATGGTACTCAATCCACAAATGAATAGCCTTACGGAACCACCGCACCCACGTACACAATAATACAACCCAAGTAAGCTCGCACTCCCTGCTTATGACGCCGTCGCCGCCGCCTCAACACGCAGCCAGCTGCTCTAGACTGTGTTGGGCGGGCCACACGCCAGCCACGTCTGCGGCTCTGCAACGCACCAGAGCAGCTGCGGGTCTTGCAGTGCGCCGAGCCCCATGGTGAACACGTCCGTCAAGGGCGCCGGCGACGTTGCAAACTCCCTTGCCTCATGGTGTGGCCGCTGGGGTGTCTGCTGGACCTGTTCTTCTTGCTTCAGTAGTTGTTGTTCTTGGTGGTGTTGCTCCTGTTCTTGCTGCCGGCACCCTTCCTGATAGGGTACTGCTGGCAGCAGCTGCTGCTGCTGTTCCGGCTCCTGTTGAGACATGTACGGGTGCTGCGATTCCTGCTGCTGGGTCTGGGGCTGCTGCGGGTGCTGTTGGTGAGGTAGCGGTGCCTGCAGCATCTGTTGGTGGCGGAGCAGTTGCGGGTGGTGCTGCGGCGATGATTGAGACGGATGTGGCTGTTGGTCCGGTTGTTGTGCGTAACCCCACGGATACCTCCACGTGCGTTGCAGCTGCTCCTGTTGCGACGGGTGCTGCTGCATCAAATGGTGCTGCGCAGGTGGATACTGCGACGGGTATTGCACTGCCGGCGGTGGCGGCATGTGCGACGGGAAGGCAAAGGCCGGCTGGTTGGAGGAAGGGTCCATGTACCGGGGTGTGTCCACGCCTTGGGGTAGCACAGGGCTGACCGGCACCATCATGTGGCCGCCCGCCGCCAGAGCGCCCGCATGCACCGCTCGAGCCTGAGCCTCTTGCTGCGGCCCTTGCGGCCCCCACCACTGTTGTTGCTGCTGTTGAGATTGCATGTACTGCGGGTCTATGTTGACCTGCGGCGGAGCGACGGCATCGCTAAGGTAGGATGACGTGCCGTGCGCTGCTTCGTTGCAAACAGCCGACGGCAGGCGACCCGTGGGTCCTGCCGATGCCGCGGCCGGTGGTGGTACTGCGTCGAACATCCCTTGGCGGTGGCCGTTGTTGGTGGCCGCATGCGCGGTGGCGGTGGCCGGCGGAGGGCCCAGATCGCAGAAGGTCGGCGAGGAGAACCTCGCCCGAACGGTGTGGTGAAATCCTCCGGCGGTGCTGTTACAGGAGTTGTGGCGGATGTGGTTCTTGTGGTTGTTGACGCCAGCCGTGCAGCTCCAAGCACCGCTCATGGGATCTGCCGGGGCAGCCAGGAAAGGAAGGAGTGAGACAAAAGGGTCAACAACTCAACATGCATCGAGCTTTAACCCAAACCGTTCCAAGCAAAGCCATGCCTGATAGGTGTTATTGCTTATCCTCATGTCCTACAAGCCCCCTCAGCCCCCTGATTCTCGTACCTGACACGAGCATCGTGGTAGGTGCCACCGCAACTTCTCGTGGTGTGAAGGTGGCGAGTGCTGAGGACGGCTGCTGCTGATGGTAGCCGTGGTGATCCTGCTGTTGTTGCTGCCGGTACGAGAGGTGTCTGCCGTCGGTACCCATGCGAACCGCAACCGCCAAAGCCCCGCTACCCATGTCTCGCATAACATCCAAGATGTCGCCGCCGTGCACCTCGCTCTCGCTGCTTCGTCCGCTGCCACCCGCCTTATCAAGGGCCGCATCACCATCGCCACTACCACCACCCGAAACAGGAGGTAGCAGGTAGCAGCAGTCCACACCCTCGAGGCCAAGCATCTCAAGACTGCTGCTGTTCGAGTCTGCGGGGTCACGGCCAGCCAGCACCATCGGCGCTGCTTCTGCAGCCGCAACGAAAGCGGCAGGCTTGACACCGTGATCTGCCGCCGCTGCTGGGCGAGCTGCCTCCGTCCTGCACTTGGCCGTGTTGCCGCCTCCCGCCTCGTCGTCGCCCTCGTCCTGCAGCAACATCATGACAGAAGGGTCCATCCGGCCAAACCAGTTGGCCGCGCTGTCTACACACAGCACCTGCTGGGGCTGCTGCTGGCCGCTCTGGTGGGAAGACACGGGCAGGCCCGGCTCCGCCTTAATGCGTTTTAGCGGGCTCTCCTTGTGCGGTTGGTGCAACCTTTGCGGTGAACGCTTCATGCAGCGCGATGGAGATGCTTGGTGTTGCGCGGGTGAAGACGGGTGGTGCCGTGTTGACGTCGCGGGTGCTGGGCCACCCGGCGAAGTGCTCGAATGGGGCGGTGTTGGCCTGGGCTCGGTAGGAATCGCGGTGGCGTTGTGGAGAGCAGCGGCGGCAGCAGGCACAGCGGTCGAAACGGGCGTCACAACGGAGCCGAGCCCTGCTGCTGCCGGTCCTGAGTCGGTGGCGATGGCCGCGACAGCAGCAGCGGCAGTGGAGGGAAGTGCGACTGCGATGGCCGGCACTCCGCCGAACGTAGCAGCGCCAGCGGCAGCGGCGGTGGTGCCTGCTGGTAAGGACGGCGCAGAGGGCCAGGAGGTGGAAGTCATTCTCTGAGTGATGACGGCGGCGGCCGTTGTCGGTATTTGCTGCTGCTGGTGTAGGCTGGGATGAGGGTGCCGCATGGGTGGTGGGGGCGCTCCCTTGGTGCTGAGGCCACCCTGGCTCGAGTGCGGGCCCTCGGGTTGCGATGGCAACAGCGACGGCTTGGCGGCAGCAGCGACGGCGGTCGTGGCAGTTGAAGCTCCTGCACATGTAGAAAGGAGATTCCGTATCAGTACCGGCTGTCCAAGGTGCCGAAATGCGTGCGGTTCAAAAAGAAACCAGCACAACATGCTAAGCTCTCGTGTACGGCATCCTGTGGGCAACGTTTTGGGGTGAGGGACTTACCCTCCGTGCCCTGCACATCTCTGGAGGCAGCGCTGGCATCGCCATCGGTGCTATGCATCTCTACCGCCGCGTTGTAGGCCTCCTGACGTGCCTCACTGTCGTCCCACCGGCCTCGCAAGGCCCTGGCGTAGGCACGCAAGAGCGAACGAACCTTGAGCTGCTTCGAGCGCAAGGTGCTATGCCATATGTTCTGCGCGCAAAACAAAGTCAAGTGAAGCGCAATACGTCAGATAACAGCTCTACTTCATGTATATTGTATGATGTGGTGTTGCGTGGCCAATTTGGAAGTATGCAGCAGCATGGTTATTTCCTTGCACGACATTGCAAGCTTGGTACCAAACCTTCCCTGATTCTAACCGAAAACAAGTCTACAAACGTAACCCCGTAAACAGTTAAGGCACATATGGTACGCGCACAGGAAGGCCAAGTACAGCTAACAATGTTTGCTTGCGTGACTTGCCTTCACTTCGTTAGCTGTCCTCCCTGGAAGACGAGCAGCAATTGTCGACCACTGGTTGCCCACACTGCAGTGTACTTTAGCTAGAGTTTCCTCCTGGATGACATGTGAAACGTTCCGTTGCCGAAGCCCGCCAAAATATCGAGTAAAATGGTTTTAGATACATGGACATCCGACAGAGCGCATATTCGCAAGGAATTGCAACATATAATTACCTCTTCGCGGGTCCACTCTGGACGCTTCCGCCGCTTCCGCGATGACTTGCCTGCTGCCCGGCGTGAACTACCCCTGCGTGCTGGGCGGCAGGAGTCCTCGCTGCCGCTTTCGCTTTCATCCTCGTCATCTAAAGATGCGGAAGCGTCAGAGCTTGCGCAGCTAGCGCCCTGGACGTTGCCGTGCTCGGCATCGGGGGTAATGTTTGGAGGTAAGAGCATTCTTTGCGCTTTTTGCCTAGATTCTTCAACAGTAACCATAGTCTCTATTACTCGCTTAGGTGTTAGGCCGCAGCACTGGGTTGCGTGAACGTTCGTGGTCAAAGCTTGCAGCTCATCAGTATATAGAAGGAACAGTGGACGATACAGTCATGGCTAAAGGGGTCTTCACATCAATAAATATGTTGTCAAGAGGGAGAGTATGTGCGGACTGTAGAGCGCGACTGTAGATTACAGGTTTCAGGTTAACGCCGTACGGTTGAGGGGAAGGCAGCCTCTTTCACCCAGCCGTTTTGCGTGTCGACGGTGCTAGAATACGTTATGTATGCCCTAGCTTATTCATAACCGTTGGCTGCCCACCTTAAGAGAGATTCAGGTAGGGTGTAGCGAGGGCGTGTCGACCGCTGCTGCCCTTAACTCCTGGCTCAGCGTGTGACAATGTAACAACCTTGCCTGACAAGGCAGTACGATATAGATGACCAAGGAAGTTCATAACATTTCATGCCAGACGGATGAAGCGACGAATGTCCTTCACCCGCCCCATGTCCACCCCAGGTCCACTCCCCGACAGCCTACCCAGCAACCTTTCGTTTACTGTGGAATGTATGGCAAGAATGAAACTAAAGCCCTTCAAATGGCTTGCCCTCCTCGCCTCACGCCACCTATGCTATGCAGCAGTTCGCTGCTGCATGCGACGAAGGGTGAGCCAGTGTCGGCCTTGGCTGGACCCCCAACTTATTACGCACTGAACCGGCGTTGAACACTCAACCCAGTCCTAGCAGTGCTAAAATCTGCAGCCCCAGCACCCAGGCGCTAGGGTTATTACCCAAATCAACACTTAACATCTACGCCCTTCTAACGACACGGCTACACCCGAAAGACAAACTGTACACACCGACCAAGAAGACTACCTCACAACACCCGACTAACAGTTGCAACAAACGAAACTGCTGAAAACGAACGCACTTTGCAAGCAGCAATAATAGCAAGAGCAACTACAAGAGCAGCAACCGCAAGCTTATCGTACACGTGCAAGAAAGGTACAACACGCACTTTAGGAGGCATTGGTACATCGTAAGATCCACTGCAACCACAAACACACAAAAGGCTACTCAATCCAATCCATCCACATCCATCATGAATCTAACGTACAGTGCAGTACACACATACGGAATCTACACGTGCGGCCGACATTGCAGTACCGGTACATCACAGCACCCCAATATGGGTCCCTTACACAATGCAAATGAGCAACACCGCTACATCCCAACCGATTCCCGAATCCTGGACAGTCCTGGACATAGTGTGCAAGCCGCCTTAGCTGCTAGGCCCAGTTCTTCTTCCCTCCAGCAAAGCGCCCATCCCCTTCTTACCTCCCTACGGCACCTTCAAGGGCACGGATCCCCACACACCCGTAATTCACCACACCACCCCAAGTCCTCCCCATCCTTCCACACACCCCGCTTAGCTGCGCCAGCAACGCAAGTAAAGCCTCACAGCCCACAACAGCAAGGCCCAAGCACACAGGGCCCCAAGCTACCGTAATTTCCCGGAACCCGTCACCGTCCCCACTGCCACCGTCCCCGCCTCCTTAGCAGCAGCAGCAGCATCACCAGGATCCCCTCCGCTGCCCCTGCCTCCACCACTACTACCACTGCTGCCGCTGCTCGCTCCTGCCCCCCACCTGCCCGCCTCTGCTGTCTCCTGCTGCTCCTGGCGAGTCAGGTCGAGCTCAAGTGGAGCCGCCGCCGGCGCAGCGCTGGCAGCAGCAGCGTTGGCAGCAGCAGCGGTGTCGCCACCGCCACCGCAGCCCCTGCTGCAGCCGCAGTCGCCCTTCGCCCCGCCAGCCTCCTCCACCTGCTCCACCGCAGCCGGCTGCTGTGGCGGCTGCTGTCGTGGTGACCCATTCGGCACCCATTCTGAGCTCGCCGCAGCCGGCGGCGCTGCTGCCGTTGTACCCGCCTTCACCAAAGCCGCCGAGGTCGACGTCGATGTACCCTGGGCGCCCTCCTCACTGAAATCCGCAAAGCACTCCTCCTCATCCTGCCAACAATTGTACAACAGCTCATTCACCGGCGGCGCTGCCACCCCCATGCTACCCCCACCTCCTGTTCCCCCTCCACCTCCTGCTCCGCTTCCACCCACCCCCAACGCCAGTCCGTTTCGCCGCTGCGCGTAGTTCCTGCCGCGATCCGTTTCAAGGTCTACGTACAGGATGCCGGGGTTGACCTTCTGGATCTCCACCTCGATTCGGTCCACCTCCACCCCCACCGCGGAGATGAGGTCGCGCCCGTAGTTGCGCACCAGCTTCTCCAGCTCGGGTCGGTCGCCGCGTGCGGCAGCAGACTGCAGCCGCCGCAGCAGCCGCTCGCCGCCGCACCTGGATGGGGGAGGGGGGAAGGCAGGGGCGGAGGGGGGGAGTGAGAGAGGTAAGGGTTAACCCCATGCCCTTCACCCCTCGTTTGTTTGCTGGCATCCTGCTGTACCCTGTAGTAACCCCCTTGCTTTGTCCTAACATGTGCTCGGCATTCCTCACACACTCCCGCACCCCACCCCAACCCCCCGCCTCCCCCCTACAGCCCGTCAGTTTCCACGTCAGTTTCCTCCCTCCCCTCCCCTCCCCACACCACACATTGGATATCCTTCTTTCCCTCCCCACCCCCCCCCCCACCTGTTGAGGTACCGCTGCACCAGCTTGTCCCCGTCCCACGCCACCTCTGCCTGGAAGCGGTACATGCCGGGTCCGATCTCCTCCGTCTTGCTGTCGGCCACGTGCGACACCACCGGGTCGGCGCGGAGCAGCGACTGGGGGGGGGGCAGAGGAGTGTTGAGGGAGAGGGGGTGGAGGGGAGAGAGAGGGGTGAAGAGAGAGGAGGGAAGGGTCCAGCGGGGTGGAAGGGACAGGGAGTGTCCCTCGGGAGTGTGCCCCAATTCGGGGAATGCCAGATAAGATGCCCAGGGGACAGATTGTCATTGCCTCCATCTCTCTCTCTACCCTCCTCGGCGCCCATCCACAGCTGCCGGTTCTTGGCAGCAGAGTTTAGAGCTACATTTCCACTTCTTGCCCCCTCCTCCTTCCCTTTGCCCCTCCCGCCTCCCGCCCCCCTCTCCCCCCCACCTGCACCACCGCCACATCCGCGGGCGCCATGGACCTCCCGATGAGCAGCTGCCGGTTCTTGGCCACCAGGAAGGAGGCGATGCCGCCCAGCAACACACCCACCTGGGGTGGAGGGGGGGAAGGGGAGGAGGAGGAGTGCGGCCAAAGCTGTGTCAAAGAGGCAGGCAGAAGGCGGGAGGGGAACGGAGGGAGGGCTACAGCAGCCCGGGTGGGGTTGGGGAGGTGGGCAGGTCGCTGGGCTGCACCCGGCAGCTCTACCGAGTGCTGGCTGCGGGTACGGCAAACATGCACCCACTGCTTTTCACCGCGGGGGGCTGCAGCGCCCGCCCCTGACGATGTTGGTGACGCCAGCAAGCCATCAACCAGGTTTCATTACGAGGGGCCTCATTACAAGCTGTGCAGGCCCGTCCGGGCTACCGCCTACCGGGCCACCGCCTCTAGTGAGAACCCTGGAAAACCCCCAACCCCCACCCAAGCCGTCCCTGGAGAAACCCCCACCCGACCCACCATTATGGACCCCGCCGCATCCCACATGGCGTTACCCGTCGCGTGGGTGAGTGCCGTACAGACGCCTGCGTGTACGGCAGGTGCGTATTGGGGGGGGAGGGTAGGTTAGGGTTGGATCGGGTTGGAAGGGGTATGGGGCATGTGTCAGCCTGAGATCGAGAGGCCGTGCAAGGGGCGCGACTAGTGCTGCGGTTACTCTCATTCTTCTTCAACCCTCCCGGACAATTCCCGGAGCGCTGGCCCCATGCATATGTTCCAATTGCCTGCCCCACCACCACTTCCCCTACCCCGCCGCCCGCTGCGCACGCACGTCCCCCGGGTTTGGTCTTTTCTTTGCCTCCCCCCCCTCGCTCTCCCCCCTTGCTCTCCCCCCGTGGTTTCCTATGGTTTCCTATGGTCTTTGACCTCCTCACCCGCAATGGCCAGCCCCAGCACCGCGCCCCCATCCTCCAGCAGCACCGCCACCGTGGTGGGGTCCCGCCCGCTGCGCACGTAGGCCAGCAGCCCCATGCGCCGCGCCGCCGCCCCCGCCACCACCACCCGGCTGGCGACCCACAGCGAGTAGCCCTCCAGCAGACCGGACAGCAGCAGGACTGGGGGGGAGGGAGGGAGGTGGAGGTGGAGGGGGGAAATAAAAGTAAAAAAGTGAGGGGCGAGGGGAGGGAGGGAGGGGGGGAGGGAAGTGTGAGAGATGCCTGGCTAGCAGCAACGAGCAGCCTCCCTGGCAGCTTGGAGAGCAGAGGCCCCGCCCCGCCCCGGCCTACCCCGCCCCACCCCGGCCTACCCCGCCTCACGTGTGCAACAGCTGGGGCAACTGCCCCTCCCCTCCCCCTACTCACCTCTCGTCCCCTCACCCCCTCCCTCACCTCTCTCCCCCCTAACCCCCTCCCTCATCTCTCTTCCCCCTCCCCCTCCCAGTCCCCACCCGCGTAGCTCCAGCCCAGCCCCTCCAGCTCGCGGTGCTCCAGCAGCGTGTGCAGCCCGTGGATGAAGGAAGCGCCTGCAGGGGGGGAAGAGGGAGGATGGGAATTACGAAACCATAAGTGGGAGAGGAGGGCGGGAGAGAGCAGGCGTGGGCTTTACACAACACGGCCCCCGAAGAGGGAAATGTGCGCCTCTCTCTTCTCTCTCTTCAAGCCTCCCCCCCATCCCCCTCCCCTCACCTGCGCCCCCCCACACCCCCTCCCACCCACACCCCCTCCCCCCACCTACCCGCCCCCAGGAAGAATATGCCCACTGCGGAGATGAGGCTCCAAATGAAGCGGTCGCGCGCGTGGCCGTACGGGTGCATCTCGGAGGGGCCCTTCTGGGCGGCCAGCAGCCCGATGCGAAGCAGCGTCTAGCGGTATGGGGGGAGGGGGGGAGGAGAGGTAGACCCAATGTGGTGAATGGGGAGGAGAGGTGAGGAGGGGGAAAGCATGGGGGTGGGGGTAAGGGGGTGGCCGGACGGCCCAAAACAGCCCCGGCTTGCCAAGCCCCATTGGGTTGCTGCAGCGTGGAAACACAATACCGGTATGTTCCCATCCATGCTTCACTCCTCCTCCCTCCCACCCACCTGGTTGAGCACATCCGCCCCCGAGTGCAGCGCCTCCGCCAGCATGGCGCTGCTGCCGCTCAGCATGTGCACCCACAGCTTGGCGGCCAGGATCACAACGTTCACCATGATGGCTGGGGGAGGGTGTGAGAGCATTGGGGGCGGAGCATGGGGGCGGAGCATGGGGGAAGAGCATGGGGTCAACGGGGGCCAGGAAAGACCAAACCATGGGGGCGGGGGGGGGCGCGGTGGGTAGGGCAGTGAGGATAGGGAAGGAGGAGGAGGAGGCCTCCCCTAACCCTGGTTGGTGCGACGCCTCCCGCACAGCACCCCACACCAGTGTTTCCTCAACACTCCCACCTACCAACGTTGAAGCCTCTAGTAATACAGTTCGTCAGTTTCATTTATTTTACGCCCATCCCCCACCCCCACCCCCACCCCCACCACCTACCAACGTTTAGCGTGTGCAGCTCGTCCTCGTGTCGCTGAGCCGCCAGCTCCCCAGTAGCGGCAGCAGCGGAGGGGGAGGAGGAGGAGTGGGCGCCGGTGCTGCTACTCCTGCTGCTGCTGGGTCCGCAGCCGGCGCCGCTAGGGGCCGCACCCGCACCCGCACCCGCACGCGCCGAGTTGGCAGTGCCCTGACCACTGCTGCTGCTGCTGCTGCTGCTGCTGCTGCTGCTGGCATGGCTTCTAATGCTGCGGCCCCAGCTCAGGAAGCTGAAGGGGCCGCGGTGCCCTGCGCTGCTGCTGCTGCTGCTATGGCTGCTACTGGGGGTAAAGGGGCTATGGCTGCTGCTGGTGGGGTTGCTGCTGTCACGGTTGCGGTCGGAGTCCCCGGGCGATGGCATTGCTGCTGCTGCGGCGGCTGAGCAGGTGTGGAGGGGAGCCCTAGAGGAGAGGTGGCAGCGGGGGAAGGAATAGGGGATTAATTGACAGCGGGGGAAGGGAAAGGGAAGCGAAGGGAGAGCGGGAGGGAGGGGGCCGGACTGTGCTGGCCGGACTGAGACGGCGGAAGTAGCGTGCGGAGAGCTAGCTTCCGTTAGTTCCGTTATCATAGAGGCTGCCAAAAAGCAATCTTTGGAGTATGGCCATCGCATAAAGCTCTTAATAGCAAGCCCTGATTGGTTGCGGGCGCTTGCATTGCCGTTACGAACGGTGACGTTCGCGTCCTGCCGAGTGCCCGGATTCCCCGGAATGCCACAGAAATGCCCTAGGAACAATTGGAACCCTCCAACGCAAGTAACAGTAATGCATTAGGACAATTGAGGCGCTGGCGCAGCTATACATACCGGTTGTTCAGTAAGCGTCGCTGACCACAAAGCATGGGTAACCCTGTGCTCTTGCGCAAGAAGTATTTTGCATTTCTAAGGCGATCCGACGACGGAGCTACTGATCCAAGCAACACGGAGCCGCTGGTGCAGCTGCGCTGACTACTCGTATGAAAATGCTGTGCTGCCAACATGGCTGCCACTCCGTGCCGCTGGCAGACCCCAAATAAAGAGGACAGTATGAGTTTCTGTTGTGAAGTAATCGCCAATGGAAGGGGTAACATTGTAAAGATATTTGAGTAGTTGGTAACGACGCCCTAGTCACATCGTTGGATACACGAATTGTATGATCTACGTTGACGCCCGGACCGGTGTGTACTGACAGGTTCGAACTTTACTTTCATAGCATGATGAGCATCTGTCTACGATTGCCTGCAATCCCCACAATGCTCCGAAACGATGGTCGCAGCTGCTTCCTACTGCCCCAAGCCCATATATTTGTTAGGGTAGTCAAGACACTTCACTGCCACTTTGGCCCAGGACAAGTGAAAAGCATGCATTTTACACGCAACACAGCGCTGCAACGCTCAGGTGTTACAAACGTCGTCGACGACGTATCTCATCACTCAGGATTTAGTCCTGCGAGTTAACTGCCGAATTATATACGTCAGTCGCTGTGCAACAGAGCCTAAGCCCTGTTTGTCGTTTCGCATTGGTAATCCCCCCCGGTCGCCGCGCGCGGACAAAGGCCTTCGTGCGCCATTAATTGTAATACTGTTTGAAGCGGAAGCATTCCTGGCAAATCTGTGCTTGTGAAAGGCGGGATTGCCCGGATTGGGGCCAACCGCTAACCGTACAGCGTCTGATCGAACCATGGAGCCCTTAGCACACTACGCCGTTTACAGAACGTACTTCTCACGCATGAACGTTTGTCGACCTTGTTATTAAAGCTGGGTTATGGGTTGGTTAATATAGAAAGCCCTAAATGAGAGGATAAGCCTAGGGCTAATTACTGAAATAACAGTAAGCGTGAGGGCTAGAACTAAATTATTTTGATTGCTGTATTTATAGTCGTTTGCAACAATGTCTACAGAAGCAGCCCTCTTTGTCCCTGGCCTGGCGCTTTTACTGGCTATCATGTCAATATTGGCGCCCGTGGACGCCTCTGGAATGTGTGGCCTCGAACCTACACCAGCGTGCTCGGGCCCTGATTACTCAGCCGTATTCCGTCCACCCGAGGAAGGAATTGACTTCGACAACCTACCAGGCTACACGCGTAGCGCGCATGCCGCCGACCATGCCCTAGTCTCCGTGGAGAGCCGCGTCTTTGCTGGGCAACGTGGCTGGAAGTCCGCGCTGACAGCCCACATAGTGTCGCCCGCTCGTGGCGCCAACTTCGCCATGTACCTCGCGGACATGGGCGAAGACTCCCGTGCGGACCCTGCCCGCTCTGGCGTGGAGCGCTTTGTGATGGTGGTTCAGGGCGAGATAGTCGTTCGCCATGGCAGCAAAGACATCTATCTGGGTAAAAACACGTATGCGTACTTCCCTCCAAACTGCACGGACCTCATCTCGTCGGATTCAGGCGCTGGGCTGCTGGTCTTTGAGCGCGTCTACGCAGCTGGCGGCAAACCTGTTTTCCGCAGCGGCAACGTAGACGAATCCCCGCTACTGCCCGTCGGTCCTGAGGTCTTTGAGCTGCGCAAGCTGCTTCCGATGACCGCTGACTACGACTTCAATGTCCATGTCATGGACTTCAAGCCAGGGGAGTACCTGGTAGTCAAAGAAACGCATTACAACCAGCACGGACTGCTAATGATGGAGGGCAAGGGAATATACCGGTTGGGTGACAGCTGGTACCCTGTGCAAGCTGGAGATGCCATTTGGATGGCGCCGTACGTGCTGCAGTGGTATGCGGCTCTCGGTACGACACGCACACGCTACGTGTTGTACAAGGATACGACCCTGGATCCGCTGCTTGGTTAAGCGGGCACCGAATTTGGATATGGGAACTGTAAAGAGGGCCTATAACAAGCGGTGAACTGCTTGGTCATGAGAGGGGTAGATTTCCGGACGCCTCCGCCCTGAGTGAGTCATGCCTGAAGTGTGATCCAAATGAAGATTCGGATAGCGTTGTTAGTTAGCCCTATCTGTAAGACATTGTTACAAGTCCGTACCACATTGTAGTGTACGAAGTGTATTGTAGGGGTTGCTGAATGCTTTCCGCGTATGTGTATTACTAGCAGCATGTATTGCTGAGCATTGTACCCGATCTGTACTCGTGAGTCTACGGATTGGCAAGAGCGGTACAGCAGCAAGGTTAGGCATTTCATTCTTAGAAGTGGCTGCTGCCGGCCCTCTTTTGCCGCGTTCGTTGGAAGTAACCAAGCTAGGCAGCATTGTAGGGTAAGGTCTAGTGCATCACAGCCCTTGACAATATTCCACCTGAGGTCGATATTCCTCTCCTCAATCTCAGGGAGATGGGGGGTGGAGGAGGAGGGGAATGCCGTGAGGTGTGTGCGCAGGTTGCGGTGGCATGGGCAGACCTCGGGTGGGTTGGTGCTGTGGCTGCTAGCGCCGTGTTGCAGACCTTGTTTTGCCTGGCCCAGCACGTGTCCTGCTTGCATGGGCCTAAATATATGTGCCCTGTGTGCATTTGCGTTTGGCTGTAATGTGTTCATCTCAGGGTTGGTCGAGCCGAACCCGGCTTCCATCTACATGGCATGGCGGCTCCATTCACGGTGTGCGGGCACGAAGGGGCCCACATGTTTTGAGACACACAGCGCAAACTGTCACAGCAGTAAGCAAACAGCCCTTACAGTGCCCATGTTGCGGACGCGGCACCCGATTGCCGTCTGTATGACACTATGGTACCCAGGGTTAACCGGAACTGTAACCGTGGCAGCATCCCTCTACACATTGTCTTCCCACGCAAATTGATCACATGATCTCTCGGTCGGGTGTGGAGAGGGAAGCTGGCATGGGGCTCAGTGGGCTTCATGTGGGCTGCGGTATTGTGCTGAGGCATGCATGCGGCCGTCCTGTACGGCACTTGCAAACGCTTGACGATAGAGGTCATCGCGATGAAGGTGTAACAGTGTGATTTGTTGTTGTGTCTATCTTGGTTGGTTGTCGGGACATGATGCTTCTTACGTTGCGTGCCGCCATGTTTTGAAGGCTATTGCCAACGAAGACATTTTCTACAAGACAAGTTACTTCTCTAGTTTTAATTTACGTTTTCTAGAACGAAAGAGGATTTTCCTGTCGTAAGCTTTGACTGTAAAGACGTTGTTCAGCTGTCATCTCATCGAGTACAGAGCTAGACCGATAAGCTTGCTGTACGATGGAGCTTTCGCCTGAAGGTCTTGCAGCCGCGGCAGCAACTCGTCAAGCAGCGCGGAAACGCCAAACAGATGGCAAAGCGGATGCTAACGGCAGCCCTGCTCAAGCGGAGCCTGCGACTAAGCGCCAGCAAGGCCTTGGCGGTCGCCCACCTGCCACATGCACGCATGAGGTTGCTATACCGGAGGGCTTCGACGAGTCCTCTATAAAGCTCGACCCAGAGGTCCATGGTGGGTTGCGCGCCCGATGTCTTCCGCTGGCGGGTGAATGGAAAGGCCTTCAGCCGCGGATTCACGTGTGTTGGCTATAACATACGCTGTGCGCTGGCTCCATCCCAGTCAAGACAGCATAGGCCAGGGCAGCACAGCGCTGAAGCCCCTCTCGCGGAGGAAGCAGCCGCATGTGCCAACCACATCCTCATCCTCTCCCTAGTTGGCCTTCCCTCGCCCCCCTTCCTCCATGCCTGCTCACCTCTCCTCCCCCCTCTCTCGCCCTCCCTCCCTCCCTCCTTCCCTCCTCCCCCTCCTCCTCCAGGCACGCTACACGCCCCCGTGTACACGGGCCCCCGTGCCAAGGAGTACCCCTTCGTGCTGGACCCCTTCCAGGAGACCAGCGTGGCGTGCCTGGTGGGTGCAGCAGCAGCGCGGGGGGGGGTGTTAAAGAGGAAACAACTAACAGCAGCAGCAGGGGGGCCCAGCAGGGGGGTGGCAGAGGTCGGGGACAGAGGGAGATGGAGGGGACAAAAGGTGCTGTGTGGGGTGGGGGCTTGCATGGGAGGGGCCTGGGAAGGGGCCTGGGAAGGGGACTGGGGGCCTCGCGTCCTGGGTGGGACGCCGTGGCGTTGCGGAGGTACAGCACGGTCGGCGGCGGTGACGCCCGGTATCCCGTACCCGCTGGGGCAGCATGTGTGGGTTGGGTGGGGGCTGAGGGGGGCAGCAGGCAGGCGGCCAGCCGCGGCAGCGGAGGACACCTGCCGCAAGCCGCATGCCGCATGCCGCGGGGTTAGATAAACTGAGCCGCATGCCGCGGGGTTGAGCGGCAGCTGCCGGCGGCGGCGGCCAGCAGGGTTGCGAGCGGCCGATGCTGCGGCGGATCGCAGGACCGCTAGTGGAGCCCGGCCCGACCCGCCCCTTGCCCACCGCCCCTTACCCCCTCCCTTCCTGCCCCCTTCCTCACCCCCCCCTGCAGGAGCGGCGCGAGTCTGTGCTTGTGTCCGCGCACACCTCCGCCGGCAAGACGGTGGTGGCGGAGTACGCCATCGCCATGGCCTTCCGCAGCAGCCAGCGGGTCATATACACCTCGCCGCTCAAGGTGGGGGAGAGGGGAGGGAGAGCAGGGGAGGCAGGGAGCAGGGGGCGGGAAGGAACTAAAAACAACCGTAATGGGGGCAGGGGGGAAGGGGCAGAGAGAAAAGGAAGGAAACACAGTCCCCATTTGCCCCCTTGCCCCATCCCAACTACGCTGTTGCTTTGCCCATAACCTGTGGCATCCTGTGGTTTGGTGCGGTCTTCGCCCTCCCCCCTCCAGGCCCTGTCCAACCAGAAATATCGGGAGCTGAGTGAGGCCTTCAACGGCGATGTGGGACTCATGACGGGTGACGTCAGCCTCAACCCCAACGCATCGTGCATCGTCATGACCACGGAGATCCTGCGGTCCATGATCTACAGGTGCGGGGCGGGGTGGCTTGGGGCTGGGGGGAATGGCCTTCCTAGTCCTTACACCCGCCCTCCTCCCTCTTTCCCCCCTCCCTGCTCCCCTCTCCCTGCCGCCTCCTATCCCCTTAGTATTGCCCTAACGTGTGGTTTCCTGTGGTTTGGTATGGTCTTCGCCCCCCCAGGGGCAGCGAGTTGCTCCGCGAGGTGGCCTGGGTGGTGTTCGATGAGGTGCACTACATGCAGGACCGGGAGCGCGGGGTGGTGTGGGAGGAAACCATCATCTTCCTGGACCACCACACAAAGATGGTAGGGATGGCGGGGGGGGGGGGGTCAAATCTAGGTATTGAAGACTAAGGAAAGGAGGGAAGGGAGGGGCTGGGAGGAAGGAGGGGCTAGGTGGAATGCTCGCTGTTGTGTGCCGTGGTTGTCCCTCCTGCCTCCACCTGCCCACCTCTCCCACTCTTTCTACGTCATTGCGGCTCGGGTACCTAAAACCCCCCCTTCTCCTCCCCTTCCCTCCCTAATGTTGCCACTATCTTTCAACGCATGGTTCTCCCTCCCCCCCTCCCCCCTCCCTTTCCACCCTCCTCCCCCCCTCCCCCCCCAGGTGTTCCTGTCCGCCACGCTCTCCAACAGCTCCCAGTTCGCCGCCTGGGTGGCGCACCTGCACCGCGCGCCCTGCCACGTGGTGTACACCGACTACCGACCCACACCGCTGCAGGTGACAGGAGAGAGGGGGGGTAGGGGGGGATCAAAGACCATACCAAACCGTAGGGAACCACAGGTTAGGGGTGGTGCGGAGGAGGTGGTACGGAACTTCCGCAGGTGGTTTGTGGGCACATATGGGTGCTCGGGATGCATGTTGGCCCCGTCTGCGGGGTGCCCACGCAAGCCACCCGCCCCGCCGCCCCCGTTCCATGCGCCTCCCGCCCCTCCCAGCTCCTAACCCCCTCCCCCGGCTGAACTCCTCCCTCGCCTCCCCTTGCCACCCCGCCCGCAGCACTACGCCTACCCCCTGGGCGGTGACGGGCTGTACCTGCTGCTGGACGAGCGAGGCAACTTCAGGTGGAGGGGGGGGTAAAAAGAAGCAACGGACGAGGGGGGAGGGGGAGGAGAGGGAACAGGAGGCGGGGGGATGCGGGGGGGGGGCATGTTGCGGTAGCTCGGGGACAAGGTTGCGGATTGCGGAGCAGCGAGATTGGCTGTGCTGCCCGCCCGCCCGCCCCACCATGGTTCTCACTTTTTGTGCGGGTCGTACGTACAACTACACTACCCCGGCAGACTTATTCCACCCTGGCCCCCCACCCCCACCCCCACCCCCCACAAGCTGCTTTACTCGATCCCGTTGCTTCGCCCTAACCTGTGGTCCTGGTGTATCTCTGCCCCGCCTCCCCACCCGCTTCAGGACTGAGAACTTCACGCGGCTGCAGGACAGCCTGACTGCCACCGTGGGGGGGCCTGCAGATGGGGACGGAGAGGCGGCGGACGGGGGAGGGGGAGGGAGAGGAGGAGGAGGAGGGAGGGGCGGAGGAAGAGGAGGCGGCGGCAGGGGCGGACGGGGGGGTCGCGGCGGGCGAGGAGGGGCGGCTGCGGGTGGGCGGGGCGCCGGCGGCAAGGGTCAGGGGGACATGCGGGAGCAGGTGGCGGGTATCCTGGCGGTGAGGCGGGAGGGAGGGGGGAGGAGGGGAGGGTGTGAGGAGGGGAAGGGCAGCTGCGGAGGGAGGAGGGGAGGGAGGGAGGAAGAGGAAGGGGGATAGGAAAAGGACAGCCAAGCGAGGGGAGGTGGTTGGCTGTGCGACTGGAGGGGGGTTGATGCGTTGCAAGGGGTGGGTTGGACTCTCATTCCTCCGCTTCCGTGCCTGCACCCCACCCCTCTCTCCTCACTCCACATACTCCAACCCCCCTCGCCCCTCCACACCTCCCTCAGGCCATCAAGCTGCAGAAGTGGGAGCCCGTCATCTTCTTCTCCTTCGCGCGGCGGGACTGCGAGTCCTACGCAAATGCGCTGCTGCAGCGGAAGGAGGTGTGTGGGAGCGGGCGGGTTGGGATGGGGATGGGGGGCCGGGGGGTTGCTTGCCTGCAGTTGCCGGCGGCCTGGGTTCGCTGGAAGCTTCTTAGACCCGTCTTTCTCCTCTCCCGCGTTCCCTGCACACACCCTCTTACTCCTCTCCCCCACCTCCCGGTTAGTTGCCTGTTCAGGCTCCTTACTTTTACCTCCCGGTCCGTCCCCTCCCCATGCCCCCCCTCCCCCCCCCAGACCCCGCGGGAGCAGCAGTCCGACGCGCCGGAGACGTTTGACTTCAACTCGGCGCAGGAGAAGCTGCAGGTGGAGGAGGTGAGGAAAGGAAAGGAGGGGTGACGGGGGTGGGGTGGGGGGTAAAACATTCCATATACGCTCACTGCATGAATCGGGATATGGGATTCGGACTCTGTTGCTTTACGTTTCATTTATCTTCCCTCCTACCGCCTCCCTCACCGCCTCCTCCCCCCTTCTCTCCCCCCCATCTCCCCCCCCAGATCTACTCCAACGCGCTGACGTGTCTGAGCGAGGCCGACCGGCAGCTGAAGCCCATCAGCCGCATGCTGCCGCTGCTGCGGAGGGGCATCGGGGTGCACCACTCGGGTGAGGGGGGGGGAACACTTGTATGAGGAGTGCAGCAACTGGAGTCGGGGAAGGGGGGAGGGGGAGGAGGAGGGGGAAAGGAAGGCGGTAGGGGAAAGGTAAGGAATGCCAAGCCCGGTCCATGACAGGTCCATGTCGCCCCAGCACCTCTGAACCACCACCAGCCCCTGCCCCTGCTTGACCCCCCTCCCCCTCCTCCCGCCTCCTTCCCGCCTCATCCTCCCCCCCAGGTCTGCTGCCCATTTTGAAGGAGCTGATTGAGATCCTGTTCCAGGAGGGGCTTCTCAAGGTGGGGGGGGGGAGGGGAGGAGGGGGGAAGCATACGGGGGGGGGGGGTGAAGAGGAAGGTGAAAGAAAAACAAAACTATAGAGAAAGGGCGGGGGTGGGAAGGAGAGTAGGGCAGCTTGGGGTAGGGTGGAGTTAAGAGGAGGCAGGCCTCACCTGCCCCTCCCAGGGGGCTTCCTCCACGGGTCACCACTCTGGTCCTAAACCCTGTCTTGTTATCCCCTCCCGTTTCCCCTCCCCCCTCCCCCCGCAGGTGCTGTTCACCACCGAGACGTTCGCCATGGGCCTCAACATGCCCGCCCGCTGCGTGGTGTTCACCGCCATGCGCAAGTGGGACGGCTCGGAGAACAGATGGGTCAGCTCGGGGGAGTACATCCAGGTGGGGGGGGAGGGGGAGTACATCCAGGTGGGGATTACATCCTGGATGGGGGAGGGGCGGGGGGGGAGGGGGGGATAGGCTGGTGAGGGGGGACTTGAACAGCTGCATGCAGCGAGGGTAGGGGGTGGAGGGGGTGGAGGGTGAGCTGCGCACCTCGCCGCAACCGTCGTCAGGAGGAGGCAGCACGAGGAGGGTGTGCTCCACCGCCTTTGCTCGCCAACACTTCCCGGCCTGGGCATTGGCAGAATGCATGCCTGCCCTCCCCCCCCCCACCCACAATCACCCGCAATCAGAGTACGTTCCAACTCGCGGCCAGTTTTCTCAACATACCCCCGGTCCCGCCTCCCCGATAACCCCCCCCCCCAGATGTCGGGTCGTGCGGGTCGTCGCGGCATGGACGACCGGGGCATGGTGGTGATGATGCTGGACAGCCAGCTGGACGAGGATACGTGCAGGGGGATCATGCAGGTGGGGGCAGGGGGGGGACGAGGAGGATGGGGGGAGAAGGAGTGGGGGGCAGGGGGAGGAAGGAGACTTGCAGGGGGATCATGCAGGTGGGGGCAAAGGGGGGGTAGAAAGGGGAAATGACGAGCTCGAGTACGACGAGGCTTCACCATGGGTTGGTTGCTACATTGGACCCGGGGGAAGGGAAGGGTAGGGCTGATGTTGGAGCGCATGTGGGGGGCAGGGTGCACTCGGGTCGGCCGCCCCTGTGTCCCTTACCAAACCCCTGGCCGCCATGCAGTGCTTGGTTGTGCCACCTCCCCCCCTTCATCTCCCCTCTCATTGCCTCCCCCCTGCGCCCCCCTGTGCCTCCCCCCCCACCCCCCCTGCAGGGCAAGCCCTCCCCGCTGCTCTCCTCCTTCAAGCTCACCTACTACACCATGCTCAACATGCTGCGCCGGCTGGAGGGCAGCGACACGGGCACCATGGAGCACGTCATCCGCAACTCCTTCCAGCAGTTCCAGCAGGAGAGCCAGATGCCAAAGGTGAAAGGGCTGAGCCTGCGGGGAGGGAAAAAGAAAGTCCAAAGTGTGGTATGATAATGATACAAGTTGCTGACAATCCCTGGTGGAATCAACCGTGAGTCGAGCCGAAATGGTGGTTAAAGCAATGCGAGCTAAACTTACCGAACTTACCAATTATGGAGCAACCTTACCGTAGTCTTGGGCATGTGTGGAGGCTGCTGAAGGTGAGCTGGAGACCCACCGCGCCGTTGGGCATAGGCAAACAACAGGAACAGCACAACACGAGCACGCATAAAAACCCACACGATAAAACACGTACCTGCGTGCACAGGATATCCTGCGGGGAGGGGGGGAAGAGGGGGACGAAAAGGAGAGGCTAAGGCAGAAGTCAGCAGGGGCAGCGAAGGGCAAATCCAGGATGGAGGGACAAAGATTCGCATACAACCGGCGAGCTGTGACTTACGCTAACCCTCCTCCCTCCTCCCTGCCTCTACACCTTGGGAATCCTTCTTTCCACCCCCTTCGCCCCCGGCCCTCCCCCTCCCCTCCCTGCAGCTGGAGGCCGAGCTGAAGGAGCTGGAGGCCCAGATGGCCGCCCTGGGTCGCGAGGGCGAGGAAGCCATGGCCGCATACGCCCGCCTGCGCGCCGACATCGCCTCCGCCGCCGGCCAGCTGCAGGCGCTGCTCACACGGCCCGCGCACTGCCTGCCCTTCCTGCGCGCGGGGCGGCTGGTGCGGGTCAGCAGTGGCGGGGTGGACTGGGGCACCGGCGTGGTGGTGAGCGTCAGCAGGCGGCCGGACGCGCCGCCGCCGCCGCCGGCGGGGAGCGAGCAGGAGGTAAGGAGGAGGAGGAGGTTGGGAGGGGTGCGAAGGAAGGGGGCGAGGAAGGTTGTAGGTGTTGTGCCATTACGGGTTCTACTTAGATCTGCTAGGCGGGTTGTGGCTGCGGCGTTGCCCTGAACCTTTCGCCAACTCCCAATAAAACCCTAAACAACCCTCCTCCCCTCCAGGACGACCGGGAGTCCTACCTAGTCGACTGCATCCTCTCCCTGGACGCCTCCTCCCTACCCTCCTCCTCCTCCTCCGCCCCTCCTCCCCCCGGCCCGCCCCGCCCCGCGCCGCCCGGCTCCCCCGGCTCCGCCTCCGAGGTGGTCCCCGTGTCGCTGAGCTGCCTGGCGCAGCTGCACTCGCTGCGCATCAGCGTGCCGCCGGACCTCAGGCCGGAGGAGGCGCGGAGGGCGGTCATGGTGCAGGTGAGGGCAGCACGATAAAAAGGGGACAGGGGGGCCCTCCTTTGGTGGGTAGGAACTGCGGGGTCGTGCTTTAGGCCGCGTGGTGCGGGTGCCGGGTGGCGGGTGGCGGGTGGCGGTGGGATGGGGAGGAGGCGTGGCGGCGGGTCAGGGCATGCCTGCCGGATACCGGTATAGCCACCTGCTCCCCCTTCCTGCCCAGCCCACTCATCCGTCCCCACGCCCCCCCCCTCACCCCAGGGATTGTCAGCAACTTGTATCATTATCACACCACACTTTGGAATTTCTTTTTCCCCTCACCCCTCCCTGCCCTCCCTCCCTCCTCCCCATTGGGTGTTCTTCTTCCCCCCCTCCCTCCCCCTCCCCCCCAGGTTGGCGAGCTGCTCCGTCGCCACGGCGAGGCGGGTCTGCCCCGGCTGGACCCGCTGGAGGACATGGACCTGCGGGACCCGCAGCTGCCGGAGGTGGGGGCAGGGGGGGGGATAAAGAGGAAACAGACGAGCTGGGGGGCAGGGAGCAGGGAGGAGCGAGGGAGGAGCGAGGGTAAAAAGAGGAAACTGATTAGTGATAGGGGGGGCTAGAAGACCGTATGCTGCTCGGAGGCATTGTTATGCGATGTTTTTCTCATGCCGCACCCTCCCCATGCACTCCCCTCACCCGCCACTCCCTCTCTGCCAGGCTTATCCCTCCCTCCCTCCCTCCACCTCCCTCCACCTCCCCTCCCTCCCCCCCCCAGATCGTGGGCCGCATCGAGGCCCTGGAGGCGCAGCTCAGCCGCAACCCCGTCTTCCGCGCGGAGAAGGACGCCACCAAGCTGGCGCCCTACCTGCGGCGAGCCGCCCTGGCGGCGCGCGCGGAGGAGCTGCGGGGGCAGATGCGCACCAGCCAGCTGAGCGCCTTCAGGGAGGAGGCGGGGTGCCGCATGGCGGTGCTGAGGAGGCTGGGACACATCGACGAGGAGGGTGAGGAGGGGTGAAGGAGGCGGGGTGGAGGGGTGGAGGGGCGGAGGGGAGAGGAGGAGGGTAAAGGCTCTCGGCTGTCCGGCATCCACTCCACAGGGACGGAGGTCACCCAGCGCTGCCACGGCCATGTGGCCACAGCAAGCTAAAACCCCTTCCTTCTCCCTACCCTCGCGCTCCACTCGCTCCCACCTAGTTTGCCAATAACATTCAACACATTGGGTCGTCTTCTTCCCTCCCTCCCCACCCCTCCCCACCCCCTTCCAACCAGGTGTCGTAACGCTCAAGGGCCGCGCCGCCTGCGAGATCGACACCGCTGATGAGCTGCTTGCTGCGGAGCTGCTTCTGAACGGCACCTTCAGCCGCCTGGAGCCCGCGCAGCTGGTGGCGCTGGCCAGCTGCCTGGTGCCCGTGGAGAAGAGCGCGGAGGCAATCAAGCTGACGGCGCAGATGGCGGAGCCGCTGGCGCAGCTGCAGGTAAGAGGGCGGGGGGGGAAGGAGGGAGGGGGCGTGCGCAGCTGTGTAGCCACTGTCTCTACCGGCTGGGCCGTAATCCGCCTCTCCGCCTCCCTCTCATTGGCTCTTCTTCTTCCCCCCTGCACCCTGCCCCCCCCTGCCCCCGCCCCAGGCCGCCGCCCGCCACATCGCGGAGGTGAGTCGCGAGTGCAAGCTGGATCTGGACCCCGAGGAGTACGTGGAGGGCTTCAAGCCCGCGCTGATGGACGTCATGTACGCCTGGAGCAAGGGCGCGACCTTCGAGCAGGTGGGGGGTAAAAATAAAGAAACACTGACAAACTGGGGGGTGGGGGGTGGGGGTGGAGGTGGGGGTGGGGGTGGGGGGAGGTGGAGAGGTATGCGAGTATTACAGGGGAGTCAGAAGGACTCGAGTGGAGAGGGGTAAAGAGAAGGGAAGGAGTGCCAGGATGCGGTGTGCAACATGGGGTACCGTACGGGAATGTGGGTAGAAGCAGCAGGACCGGTACCTCCTCATCCCCCTTCCGCATGATGCGTTGATACCTCCTGCCCTGCTTCCCGCCCCCTCACCCATCCTCACCCATCCAACCCTCTCACCCCCCACTGGGAATCCCCCCACCCACCCACACCCCCAGGTGTGCGACATGACGGACATCTTCGAGGGCTCGCTGGTGCGCGCCACCCGGCGACTGGACGAGCTGCTGGGGCAGCTGGCTGCTGCGGCGGCCGCGGTGGGGGACATGCAGCTGGCGGACAAGATCCGGGCGGCCACGGAGACCATCCGGAGGGACATCATGTTCGCAGCGTCGCTGTACATCTAGAAAGGAAGAGGGGGGGTGGAGAGGGATGGGTGTAAGGGGGGATACGTGGGGAGGTGGATATTCCGGTCATTGGGCTGGAGGGGCAGCGAGGGGCAGTGAGGGGTAGAAGGGGAAAGGGGAAGGGGGCGCGGTTAAGAGGATGGGGGGGGGAAGGGAAAGGAACTTTTGACTTGCAGACGATTGAAGCCGAGGGGCAGCGACGCCAACGCGCATGAAAAGACTTGACGTGAAAAGACTGTTGAAAGAAGATCTTGAACTGCCGAAGATTTTCGAGGGGGAGGGGTGGGGGAGTGTACGGCCGTTACAATGGTTGGTCTCCATGGCGGGAACACAAGTGCTCGGTGGGGCTCCTGGCTGGAGAGGCGATGCAATCGAGTAGCGATGCAGTGCAGAGGGCGCCTGCTGGGCGGCCGCGGAGGCAGCAGCTGGTCCCCCGGGTGGGCTGCACCGCCACCTAGGGGGTTTCGTGATGATGATGATGACGTCAAGTGATGACGCCTGTGTTACGGCAACTTAGCGGTGCTGGGGCGGGTGGCTGCAGCGACGTAGATGAGACAGTTGGGGCTGACTGGTCACTTTACGCGGAACCACTACTGTACATGCATGGACTTGCGTCAGTAGACGCAGTGACGGTTAACACTGACCACCTTGTATGCCCTGGCGGCTTTCCATGTGGCCCGTAGCCCCGCCCGCATGTATTGTAACGTTTCCCTGGACGTGATTGTTTTCCTGTTGAGATTCCCTGCACCTGTGTGTGCCTGTCCGTGTCTTACAAATAAATGCGACAGGACGCGTCGATATCCAACGGTCAGCTGCGATCTGTCAGACGGTTCCGTTGAAGGTTACATAATTTGTGTGTTTACTTGCCTGAAAAGGAAACCTGGTTTTAGCTGTCCTACGAGTAAACTATGGCAATTACGTGGCCTATAACATCAAACAGTAAATGCATCGAATAGAAACAACATCGCCTAATCACACTAGTCACGTTCCATCGCCCTTCATGCTAACTGCAGAAGGTATGCCAAAGCAAGCCAACTCGTCACGGAATAAAAAGAACACTCAACGCTGTAGCAGGAACACGACCCGCGGCAAAAATCCCGCGCATGTCGGACAAATGCAGCTGCGATGGCAGCCGGGCCTTTAAGCCGTACGATGTAATCCACCAACTGTTTTCCTAAGGCTCACTACCTACTTAATAACTACCCAGCTACGCAACACTCAAGCCATGTCTGTTGTCAACTGCCAACCTAGGAACTGCTTGTCACGGTGTCATCACCGCGCCTGATGGGCCCTCTACGGCTACCTCAGCGCGGAGGCAATCAAGCTGACGGCGCAGATGGCGGAGCCGCTGGCGCAGCTGCAGGTAAGAGGGCGGGGGGGGAAGGAGGGAGGGGGCGTGCGCAGCTGTGTAGCCACTGTCTCTACCGGCTGGGCCGTAATCCGCCTCTCCGCCTCCCTCTCATTGGCTCTTCTTCTTCCCCCCTGCACCCTGCCCCCCCCTGCCCCCGCCCCAGGCCGCCGCCCGCCACATCGCGGAGGTGAGTCGCGAGTGCAAGCTGGATCTGGACCCCGAGGAGTACGTGGAGGGCTTCAAGCCCGCGCTGATGGACGTCATGTACGCCTGGAGCAAGGGCGCGACCTTCGAGCAGGTGGGGGGTAAAAATAAAGAAACACTGACAAACTGGGGGGTGGGGGGTGGGGGTGGAGGTGGGGGTGGGGGTGGGGGGAGGTGGAGAGGTATGCGAGTATTACAGGGGAGTCAGAAGGACTCGAGTGGAGAGGGGTAAAGAGAAGGGAAGGAGTGCCAGGATGCGGTGTGCAACATGGGGTACCGTACGGGAATGTGGGTAGAAGCAGCAGGACCGGTACCTCCTCATCCCCCTTCCGCATGATGCGTTGATACCTCCTGCCCTGCTTCCCGCCCCCTCACCCATCCTCACCCATCCAACCCTCTCACCCCCCACTGGGAATCCCCCCACCCACCCACACCCCCAGGTGTGCGACATGACGGACATCTTCGAGGGCTCGCTGGTGCGCGCCACCCGGCGACTGGACGAGCTGCTGGGGCAGCTGGCTGCTGCGGCGGCCGCGGTGGGGGACATGCAGCTGGCGGACAAGATCCGGGCGGCCACGGAGACCATCCGGAGGGACATCATGTTCGCAGCGTCGCTGTACATCTAGAAAGGAAGAGGGGGGGTGGAGAGGGATGGGTGTAAGGGGGGATACGTGGGGAGGTGGATATTCCGGTCATTGGGCTGGAGGGGCAGCGAGGGGCAGTGAGGGGTAGAAGGGGAAAGGGGAAGGGGGCGCGGTTAAGAGGATGGGGGGGGGAAGGGAAAGGAACTTTTGACTTGCAGACGATTGAAGCCGAGGGGCAGCGACGCCAACGCGCATGAAAAGACTTGACGTGAAAAGACTGTTGAAAGAAGATCTTGAACTGCCGAAGATTTTCGAGGGGGAGGGGTGGGGGAGTGTACGGCCGTTACAATGGTTGGTCTCCATGGCGGGAACACAAGTGCTCGGTGGGGCTCCTGGCTGGAGAGGCGATGCAATCGAGTAGCGATGCAGTGCAGAGGGCGCCTGCTGGGCGGCCGCGGAGGCAGCAGCTGGTCCCCCGGGTGGGCTGCACCGCCACCTAGGGGGTTTCGTGATGATGATGATGACGTCAAGTGATGACGCCTGTGTTACGGCAACTTAGCGGTGCTGGGGCGGGTGGCTGCAGCGACGTAGATGAGACAGTTGGGGCTGACTGGTCACTTTACGCGGAACCACTACTGTACATGCATGGACTTGCGTCAGTAGACGCAGTGACGGTTAACACTGACCACCTTGTATGCCCTGGCGGCTTTCCATGTGGCCCGTAGCCCCGCCCGCATGTATTGTAACGTTTCCCTGGACGTGATTGTTTTCCTGTTGAGATTCCCTGCACCTGTGTGTGCCTGTCCGTGTCTTACAAATAAATGCGACAGGACGCGTCGATATCCAACGGTCAGCTGCGATCTGTCAGACGGTTCCGTTGAAGGTTACATAATTTGTGTGTTTACTTGCCTGAAAAGGAAACCTGGTTTTAGCTGTCCTACGAGTAAACTATGGCAATTACGTGGCCTATAACATCAAACAGTAAATGCATCGAATAGAAACAACATCGCCTAATCACACTAGTCACGTTCCATCGCCCTTCATGCTAACTGCAGAAGGTATGCCAAAGCAAGCCAACTCGTCACGGAATAAAAAGAACACTCAACGCTGTAGCAGGAACACGACCCGCGGCAAAAATCCCGCGCATGTCGGACAAATGCAGCTGCGATGGCAGCCGGGCCTTTAAGCCGTACGATGTAATCCACCAACTGTTTTCCTAAGGCTCACTACCTACTTAATAACTACCCAGCTACGCAACACTCAAGCCATGTCTGTTGTCAACTGCCAACCTAGGAACTGCTTGTCACGGTGTCATCACCGCGCCTGATGGGCCCTCTACGGCTACCTCAGCGCGGAGGCAATCAAGCTGACGGCGCAGATGGCGGAGCCGCTGGCGCAGCTGCAGGTAAGAGGGCGGGGGGGGAAGGAGGGAGGGGGCGTGCGCAGCTGTGTAGCCACTGTCTCTACCGGCTGGGCCGTAATCCGCCTCTCCGCCTCCCTCTCATTGGCTCTTCTTCTTCCCCCCTGCACCCTGCCCCCCCCTGCCCCCGCCCCAGGCCGCCGCCCGCCACATCGCGGAGGTGAGTCGCGAGTGCAAGCTGGATCTGGACCCCGAGGAGTACGTGGAGGGCTTCAAGCCCGCGCTGATGGACGTCATGTACGCCTGGAGCAAGGGCGCGACCTTCGAGCAGGTGGGGGGTAAAAATAAAGAAACACTGACAAACTGGGGGGTGGGGGGTGGGGGGTGGGGGTGGAGGTGGGGGTGGGGGTGGGGGGAGGTGGAGAGGTATGCGAGTATTACAGGGGAGTCAGAAGGACTCGAGTGGAGAGGGGTAAAGAGAAGGGAAGGAGTGCCAGGATGCGGTGTGCAACATGGGGTACCGTACGGGAATGTGGGTAGAAGCAGCAGGACCGGTACCTCCTCATCCCCCTTCCGCATGATGCGTTGATACCTCCTGCCCTGCTTCCCGCCCCCTCACCCATCCTCACCCATCCAACCCTCTCACCCCCCACTGGGAATCCCCCCACCCACCCACACCCCCAGGTGTGCGACATGACGGACATCTTCGAGGGCTCGCTGGTGCGCGCCACCCGGCGACTGGACGAGCTGCTGGGGCAGCTGGCTGCTGCGGCGGCCGCGGTGGGGGACATGCAGCTGGCGGACAAGATCCGGGCGGCCACGGAGACCATCCGGAGGGACATCATGTTCGCAGCGTCGCTGTACATCTAGAAAGGAAGAGGGGGGGTGGAGAGGGATGGGTGTAAGGGGGGATACGTGGGGAGGTGGATATTCCGGTCATTGGGCTGGAGGGGCAGCGAGGGGCAGTGAGGGGTAGAAGGGGAAAGGGGAAGGGGGCGCGGTTAAGAGGATGGGGGGGGGAAGGGAAAGGAACTTTTGACTTGCAGACGATTGAAGCCGAGGGGCAGCGACGCCAACGCGCATGAAAAGACTTGACGTGAAAAGACTGTTGAAAGAAGATCTTGAACTGCCGAAGATTTTCGAGGGGGAGGGGTGGGGGAGTGTACGGCCGTTACAATGGTTGGTCTCCATGGCGGGAACACAAGTGCTCGGTGGGGCTCCTGGCTGGAGAGGCGATGCAATCGAGTAGCGATGCAGTGCAGAGGGCGCCTGCTGGGCGGCCGCGGAGGCAGCAGCTGGTCCCCCGGGTGGGCTGCACCGCCACCTAGGGGGTTTCGTGATGATGATGATGACGTCAAGTGATGACGCCTGTGTTACGGCAACTTAGCGGTGCTGGGGCGGGTGGCTGCAGCGACGTAGATGAGACAGTTGGGGCTGACTGGTCACTTTACGCGGAACCACTACTGTACATGCATGGACTTGCGTCAGTAGACGCAGTGACGGTTAACACTGACCACCTTGTATGCCCTGGCGGCTTTCCATGTGGCCCGTAGCCCCGCCCGCATGTATTGTAACGTTTCCCTGGACGTGATTGTTTTCCTGTTGAGATTCCCTGCACCTGTGTGTGCCTGTCCGTGTCTTACAAATAAATGCGACAGGACGCGTCGATATCCAACGGTCAGCTGCGATCTGTCAGACGGTTCCGTTGAAGGTTACATAATTTGTGTGTTTACTTGCCTGAAAAGGAAACCTGGTTTTAGCTGTCCTACGAGTAAACTATGGCAATTACGTGGCCTATAACATCAAACAGTAAATGCATCGAATAGAAACAACATCGCCTAATCACACTAGTCACGTTCCATCGCCCTTCATGCTAACTGCAGAAGGTATGCCAAAGCAAGCCAACTCGTCACGGAATAAAAAGAACACTCAACGCTGTAGCAGGAACACGACCCGCGGCAAAAATCCCGCGCATGTCGGACAAATGCAGCTGCGATGGCAGCCGGGCCTTTAAGCCGTACGATGTAATCCACCAACTGTTTTCCTAAGGCTCACTACCTACTTAATAACTACCCAGCTACGCAACACTCAAGCCATGTCTGTTGTCAACTGCCAACCTAGGAACTGCTTGTCACGGTGTCATCACCGCGCCTGATGGGCCCTCTACGGCTACCTCAGCCCACGCGAGCCCCGCGCAAACACACTGCCAAACGCAAACGCTCCTCACCCGCCTGCCTGACAGCCTGCTGCCGGCCCCACCGGACCACACCAGTAACCCGCCTCAGCTCTCACGGCCTCCTCCCCTGGCCAGTATTACCGGTACTTCAAATCCACCTAAACGCACGGATTCCTAGGAAGCCCAGGCTCCAAGGGCCACACTTCCTACCCACTCCTCATCCACCCGCCCCTACTCCATGTGACCCCACTCAGCCAGGCTCGAACCCGCATGCGACCGGCTCTGCGCTGCCGTACTGCCCGCCGGAACCACTCCAAAGGTGCCGTACGCGCCATAGGGCCCCGTCGTGGCCACCATCGGAACCCCCGGGGCTCCCCCCTCAGCCCGGGGGGAGGCCTTTAGCAGCACCTGAGAGGCGGCCCGCAGCTGCTGCAGGGTCTGCTGGTGCGGGTGCAGGGGCTGTTGGTGCGGCTGGAGTGCTTGGTGCTGCTGCTGGGGGTGGGTTTGCTGGGGGTTGGGGTGCGGGGGGTGCTGAGGGGTGGGGTGTTGCTGCTGGGGCTGAGGCTGCTGCTGCTGCAGGGGTTGTTGGCGCTGTTGTTGTTGCTGCTGTTGCTGAAGGGTCATGGCGTCAGGAACGCCGGCGCTGCGACGGGAAGAACCGCTGGCGGGGGCTGCTGCAGCAACGGGGCCCTGAGAGGCGGCTGCGGGAGCAGTTGGAGCTGCACCGACAGGGGCAGCAGCAGCAGGCGCGGGGGCGGCGGTGGCTGGGGCGGCAGCAGGCGCAGGAGCAGTGGAGATGGGTCCGCTGAAGCTGTTGGGTCCGCTGCCCGAACCGGTTCGTACCAGCGGCACAGGGCCGTTCACCGAGCTGCGTTGCTGAGCGGCGGCAGCGGAGGCGGCAGCAGAGGAGCCGCCGGGGGCAGCGGGGGCCGAGGGGTTGACAGGGGTAGGGGTTGCCGAGGCACCGGGCGCCTGGTGTTGCTGGGGCTGAGGAGGCCGAGGGGGCGCGTTTCGGCCCTGCGGAGCGCTCTGAGGGTGGTTGGGGAGCAGCACGGGACAGGGATGAAGGCGTGCCGTGTTTGCTTCGTTCAGACTGACAATGGGGCCGCGAGTAATTTGGACCTTAGGCACACAAAGCACCTCCAAATGCACAAGGGAGGGAGGAAAACGTTGGCCAATATATACTTGTGTACTGCACACTAGGAGAACCCCAAAACAGACCCATGCCGCTTACCGGCAGCGGCTGGCCGATCTGGCTGGAGGGACGACCCAGCGGCGGAGCTGCGTGCAGCCGCGACCCCGATCCCGCACCGCCTAGACCGACGCCCATGCTGGGGGGATGCAGGGTGCCGCTGCGAGGTGCCTGGGGCGCCTGCTGCTGCTGCTGGGGCGCTGCCGCCGCGGCCGCCGCCACTCGCATCAGCAGAGCCGCTCCGACCGCGGCCATTTGCTGGGACAGAGTGACCCATGGGACGGCGGTGCGGGTGGTGAGTGGCGGAAGCTCCAGTGCGCGCTTGGCGGGCTCGGACCGGTTGGCGCGGCGCTCTGCGGGAGCGGGACACATGTGAACAAGAGCATATGAGCCATTGAACTAAAGAATTTTGCGGTAAATACTATGACAATTCCAAGGTTATATATTAGAGAGTAAGGGCCTGCTACTAGGTTAGCAATTCTGTGTGAGCATTTCATAAATGTCAAGTGCTTGCGAGCCTGCGGTGCTGCATGCAGCTGGATTGCTTCACCCCCTCACCGGCTGCCAGCTTGGCTGCGGCGGTGCCTGCGCCCACCGTCAATTGCACCGCCCGATCCCAGGCGGCCCGCACAGACTGCGCCCGTGCCGCCCACATCTGCGGAGGAGGATGGGGAGCAACGGTTGACGGGTTGGGACCCACGTGCCAGTCGGAATACTCACAACGCAAGACGGGATTCCCTCCAACACATCTCTTGTATTGGTGCCGGTAGAGGCCGCCCACCCACACCAACGGGAGCCCGAGTCCATGTGACCCATATCTAGCAAGCCGAGACTACATGGAGTCACCCACCTTGAGCTGCTCCAGGGTTGCTTGGGCAGTGGCTGCCGCCGCCGCCTGAGCCGGGGTTGCAGCCGCCAGCGCCCCCCCGCTGCTGCCAGTTGCAGCCGCTAGCTCGGCCTTGAGCTCCTCTAGGGCAGCCGCCTGCTGCAGAATGGTCATGGTATCTCCCGGACTGCAGGAAGGAGGGCGGAGATGGGGGAGCGGACGTAGTAAGCGGGGAGGCCAGGGCGCTTTTTTGTATAAACTCGCATGTATAAAGCAACTAATCACGATAAGACATCGTATCTAGGGAGCCCACAAGGTTCGTGTATCAACTGAACTAGATACTCGGGCTCCCCACATCCCTACTTACAGCACGCTGCCCGGCGCCACAGCGGCCCCCGCTGCCAGCTGAACCATCGCAGCCGCCGACACGTACACTCCGTCTCCTACATTGGCCGCGTGCACCGACTGCTCCTCCGAGGACAGGCATGACAGCTGCACCTGCAGCACCGACCACAGACGATCCGAGGAGAAGGGCTGCTGCTCCTGAAGCAGCAGCTGCTGCTGCTGCTGACGGGACTGCTGCTGCTGCTGTTGAGTCCTCGAGAGGGAGGTCAACGAGGAGGAGGAAGAGATCTCCGCAGCAGCAGCAGCCGGGTGGATCACCTCATGCAGCGCACGCCAGAGCCTGCAGTCAAGGGGACATACAATATTGTATTCATTACACATACTTCATCAGAAATGCTCGGGCCCCATCTTTCCTTCAACTCCTGCTGACCCACGGGTCATCATGTGCCCGCTCTTCAATGTGCCCAACACAATACACTTCTCCGCACCCACCCAGGCAGTCCAAATGTGGGCGGCAACTGCTCCTGCAGCCGCTCCTGCACCAGTGCGGCCGCCTGCACCGCCGGCTGCTCCGCGGAGACCAGTCCGGGGGGCAGCGGCTGGCCCAGCAGCATGCCCGCCAGGCCGGTTCCGGGAGGGGGCGGAGGCACGGAGGCGGCGTTCTGGGCACCCGAGGACTTGCCGAGCATGGGGTTGACCGGCTCTGCAAGTGGATTGGAGGGAGAGCCATGTAGGTTAGCGAAAAGGTTGGGGTATAAGACGGATACCTGGAAAGGAACGGGACTGGTGTTCAAGGTGTGATGGGAGGCAAGTCGTAACCCACGCCATCACCTACCCGACTGAGCCATCGCCTTAAGCACAGAGTGGGCCTGCTGGTCAGCCTGCATGCACAGGGGTGCGTGTTAGGAAGGGAGCCTTAAATGACGCCACAGATTGGGAGGTACGCACGCAGTAAGAGCGACGCATTGCAGCAATGGCAGCGGACAGCACAACAATTGACAGCACACAAGGGGGCCTCTCCTCGCCCCACCCTAGACCATGCACCACCCCCACCATCCCCACTCTCGCCCCACCTGCATGGCAGTCGCGGTGAGCGGCAGCAGGTGCGGCACCCGGCCCACACAGAGCTCGGCGAGCACACTGTCTGTCAGCGCGACCACTGCCACCGTGTTGCCCAGGGCCTGCAGGGAGACGGTTCACCACCCAAGTACATGTTAATCCTATGTAATTCCATGAAGGCAGCAAAATGCCAAAAGCAAGCTAAAGCAAGGACCAGACAGGTCAGCCATGTCCCACCTGTAGGGCCCTGTTCGCCGACACCAGCATCTCGCTGTGTCCGCGGTCCCGCAGCCAGCGCTGCTGCAGCTGCAGGTAGCCCGAGGCACCGCCCGTGCCCCGCAGACCCGGACCCCGGGGGCCCGCCACGCTGCTGTCGTACAGCTCGTGAACCCGTCGCAGCAGGGGAGCCGCGTCCTGATTGTGGTGGCGGGAGCGAGAGAAAGGAAGAGTGAGGTTATTGAGGAGGTGTACTGTAATCGTAAGCGCACCTGGCAAAGGCTCGAGATGGACGAAATGCAAACAACACTAAAGCACGGTTGCCTATTACGAGCCAGTGAAGGATGCATGAAAGCCACGATCCCTCCCCATCCCAACTCACCGAAAGCAGCTCGGACGCATGTCGGCGCAGAGCCGCCACCCAGCGGCCCACCCCGCTCAGACCCAGCAGCCCATGCATCGCCACCACATGCTCCCGACCAAACTCCGGCCACTCCAGCGGGCCTGCTGCACCGGCCCCGCTGCCGCCGCTGCTGCTACGGCCGCCGTCCTTGGAGCCCCTGCGGCTGCTGCTCGAGGGGCCCAGCAACCCGGCCGCCGCCATCACCGCTGCGGCGGCGGACTCCAGAGTGGCGTCCGCACCGTCCCGATGGTGCACGGCAGCCTCCGCCTTGTTGGCTACCCCCGTCAGGCCGTCCCAGTAGCTCTGTTAGGAAAAGAACAAGGGGACTCAAGAACGTTAGAGGACCACCATGTTACGAGCAGAGCAGAACCATGCACGAGTGCAGGCACTTCAGTAGCACTTCAGCTCAGCATCGTGGCATGGCTTGGAGGTTTATACAACGCACAGAGTCTTCCACCCATCCGCATGCAGAGAGAGACACGCATCAACATACCTTGGTGTGCTTGGTGTGACGGAATCGTACGGCAATCATGTCGTACGACCACATGCTCAGTGCCCGCAGTACACCCGGGCTGCACACGTGCGTCAGGAGGATCTCCTCGACCGTCACGTGCACGCCTGCACCGTTGATCCCGCATCCCTGTACGACGGAGGCAGCAGTCGCCGCCGCCGCCTCCGCAATCGCCGTACAAGTGGGCGCAGAGGCGGCGCGGGCAGCGAGCGCTGCAAGCCAGGTGTCGCTCCAGGGGCGGATGTTTGGCAGGTCACGACGCAAGCGGGATACTGCCAGCGACAAGACGTCAAGCTGCGGGTCACATGAAGCACATAGTTGGGTTTGAGATAAGGGTTCCCTATTAGGGTCCATAAATGGAATGGACATGCAGGGAATCAAGGCCGGCATAGTCAAGCAATATGGAGGAATGGTAACGGAAAGTAGAAGGGTCTGCAAGGCTAAAGTAAACAGAATGGAACTTCCGCGAAACTCTCTCCCACCTGCTGCTTGACCGCCACCAGGGCAGTCATGTCCGAGCCCAGCAGCAAAGAGGCTGTACGGCAGGCCGCCTGTCGCACCAGATCCTCCACCGCTGCTGACAGCATGTCAGTGATGCTCAGCTCGGGGGGCAGCCGGGGCTCCGTCCTGCAGCGGCAGCAGCAGTGGGCACAACAACGGGAAACAAGTATGTGGCTGGGCCATTCTTGCTTGCGTGCCCCAGCATACAGGAACGATGATATGACAGAATTGGCAGCGTCGAGAGCTCGAGACATTGGGGCTTAGACAGCAAGACAGAACCAGCTCATTGCAACATTAAGGGCGTGACGTACCCGTATCCAGTCAGCTGTTGCAGCTGCAGCACGGCGGAGTCCTCCCGGGCGTGTTGGAAGAAGCCCTGCAGAGCGGCGGTGCTGGGCGCCACGTCCGCAGCACCCGAGGGAACCTGCATGCCCAGCTCCCACCGTATCGCCTGAGCCTGCGGGGACAACAGGGCGGGTGGCGCGGCGGTGCCGAGACTCGACATAGAGGTAGAGATAACGAATGCCAAAACACCGAGGAGAACTGACAAGGATTTGACAAGGAGGGCGAAAGGAAAGCGTGCTAAGCAGTAAGAAACTACAGAAACCACCATCACCACCCAGGCACGCATACCTTGAATGTGGCCCACACGCTCCGCGCGGCCGAGTGAACGAGGTTGTTCAGGCACCAGCGGGCCTGCCGCCTGAAGAGCAACACCATGCGCTCGGCCATGGGGGGCTCCGGGTAGCCGGAGGCGGTGCAGCTGGCCTGCAGCAGCAGCAGCAGCATGACGTGGAGTGAGAGTGCGGGTTCCGTTGCTGAGAGGACGGAGCAGTACACGCGAGTGTTTGCGTGTGTTGGATCTTATGGAAGGACAGGGTTCGATTCTCGGCATTGCCGACCAAGGGCACCTCTGTCTAAGCAATCAAAGACACGACAACACACACACACGCAACCGCGCACCTGCTGCGCCTGCACCGCCTCAGTCACATCGTGGAACAGCGCCAACGCCGTCAGTGCAGCCGTCAGCGGCAGCTCCGGAGCCTTGCTGGCCGCTGCAGCGCCTGCCACCTGCAGCTGCCCCTGTCCCTGTCCAAGCCCCTGTCCCAGCACACCCTTGCTGGCCAGCTCCCAAGGAACACTGCCGCGCGAGTCGGCAGCCAGACGTCCGTCCACCGAGCCCGCGTAGGGGCGCGAGGGGTCGAGCAGGAGCAGCGCCGAGAGGTCGGAGGCGGAGGCGAGGTGGGAGCGGAAGGCGAGGAGGGGCTCCAGGGAGGGAAGGTCCGAGTTCAGGAAGGAACGGATCTCCGCAAAGAGTGCAAGGAGCTGCACCAGAGAGGGGCCTGAGAGGGCAGGGGTGCATACAAGGACAAAGGAAAAGGACCAATGTGAGAGGGGAGATCCTAATGGGCTACGAGTGCAGGATATGGATACCAGCAACCCCAACTTTGTCATTGCCAAAAAGGTCACATGCCCAGCAAGGAACTTTTACTCCACTACCAGCGCCAATGCAGTCCGTGTGGTGGATGCAAACAAGGAAAAAGAGAAAACAGCGTCATGAACAGGACAGCAATCACAAACAACATCCCTACCCACCGTCCTTGGTGGACTTCCCCCTGCTGCGCCGGTTCCCAACCATCTTCTCAATCTCATTCGCCATGAGCTCAGCCACATTGCGCAGCCGGGCGGCACCCTGGCGGTCTAGACCCACAAACTCCGAGCCGGCAGCATCCCAGGCAGCCTCCAGGGCCTGGCCCGCAGCTGCATCGCTGCCGCCCGTGTCTACAAGGTTGCAGACAATGCGAGAAAGAGAATGTGTTAGGTTATATACTTAAAGTTGATATCAGAAGAGAAGATCTCGTACAATGAGCACAGGCAAGGAGTGTATGCAGGCTGGAAGCGGGTTAAGGCGAAGTAAGTCCACGCGATGCCATTCATCAACTTGCCGCTGCAATAGCATTGTTAAAAACGCACCAGAGCTTGCACGACCGCCACTCTTCCCCTTCAGGGAGACCACCAGGCGCTTTAGTCCGGCCTTGCGACTAATGGCGCCAAAGCCGCCCTTGCGCCCCGCAGCCCCCGGAGCGCCGTGAGCCTGGCTGCCCGGGACTCCCGCAGCAGCAGCAGCCTCAAGACCCGAAGTAAAGCCCGCACTGACCAGGCAAACCTAGCAGCGGGAGCAGGGGGCATGGTTCGCCAGGTTCGGGTGTCTACCGCGTCATTCCGGGATAAGCTTTCAAGCCACGTGCAAAGGCGCCAGGTGGAGAAGACACAACTGACCCGTGGGTCCGTGGAGCGAGGTACTGGGTAACAAAGGACATACACACGTAACAGGAGGTGTTCACGCTCATCTACCTGCATCTCCGAGGCGAGCTGCTTGAGCCTCATGCAGCTGTTCTGTTCGCGGGCCTTGCACACAACATCCAGGAAAGCCGCCGCTCCGCCGCCCAGCAAGCCTCCCAGACCGCCTCCGACCTTGCCTCCGGTGGGACCTGCTGCAGGTCCCATGGCTGCCACCCCACCCGCCAGCGTCGCCTCCCCAGCCACATCCCCGGCACGGGGCGTCCGAGCGCTCTGCATCTGCTGCGGCAGCGACATCGACAGTGACGCCGAGTGCTGGTGCTGCTGCTGCTGGTGCTCAGAATCCAATGCCGTACCCGCCATCAGAGTCAGCTCAGGCTCGGGCTCTCCCACACTGCCCTGAGACTGCAGCGCCTGGTGCACAAACGGCGCGGTTGCGGGCAGGTCCACCGCCGGCTCAACGCTGACCATCGCAATAGCTCCGTCATGCGCCGCAGCTTCCGAAACCAGACCGGCCCAGTCGCTCGACGCCATCGACTGCCTGAAGCCCGCGGGCAGCTGAGCATGCGTCGCACCATGCAACCCGGGATGATGGTTGTGGAAAGCGGCTCCGGGGGAAGCAGGAGCAGTGTAGAGGCTTGGCAGCATGCCCGGCATCATGAAGGGCAGAGCCGCGTGGTCGGCAGCACCGCCCATCGGGGGCGCGGCTCCCAGCGAAGGGGCGAGGTCGGGTTGGAAAGCGAGGTAGGTTGCGGGCAGGATGCCAAAGCCGCCGCCAACCAAGGCTGAGGGGTACTCAGTGCCGTACAGAGCATCCAGACCCAAGTCATGGTTGGCTGTGTCATCCAGAGTTGCGGCGTTGGTAGCGCCATGGACGCCGGCCGAGGGCTGCTGCTGCTGCATCGCAGTGCCGCTGGACGCCTTGTCGCGCTTTCCAAAGAGCTTCTTGAAGCGCGAAAAGGTGGAGGAGCGCTTCTGCTTGCCGTCCGCTGGCTGCTGCTGCTGCTGGATGACGTCAGCAGAAGACACGGGTTGGGGAGCGGCGACGGCCGCGGCGGCGTTGTTCATCATGACGTCAGGCTGCATTAGGTGATCGGTGGTAGCAGCCAGAGCGCCTGCGGGCTCCAGCTGGGCCGAAACGCCGTTGCCCAGGTCGCCAGCAACTGGAGATCCTCCCTCCAAACCATACATCTGCACATGCGACTGCTCCTGTTGCTGCTGCTGCTGCTGAATCAGGTGCTGGTCGGGGACGGCCGGATAAAACTGGTGCATACCTCCAGCGCCCATGTCAATGCTGCAACCCATTTCATCCATGTACACCGAGGGCGTCTGGTGGCCATCCACATTGTCGCCGTTCATGCTGGGAGGCGCCGCTGTAGAGGCCGCAGCCACCGCTAGCGCCGCCTGATCTGCACCCGTCAGCGCTGTCCCCATGGAGCCGCCCTCGCTGGCAATCAGGATGGCCACGGTCGCACGTTCCTGCTCCGCCACCGCCTCCTCCGCAGCGCTTGGGTACACGTAGAGCGGGTTGGTGCTGATCGCGGCAGGCGGAGTCACCCGCGCCAGCACTGCCGCCGCCTGGGTAACGCTTCCAGCATTCGCGCCTGCCTTGGGCGTCGTGGTGTTGCTCCCAGCGAGCCAGGAAGCCAACGGCATCTCCGGCCAGTTGATCTCGGATCCGGTCACGGATCCTGCCCAGCGCCGCTTGCTAGCAGATCCCGGCTGCTCCCGGCTGACCCGCGCAAGTCCGCTCTTCATGGTCGAACCCCCAGCAGCCGCCATACCGCGTCCGCCCTCGGCCCTCTCCTGATCCTCTGTCACGTCTCCCTCCTCCTCGTCCTCCTCATGCTGCCGGTACAACTCCTCCTCGTCCTCATGACCATCCAGGGTTGCGTCCCGAGCACTTATGTCCAACCCGCCCATGCCGTTCGCCGTATCGCTCACGCTGCTGACGGTGCACTCCACCCCATCCTCGGTAACCTCCGTGCATGCGCCACCACCCGTGTTCAGCAGCATCGCCTGCATGTCGCGGCTCTTAGGCAGGGTGCCGCTCATGCAGCCACCCGAGGGACTGCATGAGCCGTGGTGATGCACCGAGGGACTCAAGGCGTCACCCCCCACGGCACCAGCACCGCCGCTGCCGCCTTGCATCCGGTGGCTCATGCTTGCAGAGGTAGCAGCCACGTCAGAACGGGGCGTAGGGCCCTCCGGAACGGCTTGAAGCGGGGCGTTACGGTCGACCTCAATGTCGTTGCCTGATTGTTGGTTACCGTTGGCAAACCACTCACGAAGCCGGGTGTACGGGTCGTTGGTGGTGCGAACATCGGCGGGCGACTTGCTTGGCGGCCAGTCGGCAGCGTCTGCGGTGATGCTGGCAATCAGGTTGCATGTATCCGCAGAGTCCTCTGTCGTGCGTTGAGACATCATGGTTCCGGTGAGGGCGCTCTCAGCGGGAAGGGCAAAGGCAACCGCGGGCGGCGCAGAAACAGGCGGTGGGCGGAGACCGAGACCCAGAACATCCTGGGTAGCGGTGTTGTTGTTAGCCCCAGAGGCGACTGCAGCAGTGATGGTAGAGTGGTGGCGACCGTGGGAACTTGCCTTGCCCTTCCAAATGCGGCCAAGGCCAAGGGCAGTGTTGTGGGGGTGGTGGTGGTTGCCACTGTTGTTGGTTGTTGTGATGGCATCCAGGGAGTTAACGTCACCAGAGGCGGAACCCACGCGGGGACTGGCGGACTGCAGGGGACCCGACAAGGGGTGAAGACCCGTGCTGTTGTTGTTGTTGTTGCTGTGGGAGGTGCCGAACGCGAGGCCGGGGGCGATCGCTCGCGCCGAGGAAGGTGCGGATGTCGGATAGGCTGCAAAACACAAGGGTGAGTGAAAGGGCAGCGGGGTGGGTGGGTGTCAAGTTTACGCAGACATCATGACAGACAGGCAAGGCTATAAAGCAGTGTGAAAAAGGCATTTATCCGCATGTATAGTGGCCATGCGGCCAATTGTCTTAAAAAGCGCAAGGGACCTAGCAAACGAAGCAACGGTATTGAGGCAAGGACTAAACCCCACTCACGTCCACTTCGTCATCTCACCAGACACCACCCACCCCTCACCTTCACGTGCCGACTGTGGACCCAGAGCGCGTGCATACTGTTGTTGCTGATGTGGCGGCATCAACTGTTGCTGCGACGCAAACCGGTGGTCTGCCAACATCGCCGCCGCCGCAGCAGCCGTCATTCCCCCGGTTGCAGACGCCTTTGCACCCGCCGCCTCGCCTCCCGCAACTCCCTGCGCCACCACAGACACGGGGACCATGACCGATGTCGCGAGCTGGCGGAGGTGCGAGACGCAGTGGGCCTTGAGGAGGGGCTCAAGCCACGTCATGTTGTCGTTCAGGATGCCGTACAGTCCCTTGATGTACGACACCATGCGTACGACGTCGGGAAGATCGGTTGCCGTGAAGGCGCTCCTGCAGGGTTGGGGGAATGGAAGGGGTTTGGGTCGGTTTGGGAGTGGATGGATGTAGCTAGAGACAAAGATAGGAAGAGAACCCTTGCTTCGCACGCTTCCCTGAGCGAAACACACGACGAGTCCAACTGACCTCGGCAGAGGACCCATCAGCGTTGAAGAAGCCACATCGCTGCCACCCGTAGACTGAGCCCGCTCCTCGCCACCCATGGCCGCCCGCTCCTCCTCAAGCCTCTGCAGGCGTTGCTGCCGCTGCCAAGTACGGAAGGCATCCAACAGAAGTACGGCTGCCTGCCAGTCCTGCAAGAGCTGTACGGCACGACCCGCCAGGCCTCCGGCCGCCTGGGTAATAGCCTGGGTGGATCCCGACCCATGGGTCGCTGGCTGGCTGTTGGGGTTCTTGCTCGCGGGGACCACGGCAGCGACCGCAGTTGGGGTTGCCGGGTTGCTTGCGGGCCTGTTGCTGCTGTTGTTAGCCGAGGATGCTGAGGAGGAGGACGTTAGCGCCTCGTGCTGAAGCTTGAGGGAGAGCAGGTCCTCGACGAGCCGACCGTAGTCGCGTGCGGCTGCGACCGACACGGAAGACAGGTTGTACCTGCACGGCACGGAAGAGGGCATGAGCGATACCACGTCAACTTGAGCACACGGATACATATTCGCGATAAAGGCTACATGTCTCTTGATCATAAGCCTGCGGAATGCTTAATCCCACATAGCGAAACGCTATAATTAAGCAAATCGTGTACATTCCTTGCAAACCACAGCTGAATTACGCAATGCAAGCCCAACCCACGTACCTCTCCTCAGCAGCAGCGGCATGCAGATACATGCTGCCGCCCACGCCCGACTCCCACGGCGGCCCGCAGGTGAGCTGCGACAGGCCCTGAAGCGGTCTCAGCAGGTCGACAGGCACATCGCCATAGCCGGGCACCACGGGGGTGCTCCGGAGGACCGAAACGCAGGAACGCAGGATCTTGTAGGTGGCGGCGGCGGCAGCCTTGGAGGTCGCAGTATCGGCAGCGGCGCCGCCCGTCTGGGCGTTGACAGTCGCCTGCTGCTCCTGAGGTTTACAAGGTTGAGGAGGAGTGAAGCGTACCGTTGGTAAGGGGTGACGAGGGTATCAAGCACGGATAACCAGTACGAAATGAATTCGAAATGGGTACAACGACCCATGCAGAATGCAAAAACGCCCCCATCTTTTCCACTCTCGGCCTACTCGGCAGCTCAGCCACACTCCCTCTCTCACCTGCTCTGCCGTATCCACGCAGCAGTACAGATATACCAGCAGCGACAGTCCGATGCGCGCACCAGACCGAGCAGCAATGCTAGCCCCACTGCCTGCACCGCCCAAGCCTGCTCCCGCAGCCCCCGCACCCCCGTGGCCCGAGCCGCTGCTCAGACCCAACTTGGACTTGAAGGACGAGCGCTTCACGGTTCCGGAGCGGTCGCCGGCGGCGGTGGCCGAGTCCTGGCTTGCATGCAAGGTCTCCACGGTGACGAGCTGGCGCTGCAGGAGGCCCAGAAGGGCGTGCTTGGCGCTAGTGAGGGTTGAGGCGTCCTCCAGGAGCAGGTCTCGGAGCAGGACGACGCAGGCAGCGGGCATGCCGAAAAAGTCCTGTGGATGTGGGGGGAAGATGGAAAAGGTTGAGGTTGAAAGAGGAATGGGACGGAGGTCAATGACGGCGCGGTTGGCGAAGCAGGTGAAGATGCGGGAACGGGGCCTATAAAATATAATCGCCACGTGGAATAATATCAAGTGGGGTGTGTCAAGTAATTGAGCGGGCAGCTAGTAAATGCGGCGACAAGCCCTATGGTTCAAGGCGCCAGCCAACCGACCTGTACGGCAACCAGCAGTTGCTGCTCGTCCCCTTCCTGCGCCGTGACGCTCATGAGTGCCGTACGGAGGGACTGCTTGGTGTCCTTCAGGCAGTCAAGGATGTGCATGGAGGCGAGCAGGGAGGACATCAACCTGCGAGCAGGAGAGGATGCGAAACCACAGCGGCGGAAAGAGATGAGAGAGGGGAGGATGTGGTGCGTAGAATGGGCAATATTACTGCTCTAGCACAAAATCTGAACTCCTGAACGCAAAGCGTAGTCCCGCAATACCGGTAAGCGCACCTGGAGAGCTCCATGGTTGACAGCTCTTGAGTAGGATTTGCGGCGGGCAAGGGGCCATGCTGGAGAAGTGAGTCGCGCCACAACTCGCAGGCGCTGACAGCGCAGGAAAGAACGTCGCAAGCCAAGCGACAGTAAGGTCCGGTATCGTTTGAAGATGCTGGCTGACATTCATCGTTGCTGTGCGTCTGCGGTGCAAGTGAGGAGGACACATTGTGCAAAACCAATTACAATCAGACCGGCGAAACATACCACTATCCCGAGTCTTGACTGGCAGCGCAGCTATACATTAGGCTTTTGTGTATTCTTACCTGAACGGAGCCGGCTGAGCCAGCTAGGAAAAGGTGGTGCTGCAGAATCTCAAGCTGTCGAGTCGCCACAGCCAGGGGGTGCATTGGAGCAACGGGCGCGTATTCCACATCTTCGCCGGCTGGAATGTCTTCATGTGCGCAAGCCTCGGAAGCGGCTATGTCTGTGTACTGGTTAGCGTCCATCTCGTTCAGGCCGTCCATTTGAACGAGTGTAGACGCCATAGCTTTGGCAACCACTGAGATAATCTCTATGTTAGACCTGCATACTTTGATAGGATTTCAAAGTCTACGGTATCAGTGCGCTGCTAAGCGCAAAGCTAATATCTGCGCGCGCCAGGTGACAGGCAAAGGTATCAGGTCAAGCGTAGAAGTAAGTCGAGTAAGTTGCTGGCAAATATTTATCTTTGTCCAGGTTCAGGCGACAATGCGAGTGTACAAGAGCTGCATCCAAGTTAACCAAAACCCGGGCGATCCAAGTTTGGAACCAGCCACATGGATCTTCTTTACGAGTACTGCTCCGCTGCATATTAACACTAACGTTCCCAGCCTCCTTGCTACAATTGCAAAGAGACCTGTCAAGATGTCGAGTTGCAGGGTCAGTTCGATGGGCCTGCTCGACCGGCCACCCAAACCAGGGACACTGACCTAAACCATTGTATGTATGCAAGTTAGTATATAAGGAAACAATAATGTTCATTTGTTACTTGGCCCTATTGTTACTTGGCCCTATTGTTGCTTGGCCCAATTGTATAGAACTCGCAAGAACTCCTTAATAGCCAATCGCGAGCGGCTATAGGAAAGGAAACGTCTGCGTAAGGCTTTAGCTCTTTGATTGGGGCTGCTTTTAAGCACGCGCCGGTAGCCGGTCGACCGCGGGTAATCCCTCGTCGCCGATATCATGGAGAGCGACCTAGACACGCTTCCTTGCACTTATTTCGTGATGAAGTGACACACAGGCTGCTAGCCTACAAAAATTCACTGTACTGCTGGTGCTTGGAAATAACCATTTTATGCCTGTGGGGGGTGCTTGCTGGGTTAGCCGGGAACAAAAGCAGCCAAGACAACCTTCATCGCAAGTGACCAACCATCCTGCGCGAGTAGTTACATGTTGGTTGGACGCTGCGGATGCATCTGTACACCCGCTACCTGCCACCGAAAAGGGTTGCATGCATGTGCGTGAGCGGCAATAACCCATGGCGCATGCGCCTACACCCTCCGCTAGGAGCCTCCCTCCTGCCCACTCCTGTCGAAGGAAAGCGTGCCATACCTTTCACCGTTTGGCTTCAACCCATGTGCACTTCCCATCATTGAGCACTCAGGGCCGCTCATAGCTCACGAGTAGGACAGGACCGTCTGATGGGGACTGGCGAGGCGTGCCTAGCTCTGCGCCCCTTAGGCACCGTGAGCGAGTCGGTGCTCCTGGTTTGGGCAGCACCGCACCTCTGGTTTGGAGTGGGAGGCCGCCGTGAAGGGGGGGCGCCTCAGGTGCCGCCTGGGAGGGTGTTCAGATTGTTAGCGATGCGGCTTCTCCAGCCCCTCGCATGCAAGGCACCAGAGCGCCTGATTAGGGCCTCCCGTACCCAAGGCCCTTACTTCCCTGTCCCTCCTCCTGATCTCCCAGGCTGCAGTGCCCCTACATATCAAAGTGCCCCTTCCACCACCCGCATGGAACCTAGGAACTCCCCAAACATGCAACCAAGCCTGTTGAACCAGATAAGGGAGGCTAGTACACGCCCGCAAGGCGCCATGAGCGGTACCATTATTACACGTCCACATGGACCCATGCTGTAACACGGCTACAACATAGCCGTCTTAAGGGAAACCTCACGACATCTCGAGAAGCCTGTTTAGGACCTATGTTACACCTGGTATCGAGCATCAGGATCCCTGCATCACACACCCGCTCGGTGTTCCCGCAGCAGCAGCCCCTGCCACCTACAATGCCGTCGCCCCTGCCACTTCGATACCCTCGCCCCTGCCATCTACAATACCCTCGCCCCTGCCATCTACAATACCCTCGCCCCTGCCATCTACAATACCCTCGCCCCTGCCATCTACAATACCCTCGCGCCTGCCACCTACAATTCCCTCGCCCCTGCCACCTACAATACCCTCGCCCCTGCCACCTCAATGCCCTCGCCCCTGCCACCTACAATACCCTTGCCCCTGCCACCTCAATACCGTCGCCCCTGCCACCTACAATACCCTCACCCCTGCCACCTACAATTCCCTCGCCCCTGCCACCTGCAATACCCTCGCCCCTGCCACCTGCAATACCCTCGCCCCTGCTACCTCAATGCCCCCGCCCCTGCCACATACAATACCCTTGCCCCTGCCACCTCAATACCGTCGCCCCTGCCACCTACAATACCCTCGCCCCTGCCACCTACAATACCCTCGCCCCTGCCATCTACAATACCCTCGCCCCTGCCACCTACCATTCCCTCGCCCCTGCCACCTGCAATACCCTCGCCCCTGCCACCTACAATACCCTCGCCCCTGCCACCTACAATACCCTTCCCCCTGCCAACTACAATACCCTCGCCCCTTCCACATACAACACCCTCGCCCCTGCCACATACACTACCCTCGCCCCTGCGACCTACAATACACTCGCCCCTGCCACCTACAATACCCTCACCCCTGCCACCTCAGAACCCTCGCCCCTGCCACCTACAATACCCTCGCCCCTGCCACCTACAATACCCTCGCCCCTGCCACCTACAATACGTACCCTCACCCCTGCCACCTCAGAACCCTCGCCCCTGCCTCCTACAATACCCTCGCCCCTGCCTCCTACAATACCCTCGCCCCTTCCACCTACAATACCTTCGCCCCTGCCACCTACAATTCCCTCGGCCCTGCCACCTATAATACCCTCGCCCCTGCCACCTCAATCCCCTCGCCCGTGCCACTTCATTACCCTCGCCCCTTCCACATACAACACCCTCGCCCCTGCCACATACAATACCCTCGCCCCTGCTACCTACAATACCCTCGCCCCTTCCACCTACAATACCCTCGCCCCTGCCACCTACAATACCCTCGCCCCTTCCACCTACAATACCTTCGCCCCTGCCACCTACAATTCCCTCGCCCCTGCCACCTATAATACCCTCGCCCCTGCCACCTCAATACCCTCGCCCGTGCCACTTCATTACCCTCGCCCCTGCCACCTCAATACCCTCGCCCCTGCCACATACAATACCCTCGCCCCTGCCCCCTACAATACCCTCGCCCCTGCCACCTACAATACCCTCGCCCCTGCCACATACAATACCCTCACCCCTGCCACCTCAGAACCCTCACCCCTGCCCCATCAGAACCCGGCGTGACACACTGCCGTAGTGGGGATATACATGCTCCCATGCATCCATTGTGTGAGCGTGCGGCTTAGGAGTACCGGATGTGAGGGAACTGCTCACATGGTTACAGTGGCAAATTATTTACACGAGTGGCACTGGCCAGATGCGCTGGCTATGGATGCGGGAGTTTTATTTTATGTACAAGAGTATAGAACACGCTCAAATAACAGGTCCCTGGACAATCAAGCAGAATATACACGTGCACAGCAGCAGCAGAGACATGAGCGCCCCCGCTGGGATAATTATCCAAGAAGCACAGGGCCCCAAATGTGCCCGGGCCGGATGCTGCTTCACACACAGCAAGCCACACCTTGTTGCAAAATGTCTGCACCTTTCCGCTGCTGACAATAGACATGTATACGGTCCTATCTGCCTATCCATGCGCCCCCTCAGGCTCCTAACACACGTCCAATCCTGGAATGCATTTTCCTCTCAACCCAACTATCGAAGCAACTGCCTTAGATACGGTTGTTGGGTACGACGTGACCTAGGCCACTCAGCTAAACGCTCACACCAGGTCCCACCTAGCTGACCGTAAGGTATCTAGCTAAGCCACGGCGCTAAATAACAGCACTCAGCCAAAGTACGAATGGAACACGAACGGCTGCGCAGGAAGCATACAAGGACAGCACGAAAGGGAAGCCTAGATGACACCGGGACGCACGCATGCACGCTCACCCCAAGGCTTCATACTAGAGTACTCGATAACCGCCTTCTACTACGCACCTGCCAGTACGTTACATGCCCCCCCATCGCCTACCACCTACCCCCACGCCTTACCGCATTGCGTATACCCCCAAAGCCCTCTCGGCGCTGAGAACCACTCCCATTTCCTGTCTTGACTCATAAGAAGCATTGTCCATTCTCAACAACTTATCTCCATACTTCCCAACATCTGATCTCCATACTCAACACAATTCGTGTATACTTTCCGAATGCCCCTTCTTCCTTCCTCTCAAAGGAGGAGCACCAGCTCCTGGCATCGCCGCGCTGGACACGACTCATTCGCCTCCACCTCCGGCCCCAGCCCTCCCATGCCAAGTCCAAACACGCCAGTGGTCCCTCTGCTCCGTGCGGCCTGCATGCGACTCCATGATCAGCCCGAGACCTGAACGTCCGTAACCAATCAACCGGTGACCCTGTAACTCCTCCTCACGTCTATTCCCGATTAGCATCCTAATAACCACCACCACCACCACCACCACCACCACCACCACCACCACCACCACCAAAAAGCCGCTGATATTGCCAGCCGTGAACCTGCTTGGGGCTCTATAACGCATAACAAGATAAAACACATCCCTGCTTCCACCCCACCAAACCGCCTGCTTCCACCGCACGCCAAAGCTCCTAACTAAGTACAATGCTCCTACTTGGCTCTCCTACAAGAGCTGCAGGAGATTACCCCCAAACCCACAGATGGTGCTGCCGCTGCCGCCGCCGCCTAGCAATGTGATCGACCGAGAACTTGCTGGCGCCGGCGGCAGTGTCACACGCCCAAACAGGTACTTGTCTATTGTGATTGCACGCAATCCAAAAAGTAATCATCGGGGAAACCCGCACTAGGCAGGCCCAACCGCAGCCCGCTATGACACATTAACGCTCGCAAAGGTGGGAGTTTCCTTTCGTGCACCCTGCATCCGTGCGCATTCATTCATATGCATCTTGTTCCTCCTTCTCTTCACGTTCATAACCATGTTAAACCATGTATAGTTTCTCCTAGTTTCAGCGCAGGAGCGCAGGTACCGCATTTCCCAGGTGATACCATTTCACCCCCACCCACCGCTGCCAGGTAGGAGGGGGCGCACCCACTCGGGCACCCTGGCCACCCACTCGCAACCCAGCCAACCGTATGTATGTACGTGTATTGCCACCCTCCTCAGCATCCTCCTTTGGCCCTGACGGTATGGTCAGTCGCCATATATGGGGATACTCCCTTACCACGTTCAGCACCCCAGTGACCCATGGGTCACCATGCATGCGCACCGCCACAACCCCAACACCCCCTCCCCCTCACGAGTAGCCGAGCGGCGCCTCCTCGCTCTCCGCCAGCACGCGCCTCTGAGCGTCCTCCATGAAGCGGCTGTAGCTGCTGGTGTACCAGGAACAGAAGCCGTCCCAGGACACGCTGCCGTTGCGGTCGGTGTTGAGGATGCGGAACATGCCTGCAGTGCAGTGCGGGGGCACCAGGCGCACATGGAGGGCCGGAGTGAGTGTCCGAGTTGAGTGCAGCCAGTGCGACTTGGTTACTTAACTTACTTACTATAACACACGCAGCCACGTCAGATAAAAACATAAACACAGCCATGTCAGATAGACATGACACACAAGGAAACACGCACGCGGGCTCCTGCAGGTGCCAGCAGTACGTGACCAGCAGCATTGTCTAGCTGCAAGCCAGGGCAGTGCCTGACGCGGCATATCGCGCGCACATGGGAAGCAACGGAGTGCTTCAGGACAGCAGGCCAGGAGCGCACAGGCAGACGGTTGCTGCAACTGTAACTGCAGCAGGCTACCGGCATGTGAAAGACGGAGAGGGGGGTGTCCAGGAGTGCGCCGTGGGGCCCCATCCCCGCCCGCAGCTGCTGCTGGCCCGCCCCGCACCTTCCGCTTCTTCCTTGGTGTGGCCTACGTGACGGGTGATGATCGTACCCATGTGACGCGTGGTTGGATGGAGGGGAGCGGGGCGGAGCGGGACGGGAAGTGGACGTAAGGACATACCGGTAAGGATGGATAAGAGGGGCGCGACCAGGACATTCCTGGTCAGTTCTGATGATTGGCCTACGAAGGACCGGCACGGGAAGAGTCTTCCTTCCTTGCACCATCACAATTAACAATAGAATGCTCAGCCAGTCACGCCTAGCAGATCTCTATGTATCATACCTACCATAGCTCTATGCCTCCTCCGTACCATGCGCGGTGCGCGGCCCCCCGCCCCATTACCCCCTCCCCCCTCGCCCCACCCGTCACCAGGGCTTGTCAGCTACATGTACCACTATCACACCACACATTGGAATTTCTTTTTTTCGCCCCACCCGTCAGCTCCATTGCGCTGATGAACTCCTCCTGGTCCAGCTCTCCGCTGTGGTCGTCATCGAACACCAGGAACACACCCTGGGGGGTGGACAGGCGGAGGCGGAGGAGGCGAGGGGCGGGGGGGGGAGCGGGGGCAGCAGCAGCAGCACAAGGGTGCGGCAGGGGAAGGAGACGGCAGGGGAAGGGTGCGGGGGTTGCGGCGGCAGCATGAGCGCCTGGCGACGGGTGAGGCATGCCGCGTTGCCGACATACCTCCCACCATACGGCGCACAGACACTAGCAGTGCAGCGGTGGCAGCACCCGCAATTGGAGGCACCAAGGCGAGAGGGTGAAACATATCAAAGCAGGACAGGTCAACACCATCGTACGTCAGCAGGACCGCGGCAGCAGGCACCAGCAGCAGCAACACGGGTACCTTGATTTCAGCCAGCAGTTTGTCGTTTGCTGCTGCGTCCGCCGCCGCTGCAGCTTTGGATGCCGGGTCCGCTGACATGGCCTGCAGGGTGCGCAGGTCGGCTGCGGAGGCCTCGGGATACAGGGCCTGCACAGCGGGCAGCACCAGCGGCAGCATCAGCACCAGCACCGGGCAGCAGGCCATGCTCCTATGCAGGAGAGCCCCGAGCAGCAACTTCCTAGCTGAAGTCAGTGCTTTAGGAAAGAGAGAAGAGCCTTAATTGCTAAGCACGTATTCCCTTGCCATCAAAACTAGATGACTACGGTGTCCTACGCACATGTGCCCACCCTTCCCACGGCAGGTAGGGCAACGCGAACCAACCCGGCGAAAAAAGCCCTACGGTAATACCACATCGCACGCGCACAAGCGCCGCAACTCGCACTCTTGCACCCCCCCCACGTTCTTCCATCTCCCTGTCACCCCCACATCCCGCTCTTGCCTTGAGGAACTGCTGGAAGGTGACGGTGCCGGTGCGGTGCTTGCCCTCGATGGCCCGGAAGATGGAGGTGAGGAAGGGCAGCAGGCCGGGCTGCGTGCGTGTGAAGTAGCGGCGCAGGTCGGCGATGCCCACCCGGCCGTCGCGGTCCGAGTCCATCTCCGCCCACACCCCACCCAGGCTGCGAACCCAGGGACGGCTGGACCCAGGGGCGGATGCGACGACGAAAGGGCGGATACGACAAGTTACGACAACGCCGCATTAGGATGACATGCAGGTTGTGTGCGGGGGTACATCTGCCGCGTGCATGCATGCATGCATGGGGCCCCATCACAGCCCCCATCACACCGGTATGTGAACAATGCCCCATGATGCTATGAACCACGTGGGGCATGGCACACTGGCTCTTTCCATGCAGGACAGTGTAGGGCAACCGGCAGACAGGTAGCTGCCGCAGTGCCGCACCCAATCGCCTTAGCAAGCGGGCCACGTGCAGGCTGCCCCCCGCAGCACCCGCACCGCCCACAGCCCTGCCTCCCTCCCCACATTCGCTTCCTCCTTCCCGCAGGCCTCCGCCCTCCCTCCCTCCACTGCACTCCTCCTTCTCCCGGGAGGCTGCGCTACCCCGCACCCCGCACCCCACTCAGCCCACTCACGTGACCACCTGCACTCGGAAGGCCTCCGTGCCCACCAGGAAGTTCAGGCGGTTGGAGCCGGGGACCACGTGGATGCGCGGCACCCGCTCCGCCAGCCGGGCCTCCAGCTCCTTCTCCTCGCGGATGGTGCTGGGAGGGGGGGAAAGGGAGCGGAAGGGGGGGGGGGGAAAACAGGGAGGGGGTAAGATGAGGGAGGGAGAAAAAGGAGGCGGTCGTGAGGGGGAGCTAGGAGGACGTTGTAGCACGCCGGGGTACGTAAGGGGTCTAAGGAACTACGGGTCCGGCAGGCTATGGAAAAGGGAGAACACTACCTCATGATCCCCGTGTGGAGCTATCATGCAGGAGTTCCTGCAACGGAATGCACTGGCCTGCCGCATCTCGTGCCATCCTATCCAATGGCACCTGTTCGCCCCTAGTCCCTGTCCAAAGGAGGACAACCCCACTCGACACAGCCGCGAACAACGCACCTGAGCCGTTGCAAGACCACCTGTGGGGTGTGCCGAAACAATGGGTGGGCGGGGCTGGGTGTGAGATGGTGGGTCACTGGCAGTTGCAACAGAGGCGTGATCACTGAGTATGGACCGGGTCCCAGGCGGGGGCTGCTGCAGTGTGTGTCAAAACGGCTGTGGACGGAAACGGCAGTAGAGTGCACCACTGGTCTCGGTTTAGGAGGTAAGGTACCGGTGGGGGTGACGGTGGCTGAGACCCGGATGCTTACCTCTGTAAATTCCTGCAGCGAGACGTAGCCGTTACACGAGCGATCCAGGGATTTGAACAGCGCATCGACTGCCTTCGCACTCGCGCCGCCTGCAATCGCAGCAACAACAGCAGCAGCAACGTAGGGGCGCGTGGCACACCGGAGCGTCATGTCCTCGTGTCTACCCCGCGCAAAGCGCCATGCGTGGGGTTTGCATGGTTTGGGGGGGGGAGGCTGCGCACGGTACCGATGCGTTAAGGGTGTGTTGTGCCATGCGTGCGCCTGCTTTGGCGGCACAGGCGGGAATGTGTGGGCACGCCTTGGGATGGCCGTGTGACCTCTCGTTCTGAGGTGCGCTCTGAGGTGGTTAGGGTTGCCGTGTTTTTCCCCTAGTGTTTGGCGCCATGACAGGTTTTCGCTTCCCGGCACTGAGCAGGGCTGCTCTGCGACATGCTGATACTCTCGCCCTGCTCTGTTGGTTGCCCTCGTCTTTTTATTGTACGCTGCAGGCAGCCGTCCGCCACCCCGAGGACTGGGTACTCGCTGAGCAGCCGGCTAGGTCACTGAAGAGCCCTACCCCACACACCTTCGACTTCCTTTGAAAAATAGTTATAAAGGTCCGCCCATGTAATTCCGGCCGCGCTGCAGCAATTCGAAGCTCGAGCCACAGCACCAAATGCCTGTAGGTCAGTCGTGCACACGTGCTGAGGCCCGATCCAAATCGCATTAAGGTATCACGACGTTTACGACCTTTCGACATGCTTCACGCCATGAGTCTTCGTCATCATATTTAGGAAGCTTGCCCACGGCATGTTCGAAAAGGCATTGGAGTTCTTTATTAAGTGTCCCCATTATAGCATAAAATGAAGAAGGCTTCCTAACAAGTAAATGTTAAGAAAGGCTGGATGCGCGTGAAGCAGTGTGGAAGTCATGAATAAAAGTCCTTGCCAAGGCAGAGTTGGAAGCGGTCATACTAGCACACGCAATAACACAGCCCTAGTATGGAAGGGTTTGATGGGCATGATGGCCAGCCCCGAAGAAATACGGGCAAGGTACGGCAGCGAAAAGTGCCTACAAAATATCCACTGAGAAGAGACGTTGCGAGAGTTGGTATAGGAATGATGATTTAATGTTTCACTCGGCAAGCTCCTAGGGCTATCATGGCGTTGCTTCTCGAGTCCCCGCCAAGCAGGTTGTGCGATCCTTCAACGATGAAGAGGCCTCAGCTGTGTGATAGGAATGATAACGGGGTAAGGAAGCAACGTAGCGAAGTGTACATTTCCGAACGGGCATGACTTCCATCCTTCCCTCTGGCGTTTGGGTCGCAATGAACCAATATTACTGGCAGCTGGAAGATTTACTTTAACGGTACACTTATGCCTCTGCAACTGGAGTTGAATGGTACACCATTCCTGTCTGCAGCCCCGGAAATGGACTCCCGAGTCCGTGGAGCCCGCCCTGCCTGCGTCAAGTGGTGACTCAGAGCAATGCAGCTTGGCTTGTGAGGAGGATGGATCAAGCCTTGAGCTACCGGAGCTGGCTATTGTTGAGCCGGCAGAGTCGGATTCTGCCCCAAGTTCCTTTCCGGGCTTCGCCGCACCAAAGCCATATGTATTTTCCCCGGCTGACACGCGGGACGCGATCAGGTGCGCTTGCGGCGTCTGGTTAGGCCTTTTGTGGGGGGAGTTTGCCTGACTTGGGGGTAGCGTGCAACACACTTGCACTCAAGAGCATGTACAGCGTGAACGTCCGCTGTTGGCAATGATCAGCTGTCTTCTACAAGTCATAGTATGACTTACAGCTCGTAGCTTCTAGCTTGAGTGCGGGCGCGACGATTGCTTGTAACGTTTGACGTGCTTGCCATGGCAGGCAGCAAGAAAGCTTAGTAACCTCTTAATTAGTACCTAAGTGGTTAAGTTTCCTTTAGCTGAAAATTTTGGAAACATGTTATAGCCACTCCCGTCATCGCCGCAAGACAAAATCCCCTTCTATGCAGAGCCTTGTGTTCCTACCTTAAGTAACGAGCTACACCGGATTAAAGCGTATGTCGCTGCTCACATGAGCCGGGTGCTGACGTGCCAAAAATATCTTTCTCCAGGAACGAGCTTTACCGGCAAGAGGAGCTTCAATACCTCCCAGAACGTCCGGAGGCTAGGCGTTTTGCATCCACGGACCGGCCGCGTGTTGTCAGCTGGTTGGTCGAGGTGGTTTCCGCGCTGAGCCTCAGTGACGAAACCTTGCACGTGGCTGTTTCGCTCTTGGACCGCTTCATTGCTCTCACAGAGGTGCGCGCCGTGTCATCACCACGAGGGCAACTTACCTCTCGTTTTGGCACTTTTCATTTCTCATAATGGTGTAGAGCAACTGGCGGGTGAAGTAGGGGGTAAAAAAACAAGGCCGCCTTTATCCCAGTCCTCGCATCCTCGCGGGGCTTACACACGAGCCCTAGGCAAACCCTCTTGCGTTAAAGCTCCTCCAATGTGCATCCCATGGGCCTAACATGCACTCTTACCTCTTATGGCCACAGGCAGTGCCCCCGGAGCACGTCCTGCAGCTGCTGGCGCTGGCCTGCATCTCCTTGGCAGCCAAGCACGAAGAGGTGTGCGCAAGCGTCAAGGACCTGCCGCACACCAGCCGGGCCATACGCCCGGTGACGTGCCGTACTCCCTGCAACTTACCCCGATGTTTGTTTCCTGGCGTATGCTGTGTTGTTGTCTCGTGTCATTTTCCTCCTTTGCACGGCTAAGGCCGTGTTTGCGCTTAGATTGGGGCAAGCACTGAATGCCCTGAATGCCCAACCACGCGGCTGCTCCCCCCGCTCGTCTCGTCCTGTGTTCAGGTGTCTCAGGTCCGGGTGGACGACTGGGTGGGGCTGGCGGTGGACCAGCATGGGAACCCGCTTTACCAGCGCGCCGACCTGCAGCGCATGGAGTGGCTGCTGCTGGAGACCGTGGAGTGGCGCATCCGAGTGCCCAACACGCTCACCTTCCTGCGTCACTGCCACCATGCGCTGGCTGACAACCCGGCGTGCAGGGACGTGCTGCCGGAAAAGCCCGGCGCGGCGGCGACCTTCAAGGCCTGCGCGAACTTCCTGGCGGTGGGTTTTATTGTTTGCTTGTTTGCAAATTACCGGTATGACGAGACGGTAGGCGAGTTGTTGAGGCACATAAGGCGCGGTTAAATAATTACCGAAAACGATGCGCCCTACATACGAAGGGCCAGCAGACACACGCGCAGCACTTTGTGTCCGCGACGCAATGCACTTCATGGGCGGCTGTCCATGTACAAACCCTTCTTTCACTGTGTTTTCACTTTCCTATCATTTCACATATTAGATATTACTGGCTGCTTCTTGTATGCTCTTCTTGTTTGCAGGAGCTTTCGCTGATGTACGACGCTTTCCTGCCGTACGGCTACAGCACCATTGCTGTTGGCTGTCTTGTCCTCGCTGAGTGGACCGCCAAGAGCGCCAGCTCCTCTACCTCCACCACCACCTCCGCAACCGCCGCGCAGTCGCAATCGCCGCCGCCTGTCATTCGAACCGTCGCGGCGCTGACCACGATTACGGGCATTGACGCGTCGTCCATGGCGCCTAATTTGGCACCCTGCGTGGAGGCGCTACACCAGCTGTATTCTGAGGCCATGACGGCGGGGCCGGGCGGCGCGCCTCCTTCGGCTTCCCAGCTGGGCCTGCTGTCGCCTATTGTTGCCCGTTACACGAAGCTGCTGCTGCCATCGCCCAAGTCCCGGTGCGGAGCTTGATGGTGCGAGAGGCCCCCGGCAACGACCTCGCATGAGACGCCGTGACGGCATCCTAGGTTGTAGTGGGCGACAGTAGCATCTCCAGCAGTGTGTGAGTCGCAGCGCAACAGAACAACACCGACAACAACATGCAGAGCTTTTCCAGTCGCCGTTGAGAACACCTGCGCGCCGGCATCCGAGAGAGAGTCCGTGGTTCGTTTCATATCTGTTCCACCTCATCTGTGAGTACACCTTCCATTGTTTGTTGCCGGTGTTTGTTGGCTGACGCGTGTGCGTGCTTTTTCTCTGTCGCCGGTTTTCGGTGCCATATGCAAGACGGCAAGGGAGTACGATTACCGTGGGCCGTTGGGGGCGGCTCTCGGCTCCTACACCAGACAGGCGGTACGCGTCAGGGACGCAGGGCGTCTCTTATTCTCGCCAAAGTTGTGCCACGAAATAGGTGTGCGATTCAGCGTGCGTGCGCATGCGCTCCTGAAGGCCAAGAACATGTCTCGTCTGGGGCTCCTGTTTATTGTCTCCTGAGCACCTTACTGTTACAATGCTGCGTTGCAAATAGTGCACTCCCACAAGAAGTGTTTTGAACAAAGAACTTGCCGCTTTGCTGCGGTAAACACCATGAACATCAGGCAGTGAGAATTGCATTTCTTGTTGAGTTGACGCAGGTGCTGAGTGCTGAAGGTTACAACGCTTGCCTTAACCTTTTTTATTTTGGGCTCGTGCAGTGTTCCTTTCTGCTGCTCGAAGCCTGCCTGGACTTCTTACCATTTACCGTTGGGGTGCCGACGCGGCTCGCACGCATGGGGCGGCAAGTAGTGGAGGTTTTGCGCCCAATCGTTTGTGACACACTCGAAACGGCTGCGCAGGGAAAGAATGGGGCTTGGCGTGTCGTCGTCGGCACTTCTCGGTGTTTCTTTCCGCCGTTTTCTATGTCCTTGAGCGACGGTTGTGCATCTTGTGCTCTTTGACGGTTGCTCCTCGGGCACAGAGTCGCCGAAAGGAAGGACGAGGTGATCGATAGGTGGGTGCGTAAGCATGCATTGTTGAAGCACAGTAGACAGGTAGAGTCCTAGATATGAGGTAGGTCAGTAGGTAGGCTGAGGTAGTAGCTTTAGCGTGTTGGTAAGCATGTGGGGGGCAAATTATTGGGTGCACGTTGTTTCAAGAGTAGTAGTCACATGCTTAGGTAGTTGTGGGCCAGAATCCAGCAGGACAGGATAGGATGTGCAGCTTCATGAGGTGGGGGTTATCAGGCAGCAACATGAGTTAGGCAATAGGGTAGGACAACGGTACATTGCGGGTAGTCGTTCCCTTGCGCGCCCGTATTGCACACCAGCACGCAGACAGGTTAGTTATCAGATATTAGATTGCGGATGGCGCATCCAAGCTTGAGTTTTGCCAATGCAGAAGCTGGGTACAGGGGGTAGGTATGTAGCGTCAAGGTTTTGAGGCAGAAATGGTGTTTTGGGCCCTGATTAGCGAGCCGGGTCGAGGCAGCAGGAGCCACGTCGGTCGTCTGCACAACGGCTGAATGCTGCTCCTCGGCTTGGCGAAGCCTCCTCGCTGCATTCGCACGCATGGCTACTTGGCTTGCATGTTTTTCTTTGACTGTGGCTTACTGTTGGCTGCAATAGTTTAGTGGGTTGCCTGCTGTGCGATGGCTGCAACAGGGGAGGCATCCATAGTTTAGGAGAGGTTTAAGATCCTGCAACCTCTGGATGGCAATTTTGCCAGGCTAGGCGGGGGGCTCTCTATTGGTCCTGGTACCGACGGGTAATGGATGATGTGGGGGTGCTGGTAGTACTGGTTGGTTGCGCACTGTTGTTAGGTAGTAACAGTTTTCATTTGCTTTCAGGACAAGCGTATAGTCGACGGCATCCTAGTACCAGAGATTAGTTTTGACCTCAGCTTGCTTCCCAAGGTGAGCTGGTGATGATGATGATGTATGGCGGTAGCCCATGTGTCGTTTATTAAATTCAACATGCGGTCCGGTGGAGAGTTTGTGATTTAGTAGCGAAGTCATAGGTTAGCAAAGTCGTCTTCCTTAACACGCCTTAGGTGTGCCGGGTTATGGCCTGCGCCGTCCATTCCCAACTCATTGCGAGACGTCGCCTCGAGTTATCCCGGCGTTGGCACTGCTTGAGGAGGGGTGGGCGAGCAGGTGGGAACTTCTACGACGGTAACGTCTTTCGTAGTAGTGAAAGGCTGGGGAGTGAGGCGCAGTCGTCAGTCAGCGGCCTCTTCTGGTGTCGTCTTTGGCGGTGTCAGGCCCCAAGCGCTATGTGTAGGACCTGCGGCGTACCGTTGCCATTTGCCGTGAACCAGCAAGTCATTGGTTTTTGCTGAAGAGGTTTGGTTGTGAGCCTTACATAGTCTGATGGTGATAATGGTTGTGGTGATGATTGTTGTGGTGATGGCGTGTTTGGACCACAAGTCACACGGTTTCATTTTTATTCTCTGCGTCGCGCAGGTCAAGGCGGCCTGTGATGTGCGTATTCACTGGACTGCGTTGCCAGGTTAGGGTCGTCCACGTGATGCGTTATCGAGGATCAGGTACGTGTAGCAGCAGTACCCGTTGATGTAGTGGCGCGGCGCTATTTAGAGGCCAATTTGTTCGAAAGCCACTTCTCTGGTAAAGTTGAATCCAAGTGCATCTTGGTGCTGAGCTTGAAGAAAAGTTGCGGATGGATTGAATGGTGGCTTGGAGGAGGTGAGGAGGGGGCTTTGCGTCTTGGAGATGTGCATAGCTTGCATTCTGCTTTCTGCATTCTACTGTTGGAGTATGTACGGTTTACAACGGGTTTCCGCACTTCGTTCGCATTGCGGCGTCGTGGATCGAATTCGGTTGCTTCATGGTCGGTTGATTCCATACGGCATGTAGTTAACGGTTGGTGTTGCCTCTCGGATATATGTTTGCTTAGCTGCATATGAGCTGCTACCCGCTGCATCCCGATAGGCGCTCTGTCGAGATTGGTGTTGAGGAGAATACCGGACTTGTTGTGCGTGTAATAGAAAACTGCGTGGACTTGGCACGGCTTCCTTTGGTCCTGTCAGATCTCGTACAACACTGTACGGCATTGCTGGTTTTATGCTTCGTGCATGTTCCGGCAGTGTTCCCACGTTGCTGTACAGGCACAGAGGAGGTTTTGGCCGAAGTCTGGAGTAGCAATGCTTGACGTTCACTGACATATGAATTACGGCATTCTTCCGTGCATACGGCAGGGCATGTGGTCCCTTGTCCCCCGTTCCAAGCCTGCATTACGCTGCTGCTAGCACAGCACGCCATGGGCGAGCCGTGCATCCATGCATTCCGATTGTAAAGCTTAGGCCGGGGATATTGTATGTACTTGTCCACAGCCGTCGGCTTGTCGCCAATGGGACCTTTGCTTCGATAGTATGGCTGAGTGGTATTGCAGCCGTAAGCAGGCCGTGAGTGAGAAACTCAGCACGCACGTGGGCAAGTTTTTATACGTCCAGTTGAGGTAGACCTCCCACGGTCATGCCAACATGCGCGCAGTCAGAGCATTGTCGTGCGGACTTGGACTGGTTGCAGCGGGAATGTACGGCAACTTTGAGGCTTCCAGTACCGGTTGACCTGGCAACCGTGGCAAGCTAGTTGCTGTGCAGTTTCCGTTGCTAGCGAGAACGTATTGCTTAGGGTAAGGCTACCATTGCATTGTCTTGTTAGTAGCCTTGGGCCTTTCAAAACCGAGATGGGGTGTTTCAATATGTATATCTTCAACCGACAAGGCACTTGCATCTACTATCATGAATGGTTTAGGCCCAAGTCTGTGAAGCAAGGAGCTGGAACGCTTCAGGATGACCAAAAGCAGATGTTTGGCCTGTTCTGGACGCTCAGTAACTTCTGCGCTACGATGGACCCCAGAGAGTAAGATCTGTAAATATTGGCTTTGTGTCTTCTGATAAAATAATTCTCCCTGACCAACTACTTCGCAGTCAGAACAAGCCACAGCTTGGCGCGCCTCGCAAGATTGGGCAGGGCTGTAAATTCAGGAGCTTTACGACAAGCAACTACAAGTGCAATTTCTTAGAAGTACCTTCCGGCATCAAGGTGACATGTATCATGAGGACCAAGCACTGCAGTATCCTGCACTCAGCCTTGTCATAAATGGACTACGCAAGGACCGAAGAGGGTACAAATAACAATATTACCTCAGTCGGCAGGTGCTTGTACCCGTCCCGTTAACCCTTTTCCCGCGTCTCCATCCCATGCTTGCAGCTTGTACTTAATACGCATCGGGAGGCGCCGGACCTCACCGATGTGCTGCAGGCGCTGTATGACGACATATTCGTGGAGTATGTTGTCAAGAACCCGCTGTACGTCCCGGGCCAGCCATTCCAGTGAGTACCGGTACACGGTGGTCAAGCGCATGTGGGTTCCAGAACATCTGAGAGCACAGGGTTCCCTTCCAAGCTCGTCATCACAGCCCCAACCTCAACTTCAGCCGCCGTGTTGCCACGGTGTTCCAAGTGCATGCAGCCGTTGAGTCCATGCCGCTCCCCCACTCCCTGCAGGTCGGACCAGTTCGTGAACGCCCTGAACGCCTTCCTCCGCCAAAACGGCCTCTTGCAGCAGCAGCAGATCATGCAGGCCGCCGCATGAAGCGTTGACCCACGCACGAATCTGAACAGGTGCTGCTTGCGCTTTGCAGCAGGTCGGATTGTCGGAAACGGCTCACGGCCACAGCCATGACATGGCGTTATGTTCCAGCGGCTGGCACCTGAAGCCACCTGTTACACCGTTCGTGCCGCAGCACGTGCGTTGCGGCACGTGCACACTAGCCAAACACTACCAGCGTTGGGGGGCCCTGGTAGAGGAGGACAGTGGCGCGCAGCCTTCGCGGGTCCCCCTGCTCTGCATTTGGGCAGCAGCGCCGTACTGCTTTGTGGCAGCCGTGCTTGCTCGGGCATAAGAGGTTCATCCAGCGCTGTGCCGCCGGCATCCCTGCTGTTGCTGCAAGCCTACACGGGCCAGCGCGCCCCGTCCGGGCACATGTTACTACTGAAACGTCCGCCTGCGCTCTTGCAAGCTTGGGTGCATGGTGGCATCGCTGTGAGACGTATGTGGCTCTGAAGCCTAAGCGGCTGTGATCAAGGGCCCACGGGGACGCGCGCCGGCCGTGTGTGCGCTGCTTCTGCTTTCAGGGCGCTCCATGCGAGACTGCATTGAAGTAGGTTGCGGACACAGGGGATTCCTGATTGGCTTGCCCAGCGCCTTGCTCCCCAGCCAGCATGAGCGACTGTGGCTTGCTGGCTCGGTCTGGTTGGATTCTTTGTTTGTTTGTTGTGGTGGTGCGGCTGTGTGGCCGTTCCTGTGTCGCCGCCACTACCGGGCCTGTACGACAATTGCCCCTGACATGCTGTGGTGTCATCACGAGGCCTCCACTTGACGCAGGCGTTCGCTGTTCCTGGATTCCCCGGACGGCTGAGATGGGGGCTTATTGTGCATTGTGCACGGTGTGCTGGGTTGCGCATTCACTTTGAGCGCTGGACCACATTAGCGGTAGTGGAGTGCGTGTCTTACAATGACAGCACCTACACATGAAGCTGTAGGTGGCTTGGCTTTAGGCAGCATATCGGTAGTATAGGGCAGCAGGTAGACACAGCATTTGCCACAGACATGGGTCCGGTGACCGTTTGGTGAGGGGGCTTGTTGTTTGTTGTATTTCTGTCTGTACATGACCACTTCTGAGATCTGACCACACCTCTGACTGTATAATTGACAATACGCGTGCAGTAGGATACCGGAACTACCGTACAGGCATACCGTCGAGAAGAAGACGACAAGTGGGCGGCTGCGGTGGTGGCAGTACAGGACGTTGCATTTGTTGGGATGATGGAGAGCAGAGCGTTTTACGAGTGGTCGACGGTATGGGACTGCTTTACGTGGAGTTCACTTTCTACAGTCATTGGACGAGACTGCTATGGGGTAGGAGGAAGGACGGGGGCCGGGTGCGGAAGGAGGCGCTGAGTTGTTGGGTGTGAACGGGCGTGTGCATAGGGTGCAAGGGGTGGGTGTGGAGTCCGCTCCGTGCACTTTCTTATCCTTTAGAAACAGGCCAGACGAAGGGCCCGCAACGACAAGCAAAGCGGCCCACCGCTGTGTTGTACCGTACTAGGAGGCTTGGCACCAGGGTATTGCCACCTTTGCATTCGCTCCACAAGCCTCGTTACACAAGCCTCACCTTCCATTTGTGGCACGACGTTGCATGCGGCATGACGGCACTGCTCACGTCGTGTCAGCTCAGCTGCTAGGAGTTGCTCTCCATCTTCCAATCAGCCCAACAGGAAAAATGGGGGTAGTACGCAGCTACGGCAGACTATGTCCGTCGCCTTACGATAAGCAACACCTTTCTTCGCCTCCGTGTATAGTCCCTACCCCGTGATCAACTTGTAAGCAAACATCAAACCAAATGGCACTCGAAACTCCCAAGCCCAATGCGTGTATGTACAGTCCTGAAACACTCCAGCCATGCAAGTGTCCTCGCACATCCCCATGACGCCCACCAAGCAGCTGACCTTATTCCCCGCCCTCTTCCTCAACCCCACCACCATTAACTCCCCTTGGTTTTCTATATCGTGATAACATAGCGAGGAAATTGCTTTACAGCTTTACAACGGCACAGCCCTCGTCGTTACCGCCCTCGCAACACACTTGCAGGCCACTTTCCACCCACAAAGCCGTCCAAACCGCCTCCTTCATCCTCCCCTCAGCCCACCATCACCCCCCGGTCCTCCTACCTACCTAGCCACGGCCCGTGTTTTGTTTTACCGCGGCCCTGTTGTGAACTCCCCTCTCTCCCTCACCCTGCCAGAGGCTGCCATGGCATTCGGCAGCCCGACGGGAAGCCCCCCAGCGCCGCCAGCGTCCCCGTCAGCACACTGGTGGTGCCCACCGCAATACACAGCAGCAGCAACACAAATGACGGCACACGGGGCAGGCGGGTGCGTGCGGACACGGTGCTGATGGCGGCGTCAAACAGCGGTGCCACGGCGAGTGCGAGGGTGAGGCGCAGCGGGCGCAGGAAGTTGGAGCCAATCCAGAGGCCGGCGTAGATGGCCAGGAAGCGCGGCCAGTTGCCGGCATCGAGAGGTGTTGCGCCGGTGGTGCGCACGATGGTAAGCCAGGCGATGGTGATTAGGATGCCTGTGGTATGGGTGGGGAGTGGAGAGCGGGTAAGGAAGAAACGGCTAGCTGACCGTGTGATAAGAGAGAGGGGGCTCGGGGTTACCATTGGGTGTTGGTGGGGTGCGGAGCGGAGCGAAGATGGTGGTGTGGAGGGTGAAAGTGAGAAGGGGGGTGATGTGGGGCAGGGGTGACGAGTGTGATGTGCCGTGCAGTGCGTGACCGGCGGGAATAAACCCGTGCATCGGGGATGTGCTTGCAGGTTGCCATGGAGCAATAAACTTGGAAAGGCACTTGAAAAGGGTGTGGGAATGGATCTCTTGTCTGCTACAGCATGCTATTACATGCTGCTGATGGCAACCCTGAATGTGTTTGTAAGTAGACAATCCTGCACGTACCTGCATTTATGTTGCTAATGACACCATATGCACTGAAGGCACCAAACCCCAGGGCCGCGAGGCGCGCCTTGTCGAGCTTTGAGCCGGCGAGGAAGCGCTTGACGCGTCCTAGAAGTGTGACTGGCTGCTCTGAGGTAACGGCCACTGGAGCCTGTGCGGGGATACCCGTTTCACTGTGGGGTTCGCTTTCGCTGATCGGGACGGGTGCCTGCGGTAAATGTACAACTGCTGTAGTAGCTCCAGCGCCTGCTCCCGCTCCGGAGGCCTCTGGGGAGCTGATGCTGCTCGCAGCTGTACGGTGGCATAGGCGCTGGACATACGGGCAGCGAAGCTTGGGGCTGCTCACGGCAAAACCTAGCGGTTTCAGACCATTTAGAGTTTGCATCCGAACAGCCGTCTGTGGAGAGTCACTCAGGAGCTATAACCGGACTTCGACCTGACTAGTGGACCCGGACAGTTGGCACCGTCGCTATAGTAACGCTTGGTACTTGAAAGTGGAACGGAAATATACCGATTGCAGAACGGGATCTGCTTGCGGGGCAACGCGCGAGCGACGGTTCATGGCTGATGCGTACGACAAGAGTTCATCGTCATGGCTTGCATCAAGTCGTGATCCATCGCAATCAACATTATACGCTTTCGGTATACCATATAGGCGTTGTTACTTGTTTATTGCAACACTGGATTCCGTCGCGGGATGTCCTTTATGACCTTCCGCAGGGCACATGATGTAGGCCTTAAAATGGTTTACTTGTATATCATCTAAACATAGGGATTAGCTTAGCGCTGGCCCCGCTTGGGGCTAACTCAGGGCGAATAGCCAAGTAGAATGTCTCAGGACACCCTGGTTTGCCCTTTTGCATCTACCGGGACTACCAAGTGGTGCATCTGGCAAGTATTAAAGGAGCATCCTCGGGGACTTCCGCTCGGCGCCCTGGTAGAGCTAGTCGTTAAGCTCAAGACTTTTACCTTTAAGAACCCCACTGGAGCGGTAAGCATGCGGTAGTAACGTTTCTCCATAAGCGCCTTGTGCATGGGCTCCGCGCCATATTAGAAAAGCGGGTATTGCTTATTCCCGCCAGGCCATGACGTCCACAGCGGAACCAGTGTATGCCCATTGTTGCGTTTACTTGTTTTCAATACACTATTGTAGAAGCACTCCACTATAGTTTCATGCACAGAAGTGAATCTGGCATTGCTTCATGCTAGGATAGCGAAGCGCGTAAGCAAAACAGTCATTGCAACCGCTAATCCACGTGCTGGTGCTCGGTATGAATCTTGCTGCGTTACCCCCCTGTCTGGTATGAGGTCCGGGCGGGTTGCCATGACTCGATCCCCGTGCCTTCGCGCGGATTGGTCTTTCCCGCTTTACAGATATCCGGAGAGCTTTCCCGGGATAAGGAACACTTCTGTAAAGCCGGCGGGGGTAGATGGGCTTTATCCGCATACGGGCCATTTGAGGGCGTGGGCACTGGCGGTGGCGGCGGCCGGGCTTCCGCAGCAGCAACAGCAGCGGACACTGCTGCCGAACCCAGCCCACCGGAAGCGGATGCCGGGCCGGTAGCCAAAGCGCCCGAGCTGGCTGCAGGTGACAGTGACGACGACGTGCCGATAGGGGCCGCTGCCGCCGCGGCAGCCGCTGCTGCAGCTTCCGCGCCTGCGGCTGCTGATGCGGCTGCTCCTGCGAGTGCCGCCGCCGTACCAACAGGGCCGACCGGCAGGCCACAGAGGCGAGCTGCCGCAGCAGCAGCCGCAAAGCGCGCTCAGAGCGCCTCACCAGGGTCCGATGACGATGTCCCTATCACGGCCCTATCGACCAAACCCACATTGGAGGCAGCGCCCGCCACTGCCAACGGCGTGCCTCCGCCAAAGCGGCAGCGCACGTCCGCCGCCGCCGCCGCGGCGGCGGCGGCAACGGACGCAACTGCAACGGAGGCCCCAACGGGCGACGACGAACCTGCTGGCGAGGGCGGGGATGCTGAGGATATGGATGCAGCAGCAGCAGGGATAGAGCCACTGCCGCTACCCCCACCTGCGCCGACGTCTGGTCGAGGGCGTGGGAGGGGCCGCGGCCGCGGAAGGGGGGCAGCCGCTGCTGGGGGGCGTGGAGCAGCAGGAGGCCGGGCGGGAGCTGGCCGGGGCGGGGGCAGGGGGTCTGCGCGGCAAGCGGCACGTGCGGCCGCTGAGGCGCAGGAGCCTGAAGCAGCAGCAGCAGCAGCGGCGGACGGAGCAGCAGCGGCTGCCACGGGTACGGCACCTGCGCCTCCTCGTCGTAGGAGTGGTCGTACATCGGCTGCCGCCGCCGCCGCTGCCATAGCCATGGCGGCAGCAGCGGCGGCGGCGGCTTCCGACAGCGTGGCGGCGGCCACCACAGGCACGGGCACCGCGGATGCGGATGCCGCCCCGGGTGCCGCTGCCACCGCCAGCGGCCCTGCCGGGGCCACCGCGGCTGACGTTGAGGGCCAGGAGCGGGCAGGAGCGCCCGGGGGAGCCACAGAGGAGGAAGCCACCGCTGCACCAGCAACGCAGACGCGGCAAGCAGGCCGAGGACGGGGACGGGGGCGCAAAAAGGCGGTATCTCCTAGACCAGCCGCCGCTGCCGCCGCGGGAGCAGCAGCAGGTAGCGGCAGCGTCTCAGCATCCAGGTGAGTGAGGCAGGGGCTGGGGCTGCGCAGAGAAGAAGGGCTGGATCCTGTCTAGTATAGCACGTAGCACCGTGCTCGGGTCTTGGGCTGTTGCCGCCCTTTGGCGGGGTGATATGGCGATTGTTAGCAAGGGATTTGGTGAGGGGTGAAAGGAAGGGTAAGGGCGAGCATGGCCGGATGGCGGCCAGCTCAGCTGGTGCCGTGGGGTCGGACGAAAGGTGTGGCGCTTAGAAGCATCAGTTTCGAGGAGGTCCGGGTGCCCTGCGACTGACTGCAGGGATCCGTCGCCAGAGGGCGGCGGGCGGCCACGGCGGCACTCCACGCCGGCGGTGCTGGCGGCGGCAGCAGCGGCGGCGGCGGCGGCAGCAGCCACTGCTGCTGCTGCAACAGCTCCTGATACAGGGCGCGGCGGTGAGGCGTCCCCAGGGCCGGCGGCGGCGCCGGCTGGGACTAGCATCGCCACTGGCAGACCTCGACGTGCGGCGGCGGCGCGCAAGCCCGTTGTTGTGGAGGTCCCGGGATCCGACTCCGAATCAGAGCAGGAAAGCGGGGGAACTGCAAGCGGCGACGGCGGCGATGCTAACGGTGACGCCGCCTCAGACTCGGGTGCTGATTCGGGGTTGGCGGAGGAGGGCAGCGACGGCGGCGGGGCGGCGGAGGCAGCTGGGACGAAGTCGCAGCCGCAGCGGCGGCAGGCGGGCGGGCGGGCGCGTAAGCGGCAAAAGCGGGGTGATGTGGAGGCAGACGCACGGCCGGGGTCAGCCGCGGAAGCGGCGGCTACGGAGGACGCCGGGGCGCCGACGACACGTCAGCGGCCACGACGGCGAGCCGCCTCCGCAGCCCCCGCCACAGATGCTGAGAAGCAGCTACCGCAGCCTGCGACAGTCACCCGTCGTGGTGGCGGCGGTAGCTCCGCCGCTGCTGCTGCCGCTGCAGGATCACCGGAAAGGGACGACCAGAGCCCTAACGCCTCACCCCGGCGTCAGGCGGGGCCGAAGCGGCAGCCGGGGCGGCCCCCAGCGGCGGCGGCAGCTGCTGCGGATGCGGGGCCAGCTGCTGCAGGTGCGCCTGGCGGAGGCCGAGTTACACGTCAGCAGCAGCAGCAGCAACGACAGCAGCAGCAACAAACTGGGGGGCAAACGTCTGCGGGGCAAACAGCCGGAGGGGCTAGGAAGGAGGGCACGCCAGGACCGGCGACAGCAGCTCCTAAAAAGTCGGCTCCTAGTGCTGCGAAGCCTAAACCGGCTGATGCTGCCGCAGCGGCAACGGCTGCCACAACGGGCCTTCAACAGTCCGCGGCGGAAGTGGCCGGCACCGGCGATGCGGCAGCAGCAGCAGCAGCGGCGGCGGCTTCTCCGCATGGCCAAGGCGCCCTGGGTGCTCAGCGGGTGACCGCCGAGGAAGATGCAGCCACCGCGGGTGGCTCCAAGGAAGCCGCGGCAGCGGTACCGCCGGCGCCAGGCACTGCAGCAGCGACGGGGCCGGCGGGAGCGGGGGCAGCGGCACGGCGGGCGCCGATGAGCGCGTCCCTGCCAGCCAAAGGCTCTGACGGAGGCGGCGGCAAGGCCGGCGAGGCAGCGGCAGGGGGCGACGCAGCGGAAGGGCTCGCTGGGAAGCCCAGCGGCGTGCAAGCGGCGGCTGGGGGGTCCGGCTCGGCAACAGCAGTAGTAGGGCCTTCTGCTGGCGTGGGGGCCGGCAGCGGTAGCAGTCTTCCACAGCTGCCTCAGGCGCTTGCTCCGCGCATGGGGCTTGCGCGTCCTCCCCCAATGGTGACGGCCAAGCTCAGAGCTGCACCCTCAGCACACCTGCCTGCTCGCGCCACGCTAGCAGCGGCGCTGCCGGCTGCGGTTGTGGCTAGTGACACAGCTGCCGTGGCTGCTGGCGGGGATCAAGCGGCTGCAGAGGGTGACGCGCCAGGTCCTGCCGTGGCAGAACGCCGTACCGGCGCTGACGGCGCCGAGGCTGGCGGTCATGCAGGTCGCGGTGCAGGCGCCTTTAGCCGACATGGCAGCGCGCAGAACCTTTTAGCAGCCGGCGCAGGTGCCACGGCAGCAAGCGTTAGCCCTAGAGGCGACGCAGCGAATGACGAGCCGCCTGGAGCGAACAACCACCACCTCAGCAGCGGCGCGGTAATGGCGGCGGCGCAGCCACCGCCGCCGCGTAATGCGCTGGGTCTTGATTCTGTCGCCTACTCGCGTTTCCTTTGTGAACTGCGACGCGGCCTGCTGTTGCCGACGCTCGTGCCGTTTCGGAGGTTGCGTGGAGGCATCTGGGTTGACAGCCAGACTGCGCTCCTGGAGCTGCAGCGGAGGCGGGCTGAGCGGCGGCCTTCACCGCACGACGAATCCATGTTGACGGCGTCGGAGGCGGAACAGGGTACGACGGAACAGGGTACGACAGCCGGGTCCAAGGCGGCGTTGGCGGCGCTACGCACACGGCTTGGGGAATGGGGCTGCGAACGCTTTTGCGATGCGCCGCCTCCGCCGCCGCCGCCGCTGCCACCTCCGCCACAGCTGGACGACGAGGCCGCTGACGCACATCCGCCGCCGCTGCCTGCGGAAAGGGCGCCGTCGGTGCCGGTGGGCGAGGATGGAGGATCAGACGTCGGCCACCATCCCAATGGAACCACAACTGGCAGGTGTTTTGGGCAGCGCCGCACGCCATTGTTCGCTTACGGTGCCGGAGCCCCTCATGAATCAGCGGCGGGGAGTGCCGAGGGTGGGCGGGGCGGGTACGGGTTATCTAGGAACGCACGGGCAAGCGGTGCCGCTGCTGGGCCAGGGCAACAAGGGGCCCCAGGGGATGTGGACGGCGGCGGCAGGAGTTCGTCGTACCAACGGCGTGCGCCGTACGCCCTGGCGGGCCGCCGGCGCGGCAGGTCGCCTTCCGCCGGCGCTGACGGCACTGGCGGCGACGGCGATGTCAGTGACAGCGGTGACGACGGCGGAAGCATGTGTAGCGCCGACGGCATGGGCGGAGGCGATCGTGCCGGCGGCGGCGGTGGAAGTCGTACGGCAGGCCGGCCGCCGCGGCCTGTCGTACAAGTCCATGGTGCTGACGCTGCGGCGGCGGCGGTGCCGTCAGGTCACCAACCCCGCCGTGCCCCTCGTTCGCTGGCTCCCTCCACCTTCACAGCACAGCCGCCAGGTGCGGTGCGTGTGTTAAGAAAACTGGCCGCGAGTGTGTGTACCGGTATGTTAAGAAAACTGGCCGCGAGTAGGAACGTACTGCAGGCAGGAACGAAAGCATCCGGCAGCCAGCAACCAGTGTGTGTGTCTCCGGGGGTTGTCGTTGTGGATAGCGGTTGGTGCTGTCTGGCCTTCACGTGATGTCTTCACGTGATATGGCCAGCGCGACCACTACCTCGACTAGTCTAGTCCCGCCCGGTTTTCTTGCACGCACGCGGGCTGTACATCTCCGTACATCCCCCTCGTCACCGGCACGCTCACGAAACTGTGTTGGGCCAAAGCAAAAGCCCAACCTATGCTTATGTTCCCCCCACGCCCCCGCTGCACCGCATTTCCCGCTTGCCCCATTACCGTACCATCGTCACTTGTCCGTACGCACCCGCATCATCCAACGCGACCCAACGCATCCAACCAACCCAACCTACCCACGCAGGTGCGACCATCACCGCAGCCACCAGCTCAGCGGCGGGCAGTGCAGGGGCCCGAGGGGGCCGTACGGCATCCGTGGAACGGGACTTTGCCAGGTGGGGCTATTGAGGGGCTTAAACGCGCATACATGCATGCTGTGTTTTGCTGCGTTTGGCGCGCGTTACCCTGTTCAGGTCTCTAGGGCTCTAGGTTGGCAGCCCATGCTCCACCTCACTGAGAACCTATGCATCAGGCGTAGAATATACTACCCACCTACCGATTCGCCAACCTACGAGCTGCGCTGCTCCTTCATGACCGCTACCCGAACCTCTGCAGGGACGATGGTCGGCGGTTTGCGGATTCGGATCGCGACCGCGATCACACGCGCGACAGTGGCGGCGGCGGTGGCAGCGAGCGGTGTCGTGACGGCGGCGGCGCAGCAGCCGGGGAGGAAGGCACCCTTCGCCGCTGCGCCGCCGCTGCCTCCTCCGCTGGCGGCAGCCGCGGAGGTGGCGGAGGTGGCTACCGCGACGACGATGTTGGCGGCAATGCCGCCGCCGCCGCCGGCGTGGTGTCGGATCGCGATCGCGACCCCCATGTCCGCGACCGGGGCCCTGACTCCCTGCGTCGCAGCGACGCGTCTGCGCTTCGAAACGGCGCCGGCGGTGAATCCTCACACGGGCGCGAGAGGTCCCGGGAGCGGGATCGCGGTGGCGGTGGGGGAGGCGAGCGGGATCGCTCTCGGGAGTCACGGCGACCGTTGTTGCACGAGAGGAGCTCGGCTGGCGGCGCCGTAGGCGTCGGCGGCGGCGGAGGCCGTGGAGGGTCTGAGCGGGAGCGGGACAGGGAGCGCGAGCGGGAGAGGGACAGGTCTCGGGAGCGGGACAGGTCCCGGGAGAGGGACAGGGACAGGGATCGGGAGCGACCGTCGCTGCTGGACCGAGACGCCATCCGCTCCCGGGAGAGGCGACTGGACGCGCAAGTGGGCCGGCCGGCTGCGGCGCCGGCGGCGATGGAGGGTAGGAGGCGGCAGCAGAGGGCAGGGCGGGAGAGGGGTCTGCGGCGGAGTGAAGGTGCACGTATTAAGACCATTCTTGAAACTTGCTTTCGTTTTGTGCCTGCCAGCCTAACCTCTTCCTGTTCGTCGCGCATTATGCCATTTTAATTCGGTCGTCATGCTATGATGATCATGGGTCGTTGCTACGTTAACCGACAAAACACCCACCCATGCTGCTGGGTGTGTGTGTGTGTGTATGCCTGCAGGTCCCGCAGTCATCCGCGCGCCGGCCGTCAACCCCTCCCTCCGCGACGTCCAGCGCCTCTTCAAGAGCGGCGTGCTGTTCAACTATTCCAATGACACCATGCACGAGGTGGGTCCAGAGCTGCCCTGCTGCCGTACACACCAGCCTTGCTTTGTCGTACACAACAGCGGAAGATGCGCTGGTGATCCGGATCCGATATGCACACCTGCCTGGATGCACTTGCCTTGCAAGCAATAGGCCATCGGTTAAAGCACGTCATCGTACGTTTACGTACTGCATTCCTTGGATGCGCATTGTCCCGCGTGCGTGAAGTGCCCACACCAAGCTTACATGTGGCGATAGGGGGAACACAATACTGCGGGGGAGTATGGACAGCGCGTTGATACCTGGATATGGTGTATTCCGCTGTGAGGAATCGCCGCCCTGGTTGGTCACCGCAGGTGATGCGCGGGGGGCGTTTCGGATCTAACGACCGGGACACCATGCAGGTGGGGTTGGGGGGCGGAACAGGCGAGGTAAAAGAAGAAACTGTAGAGCTGTATAACAAGGATTCACAGTGGGAAATGCTTGGCTGAACAGTGGGGGGGTTCAATTATGGCTCGGGGCATAAAGGGTTTTGGACTGGGCAGATGGTACCCATGTACTGCTAGGCAGGCTGCTGTTGCCTCATCATCTTGACTGTCCTACACATCCCATCGCCCATCCCACCGCGCGCTTTCTCCCAACTCTCTCGCCTCCACTCCCGCCGCCTCCACTCCCGCCGCCTCCAGAGCATCAACTCCTCCACGCTCGTGTTCTTTTGGAACTTCGACCGCCGCCTGCTGCACGGCCCCTACTGCCGGGCGTCGGGGCAAGGGCTGGAGATGTTCCGATCCTCCGATTGGCGCTTCAAATTTGCGGTGCGTGTCGTGGGGTCTAACAAATCTAGCGCCTGATTGTGTGTGGTGCGTGCGTGGCAACAAGACTGGCCGCGAGTCGGAACATACGGTCTGCCTGCCAAGCGTAGGGGAGGGGATGGTGTTGTTGGTGGCATTGGGTTGCAATCCGCGGTGCGTGTTCATGGGTGTTTAGTCAGCTTAACAGCATCAGCTAATCCCGTCCCTTCCCCTCCCTGCCACGCTGCCCTCCGCTGCCCTCCACTGCCCGCTGCCCTCCACTGCCCGCTGCCCTCCGCTGCCCGCTGCCCTCCGCGCAGCTCAAGTTCGAAAAGGTCGCTCGCTTCCCCGGCGGCCTGCCCGAGCGCGACGCGCTGCGTGCGGGCCTGGTGCTCATGGACACGGCTCGCCGGCTGATGGCCACGGAGCTGCGCCTCTCCGTGTGCGAGCGGCTGTACCGCGCATTCGAGGTGGGGTGGGACGCAGGTTTAAAGAGTTGGGGGTGTGATGCAGGTTTAGAGAGGTGGGGTGTGATGCAGCTTTACAGGAGTGAAGCACTGGAGGTGTGCCTGGGGGGTGCGGTTGGGGGTGCGGTAGGACTGCGGGCGGGTGCCGAGGGTGCTAGGAGGAGGGTGTGAGGAGGGGGCATGCGGAGGACGTGCGCATGTGTTGTGCATGTGTGAAGTTATGAAGGGGCTGCAGCCATGAGGGTATGTTTTGGAGTGTGGTTTGCTGCACCCCTTGCTGCTTCTTACCCTAGTAGTATCACCACATCGCCTTGTGGGCCGCGCTCGCTTCGCTGCCCTGCTACTGCTCTCAGGACGAGGACCTCCGTCGTCAGAGGGAGAAGCAGGTCAAGGAGGCGACCACCACCACGGCCACCGCCACCACACCCAACCTCACACCGGCATCCATCGCCGGCCCTGACGGTGCCGTACCGCCCGCCTCCAGCGCTGGCGGCGGCGCCACCTCGGCGCAGTACGGCAGCTACGGTGCCGCTGCCGCCGGTACCGCCGACGGCGGCGACGTTGCCGCCGCCATCGAAGTGCTTGACGGGACGGAGGGGCGCAGCGGCGGCGGTGGCGGCGGCCTGGTTAGTAGCGCAACAACTGTCGACGCCAACCGCCGGACATCCGCGGTGGTGGCTCCCAAGCGCGAGGGGTCCAGGGAAGCCTCGACTCCGCCGCCGCCACCGCTACCGCTGCCGCCGCTGGTTTCAAGACCGAATGTTCCCTCCTTGGAGATTGGTACTTGTGCTGCGGCGACGGGTGCGGGGAGTGCGGCTGTAACAGACGCCAGCGGCGGCGGGCTGGCAGTAGGGGCACTGCCGGCGGCGCAGCAGGAGGCTGAGGAGGAGGGAGGAGGGCAGTCGCTGCAGCGGCGGCGGGCCGCTGGCGCACCGCTGACTGCGGCGCCGGTTGAGTCTGTTGAGGGCGCAACGGAGTTGTTACGACTGCCGTTGGAGGGTGGCGAGGAGCGGTGAGTGGGGCCCCTGCCGTACGAAGGGGTTGCAGGGTTGCAGTTGGGGGTGATGCTCCATGGTAGCGGTTAGCGTTAATGAGGTGTTGGGGTGTCGTCGTACACTTGATCTCCATTTTCAAGCTGCTAACTGGGTTGGGTGATTGTGCATCACATCCGTACGGCAGTAATATTGTGTATGCCCTCGGCCCTCACCAAATGCCCATCCCCAAACGTACAGGGAGCTCAGGGACGCATCCTCGCTAGGTCGCGACACTTCACGGATTGTCGACGGACGTGACGGTGACATCGCTGACCGGTACGACCGACCGCCGCCGCCATTGACCCTCCCACTGACATCGCCGACAGTCCTCACGCTTTCGCAGCCGACGCAGCAGGCAGGGGCGCTGCCGCCGCCGCCGACGCAGCAGCGCGACAGGGCGGCTGTGTGGGAGTGGTCAGCGACCCGTGACGGCGCCGGCGCTGGCGCTGGTGCTGGCGCAAGTGGCTATGCAGACCGAAGCGAGCGGTCCAAGGAACGAGAGTCCTTCCGAGATTCCCTCCGAGACTCGACGAGAGACAAAGACGCCACCCGTGAGCCTCGAGACAGGGAGCGAGATCGCGACCGTGAGCGTGATCGGGAACGGGACCGGGACCGCTCCAGGGACCGGGGTGATGGCGGCGGCGGTGGTGGTGGTGGTCGGGAGGGTCGTGAAGGCCGCACTCGCGAGGGGGAGCGGGAGGCGCGGGAACGGGAGGCCCGGGAGCGGAGCTGGCAGGCACGCAACCTTGTACGGCGGGAGGGACTGGAGCGCTCCGGGGACCGCCATGATCGCGACCGTGGTGGCGGCGGCGGTGGCAGCGGCGGAGGCAGTCGTTACCGTGACGACACGAGGGAAGGTCGGGATCGGGAGTCCCGAGGCGGCCGTGAGCGTGAGCGAGATCGTGATAGGGGTCGCGAGGGCGGCGGAGGTGGAGGCGGAGGCAGCGGGCGTGACGGTGGAAGTACGGCAGAGGGCGCAGGCGACCATCGGCGGGAGCGGGGCGGGACCTGGGAGTCCCGCGACGCCGGCAGCGAGCGGAGGGAGCGGTCTCGAGAGCCGCGAGATCGAGACGCCAAGTCTGCATATCGCCTTGCCGGCGGAGGTGCTAGCGGCGGAGGCGGCGGCTTTCAGAGCTCTGCGGTTCGCGAATCAGGACGCAGTCGCGACCACGGGGGTGGGAGTGGTGGAGGAACGCGGACTCGTGAGCGAGTGGGGGATGCGGAGCGAACCGGCGGCGACGGAGGTCCGGGCAGCGGTGGTGGGCCCATGGGAGGGACGGGCGGGGCCTCCGTAAGTCGAGGCGGCGGTGTCGCCAGGGCCGGGAGCGCCGGAGGTGTTGGGGCGCGTGGCCGTCGTGGCGGCGGCTCCGCCGCCGCTGCTGCCGCCGCTGCCATCGCGGCCGCTGCTGATGAGGGCAACGAGTCCGAGTCCCAATCCGCGTCCGGTTCCAGATCGGAATCCGGATCCGATTCTGACGATGATTCAAGTTCCAGCTCTGGATCTGGATCCGAGTCGGGATCCGATAGCAGTTCCGACGATTCAGACTCCAGCTCGGACGACTCTGACACCTCCAGTTCCTCCAAGTCAACCTCCGCCGGCGGTGACGCACGGGGGGCCGCTGCGGGTGCGCGTTCCACCGCCGCAGGGCCGTCAACAGGAGGTGCTGCTCCTGCACGGAGAGGAGCCGCTGCTTCACATGCTGCAACCGCCGGGGGCCGCTCGGCTGCTGCCGCTGGCACTGCCGCTGCTCCCCAAGGTTCGGCCCCGCACCGTCAGGCCCATGCACCCCCACATCCACCATCACAGAAGCACCACCACCACCACCCACAGCAGCAGCACGAGCAGCGCCCTCGCCATCCTCAGCGCCCCCAGAGCCTCCCTCGCGCCTTGCAACACGAGGAAGACATGGGAGACGAATCTCCCCCTCTTCCTCCTCCTCCGCAGCCGCAGCATCCGCAGCCGCAGCCGCCGGCTTTATCCTACGGCGGACAGCATTACAACCCGCACCGGGGCCGCAGCCAGCCGGGTCCTCCACAGTGCGGTGGCGGCCTCCTAGCAGCCGACGAAGATGCCAACATAGACGCAACTGAGGACTGGGACCGCGTTCGACCGTTATGGGAGCCCTCCAGCAAGGCCGCCGCCGCTGTACATGCACTCCCCGCAGCCGCAGCCTCTGCTGGCGGCAGTGTGGGAGGGGATCCAGGGAGTGCTGCTTTAGCTGCATCTGTTGCAACTGCTGCTGCCGCAGTTGCTGACCCTGTGGTTTCAGAGCGCGTACGCGGCAACTCTGTGGGAACAAGGCAAGCCCCCAGGGACTCACAACAGCCGCAACCGCAGCTGCTGCTGCAGCCACTGCAACCGAACAACATGGGTGGCTCGGCTGAGAATAGCAGGTCACGCGCCGCGGGTCACACCGTGATGCATCCGCCTCCGCCGTCATCCGCCTCGCGACTGCCGTTGCGACATGCGGGTGCGGGTGCGGGTGCGGGTACAAGCGGTGACCGAGCCCGTGAAGGGGGAGACGAAGCTGGTGGGCTGTGGGATGACGAAGTGGCTGTGGTTGGTGCAACCGCTGAGGACGCCGCAGCTGCAGCAGCGGCAGGAGGTGATACGCACCAGCTGCAGCAGCAGCAGCAGCCTGTCGAGCAACCTGCCTCACATCGTCAGCAGCAGCACCACCACCATCATCATCGCAGTCAACGCAACTACCGTCACCGGCGCGGCAGCGGCAGCGGCGGCGACGATGTGGAAGGCGATGGCGAGGCGACGGGCGGCGGCGGCGGCGGCGGCGGCAGCTCCTATCGTAGACAGCAGCAGCCTATGCAGCAGCACAGACAGCAGCAGCAGCAGCAGCCGCAGCCCCTCCGAGCCGCTGTGGAACAACAGCAAGGCCAGCAACAGCCTTCCCAACCCGCCAATCGCGCAGCCCCCGCTCTAGCAGATGCCTCCAACCGCGCCGCATCCGCCATCAGCAGTGCCGCCGGTAACGCGGGAGCTGCTGACAACGTCATCGCGGACGCTGAAGGGGGCGCGGGTGTGGACGAGGGCAGTTGCAGGAGTGCAGACGGCGACCCAGCGCGACACCCACAACCCCAGGGCGGGTCTGCCGGTGCCGCCACGGCTGCTGGCGCACCCGATGCGGGTGACGAGCTCGAAGCGCCTGAAGGGTTGGGAGGGAGGTTGCAGTCGCCGCCCGGACAATCGCAGCAGCAGCCCTGCAAGCAACCAGGCCAACAGCGACACGGGCCGCCGACTGCAGCTGCAGCTGCTTGTGGTGATGGTGGTGCCGGTGGTGGTGGTGGTGGTGGTGGCATGGCTGAGAATGCTGGTGGCCTAGCCACTGCTGCAACCCCTGATGCGTCGCTGCTGTGCTGCGCAACGCCTTGTAGCACGCATTGTGGGGCAACGGACGCCCCCGGCGCGACCTTGGCTCCAACTACGGCAGGTGCGGCGGGTGCGGAGGCAGTAACAGGGGAAGCAGTAACCGCAGCAGCAGGGGCCTCCTTGGCTCCGACTGCTGCAGCAGTGGTGGTGGCTTCCAGCGAAGCCGCAACTCCGGCAGTGGCGGCAGCAGCAGGCATGGAGGCTGCGGCAGCAGGAGCACCGCACAGCACCGCTTCACGGGATGACGCAGGGGATGCTGCCGTGGCCGGTTGCCAGGCATCCGCCTCCGTGCAGCAGCCCCTGCTGCCCCAACCCCAAACTACCACCGCTGTGGTTGCTGCTGACGTCCACACAGAGGGGGCTGGCACATGCTCGGGGGCTGCGGCCCCCACTTGCGACGCTGCTAGCACTCGGACTGAGGCACACTGCACGGTTGGTCCTGAGACGGGGGCTGAGGCTGAGACTGAGGCTGAGGCAGCAGCTGTCGCTGCCCCCGAGCCGAACCCCGAGCCCGAGGTAGACCCCGACGATGACATTTGGCGCGATTTGGACGACCTCACGAGCCTGGGCACCGTCACTCACTGATGACCCATGGGTCGCTCGCTGGCGGCGGGCCCCGGGCGCTAGGACCATTATGGCATTTATGGGTGGGCAGGGCCCTTGTGCGTGCGGTGCGGCGGTGCGGCCTGGTGTGTGAGGTTGTGTGCAGGTGGCTGCTGTTAGTTAGCTGTTAGTTGGTAGTCATTAGTGGGTGTTCTGGTCGGTGAGGGTGTTTGCGGGAAGGCGACAAAGGGCGTGCCGGCACTGTCGCCGGTGTAGAGTTTGGCAAGGGTGTGTTGTTATAGTGGCTGATTCGTGGGGTAGCGCCCGTCTTGTTGTTAGGTAGCTGAGCTAGCTGCTAGAGAGGTGTATGTTTGGGGTAGCGAGAAGTGGGCGCTCACGTAGAGGGTTACGGCAGACTGGTAGCTTAGGCCTTAGCATTTGACAGGTCAGATTGGGCTTACAACGGTCGAGCCACTTGTCTGTGGCAAGAGCCGTAACGTTTTGTTTGGCACACTGTGCGTGTGCCCATTCATGTCCGAAAGGGCTACTGACACTAGGCTGCTGTAACGTTGCTGCACCATGAGATGCAGCAGATGATGGAGGAGAAGGGGATACCCCGCTGTCAGCCACCGGTACTACAATCTCCATACAAACACTTTGGTGCGATTGGTGCTCGGGAGAGCGCAGGCGGGGGCGGGGGTGGGGACGACAAAATAATTGAGAAGTGCAGCAACTGGGGGCGGGGGCGGGCAAATCCTTCATGTCAGCGATCAAGGAGGTTGGTGGTGTCATTAGCAGCCACGTGCTGCCGGGGGAGTGTGTGTGCGTGCGGGGTGTGCAGGGTTTTGGGTGTGTGCAATGTTGCGAGGTGGACCGGGCGATGAGGGGTTCGGTCCTGCTGCACCGCAGTGGAGAGAGGAGGCCGTGCCGGTGACGCAGGTCCCTTTCGTTAAGAGCACGCAGGACACGGGTAGGCAGGGCGGGGTCGCCTGCCGGTGATTACAACAGCTAAGATGTCGCTCGCCAGTATTACACGTTAACGCATGAGGGGTGTGCGAGTGTGTGCATGGCGGCCTGCAAGTCGGGAGTTAGTGGCTCTCGGTAGCTTGTGGCATGGTCAACTACTGTACTCGTGTAGATTGGTGTGCAGCGGGTGTGCAATGGGTGAGCCGGGCGCCCCGTGGGCAAGGAACAAACGGGGCCCGAAGTAAGGGCACACGTTACGGGGCGTGGGGCGGGCATGGCGGGACGTTATGGAGGGTGGCATCAATGACAGGTGGTGTGTGGATGGAGGTGGACCTATAATGACTGCCGTATGTAGAGCAGCTCTAGGCAGATGTGGCGGGCTGTGGTTGTTGTGTGGTTGCTAGCTGCAGCCGCTTTCATTGAGGCTTTCATGTACAGCGGGCTGGGTGGGACGGTGTGATGCGGCGCGCCTGACCTGTTTCTGCATTCTAAAACATAGAAGATTGCGTGCGGGTGTGGGCATTAACCGCACACCACCACCTTGTTGTTATTACCTACGCATGCAGCCGCGGCGTCGCCAAAGAATAGCCTGCATTGTCGCTCCCGCTAACCGGCACAGCAAGCATGGCTTGACGCATGACCGTGGTCCGGCGTGCGTGCTGGCGCTTAGGCATCACGTGCCAAAAAAAACAGCTTCTCCTGTGGTACCTAGTTCGTTGTGATCAGCTTAGACGCCTCTCGAGCCAGAAACAGATGGCGCTTTCCATTGCCGTACAAATTGTGCGTCGTTGCGCGGCATCATCGCGGCTCCAGGTCAAACCCCTTGGAAGAGGTCCAGGGAGATATTTCAAGCGCCATTAGCAACAGAAGGGCGTAACGGAACAGGGCGCAACGCACGCCTTTCGTTTGAATGCCCAAGTTGGGTGACTAGGGTCACTTCTATCCAGTGCCACCACCACCGCCACCACCTCCTGCGCCCAAATACCATTAAACATCCAGCCATGTGGTCGCCATTCGCTAAAGAGTGCAGCTCTGCAGACGCAACCGTTGGCTTCTCTCCTGTCTGGGCAGGTCAGGGTGAGTACGTTGTAGACGGATTCCCGGCCGGGAACCTTCACGGCAAGGAGCGGACCGCAGTGCAACACTCCTCGCTGTGCGCGCCACACACACCCGGGAGCAGGTGGGCTTGGAATGCAGGCCGCGATTGTCTCCGTGGGTGGGTAAGGCACACTCGTGTCACACGGTATTGGGTTTGGAGTGCACATGGAGTGCAGCAGCGTAGTAGTGGCTTCAAACCTTTCCCATGGAGCCTTATTGCCCCTATTAAGCGTCCTCGAGCGTTACAGTGTCCTAACACGGCAAATACGTCATATGAAACCGGAATAACGTGTTTCGCCGTCCGCATGTCCATGTTTAGCAGCTTTCTGAGGACCTTTAAAACACGCGGACTTTGCTATTCCTATGTATCTGTGTACGTATCTACCGTGGTCAGGGCTAGGTCGACCGGTCGTTGGTCAGCGGACGACCAGTGCTAAGTGGATGGCGAGACTCATTTGTACTAGCCTGGGTGATGCGTGCATCGCATCGACACGTCGAGTGTTGCGGGGCTCCGAGATGGGCCGTACGCATGCGGCCATGGACGTTTATTACCATAGGCGATGCTTCTTCACTGTAGCGCGAAGGAACGCACTCTGTCATATGGAATAGTGAAAATTGGTTCCTTTTTGCCTGTGTGCTGCCACTCGACTCGGCCATTAACATTCACAGTCGTTTCGCCTTATAAGGCGCCTCGTCAGCATCCTGCGTTTAGTTGGGTTGGGGAACTGTGATAGGCCTAGAGGTCCAGTTTCACTATGTTGCGATAGGTTAGTTGTACTAAAGGTCAGGAAAGCCTAATGGGGAATGTTCACAGCTGCACCTCGAAGGGAGCTCTGCTCCTTGTTGCGGCCGCAAATGGGGACCTGGTTACAGCACAAGAGGTAGGCACGCTTTCTAGTGGAGAAGCTTGGGGCAAGGTTTTCACAAGCGCCAACGTAACGAATACGTTCCATTTGCTCCAGCTATTGTCGAAGCACCCGAAGGCGGCATCTTACTACAACTTTAAGGACAGGAGCTCTCCGCTCTTGCAAGCGTCAGGTGCGGTCGACTTTCGCCCTTGTTTACACTAAGAGGCCTGGCGCGTTCTCCCTGTGGGATTTTGGGTGAGCTTTGGAAGTTCCTTAGTACACACAGTTTTCAAGCTGCGTGCCATGCTTGCAGCTCGAGGTCATTTCGAGCTGGTGCAGCTCATCCTTGAGACGGCCGTCATGACAGAGGGCCCCGAGCGTGCTAAAAAGAATTGCATTGATCATGCAAATTCAAAGCGCCAAACTGCGTTGATGGTGGCGTGCAAGCACGGGTAGGTTCGCGGAGAGGCATAACCCGCCAACGGCTGCTAACTAGCTACTTAGGCCTCTGTTAGGGGTTATTTCGTCCTTAATAGTCCTCCTTTTAATCAGGTTGTGTGGGTTTCTGCCTCGCAGGCACCCGGACTGCGTCGAATATTTAGTCACAAATGGTGGTGACCCTTTGCTGACGGACGAGCGCCGTCACAACACATGCTTGCATTTTGCAGCATTGTATGGTCATAGCGAGTGCGTGCATAAGCTGCTTGGGAGCCGGGCGGCGTATCGTGTCCAGGTGAGGTCCTTTGCTGGTCATCGAGCGGCTCTCTGTCTCAGGATTATCCCCTTACGTACCTGCAAGCTCTTGCGGCAGTGTCTGATACACAGCGTATTACTGCTTCGTCCAAACAGGGAAGGCAGGTCCCAGTCGCGCAGATACCCTGCAATGACGATGGCGTGACGATTAAGTTCATTGACCGGCACAACGGCTGGGGCCTAAGCGCACTACACATTGCTGTCTTCCAGGGCAGTGTCAGCACAGGTGGGTTGTTGCCCATCCCGTCTCCGTTGGCGACATGCCCCTCGCCGCACCTCCCTTCCCCCACTCCGAAACCCTGCAACCCGCCCATCCACTCCGAAACCCCCCAACCTCTGCCTTATCCGCACCCGATGCACCGCTCCACGCCACACCAACCCTTTCACCATCACTCCTGGCGTGTTATTCCAACTCGTCAGTCCCAACCAGCGCATACGCTCTCACACTTGTTCTCACACTTCTAATACCCCGCACAAGCTGGCAATCACACCAGTTTTCTCAAACACTCACCCGCCCCCACCCGCCTGCCTTCCTGCCCCACCCAGTGCGTGCACTGTTGCGGCACGGTGCCGACGTGGAGTCGGTCATCTGCGCCTCCAAGGTGGAGAACAGCCCCATCCGCTGCGCAGTGGGCTCCAACGCGCTGCACATTGCGGCACTCACGGGCAACATCCAGATGGCCAAGCTCATACTGGAGACGCAGGTACCTGTTAGCGACCGACTTGGCGTCGCATGGAAGGGCGGGGGGGGGGAGAAGAAATGAAAAGTGAAGCAACTCGAGTTCCGATCCTACATGCCGATTGGGTGCAGTGAGCGCATACACGGAGGCGCTAGCATGGGGAAGGCGCCGTGAGGGAGGGCTGGGAGGCTTGAGGGAAATAGATTTTCCTCCCCTTCCCTATCCCATGTTCCCACCTTACCTCACCTTCCCTCCCGCCCACCTTCCCTCCCACCCCCTTGTCGTCCACCCAGGAGAGCTACCCCGGTCTGGAGCTGCGCAGCCGCACCAATGCGGCGGGCCTCAAGCCGCACGACTACGCGCAGTCCGCTCGCAACCCCGTGCTGATGCACCTGCTGGACGAGCGGCTGCCGGTGACGCTGCTGCGGCAGATCTGGATGAACCACTCCACGGAGCAGAGCCTGCCGCCCAGACACCAGACGCTGGGTAGGGGCGGGCGGGGGTGATAAGGAGGGGAGTGCGGGGGTGCTGCAATGGCTGTGGGCATCGGGGGATCCACAGGAATCGGGATGCGGGTGGGTGCGGGAGGCAGGGGGACGGGATGTGGAGGTGTAGGTTGAGAGGAGCTGCCGGTGAATGGATGGTCGGACCAGACCGCCGAAGCCACCGAGCCCGACCCCTATCTGCAAACCCCCGCCTCTCACTTCTTCCCCTCCCCTCCTCAGGCTCCATGCTTCAGAAGCTCAAGCTAATGTTCAATCTGGAGTTGATCGCCATTCAGCGCAACGTCACCCACCTGCACGCGCAACAGGACGCAGCAGCGGCAGCAGCAGCGGATGCTCAGCAGCAGCAGCAGCAGCAGCAACAGCAGCAACGGCACGGCAACCAGGCAGCTGCGTTGCAGAGTCCGCAGCACTGCCCAGACCACCAGCACCAGCAGCAGCGCAGCATCGGTGGAGCTCCTGCCTCCCCGCACTCCCCCGCCGCGCCAGCAACACCTCCCCCCACCGCATCGTTCCCCTTGGAGGCCACATCTCTGTCCCATCCGCTGCCTCGTGCCGCGCTGCTGCCGGCGGCTGCTCCCCTGCCGCCGCTGCAAGTCTCCTTGGCAACGGGCGGCGGCGTCAGCGGCGGCGGCGGCGGCCAGCATAACAACCCCAACCCCAGCCTCCAGGCGCAGCAGCAGCTCCATCTTGGCGTTACCTCGGGCGCCACAACGGGCGGTACGACCACAACGGCAGCAGCAGCAGCAGGGGGTGCGGGTGTGTTGGGGTCCCTGGCGGGAGTGGGCATGGGCGGGATGGGGGGTCGACACCACCATCAGCAACACCATCATCACAGTCACCGCGGAGGTGGAGGTGTGGAGCCGGCCAATGCGCGGGTGCTGTGGGCGCGGAGGCAGGACGAGATTGCGCAGCTGCTGGCCACTGTGACGCAGCTGCATGAGAACCTGAAGCAGCTCTGTCGGCGGGATGAGCCGGCGAGTGGGGAGGCGGGCGAGGTGGGTGGGTGGGTTGGTGGAAATGGCACTGACGACGGGTTGATGTATGCTCGAACTCTGGTATTGCTGTGTTCCACCGATTAGGTTGCGATCCTTGTCCCCCGCTTCCGCAGGCAGCCACACACACATACATGCGTGCCTTTGCGTCCTACCATCTAGCTACCCACCGCCTTGCATATGCGTTCTACGTCCTGCTAGTTTCGGGCACTGCATCCTCTGCACCCTCCCACCCTCTTTACACATACCTCTTACGCGCTGCCATCCTCCCTCCCTCCTGCCGCGCCCTCCATCCGCCCCGGGTGCACAGGCTGCCGGCGGGCTGAGTCGCGCCGACCGCGCCGCCACCTACGAGGCAGTTCTGGACTTCATCCTGTCCACCCTTATTAACCCGCGCACTGTGAGCGCCATCCTGCACGCGGCAAAGAAGCTCGTGTCAGCGTCCGTGACGGGCACAGCGGCGCTGACGGCGGGGGGCGCGCCGCTTGAACTTCCGCCCGGCGATTCGGATTCGCAGCACGGGCTCGCGCTGTTGAGCACTGCGCTGAGGGCAGTGGAGACGTGCCTGCAGGTGAGGATGGCGGCAGGGGGTGCGGGTCGAAGGGAAGTAGGCGAATACGGTGTGAGAGTCGATTGAGGAATAGCGTAGCGCGAATTTGGTTGGTCTGCCCAGCAGCTCCCCGCTTACCACTTGTTTCCACCTGTCCCGCAGGCGGCCGTTAATTTGACAGGTTCCCAGACGCCCGAGCCATCGCAGTCTCAGCTGCAGCTCGAGCCGCCACCCGCCTCCCCCGCCGGAGGGGATGTGGGTGTGCTGCGAGCAGCTGCCCTTGCCGCCGTCGTTGCCGACCCCGCCACCACCCTCCCAGGCGGCGAGGGGGCCACCACCCCCACCCACGCCACCTCCCTCACCCCCACCGCCGCCGCAGCAACAGCTCCTGCCTCTCCCGAGTCAGCCATGGAGCCCAGTAGCTCCCTTGTGTCGGGTCCAACCACCACGGAACCGCATGTGGCAGCGCTGTCTCGAGGCGCGGGCAGCGGTGTCGGGTCCGCAGTCCTCGTGTCGGATCAGATCCTTTTAGAGGTCCCCGCGGCGGGACAGCAGCCAGGTGCCGCGCCCGCGCCGACCGCAGCCATGGGCTCCGTTCTGGCACCCAGCCACATACCGCAGGCGCCCCCGCGCGCAACCCCCGGGTTGGCAATCGGTGCCCTGCCGCTGGGCAATGCGGGGTTGCTGCTGGCGCAGTCTGCGGCCATGCGTGGTCTGGCGGACGGGGGAGGGAACGGACCTACGCCGCCCGCGTTTGCAACGCACTGGTCTTCCCAGCTGAACACCCTGATTGCGCAGCTGCAGTGGGACATTGGCGTGCAGCGGCACCGGAGGCGGCGGGCGCATGCGGCGGCAGCGGCGCGCAGCGCAGCCGCGGCTGCTGTGGCGGCGGCAGCTAGCGCAACCGTCAATCCCACGCATGGGGTGGAGAACGCGCAGGGTGGGGCGGTCGACACTGCGGCGACCGCTACGGCCTCTATGTTTGCGGGTCACCAGATGTTTCCGAGCGTTGGCCCCCAAGGTGGGATGTCCCATTTGCCTGCGGTGCGCGCAGGGCCGGGCATGCTCGTTGGCGGGAACGCAAATGCTGCTGCTGCTGCTGCCGGGGGTGATGCTGCTACCGCTGCGGCTAATGCTGCGGGTGCCGAAGTGGCTGCCTCGGCGCTGTCACCGGTTGCCGTACACCTCCTGCGTGCCCTGGGCTCCCGGCGCGGCGATGCGGTGCAAGACGTGGTAACGTCCAACACGAGTGGGGCGTTGCCAGCTCTGCCGCCCCTTTCGCATTCCCGCAGCGATTCAGGCGTGTCAACACCGGTCGCCGGTGGTGGTGGTGGTGGTGGTGGTGCAGCCCTCAGCCCTGCCGCAGCTGCTGCGCCGGCAGCAGCAGCGTCTACTACCACGGCGACGTCTCCCACCGCTACTGAGCTTCCGGCAGCAGCAGCAGCCGCCACAGGGGCGGGGGCGGTGTTGGGTGGCAGAGGTGGCGGAGCTGAAGCAGCATCGGGTACGGCTGCATGGATGGAGGCTGCAGGGCCGACTGAGGACGGAGCCCAGCATCTCATGCAGTCCAACGAGATTATTCCTTTGCCGTCGGGTCGCCTGGCAGCGTCAACGGCACCCGCGCATGCTACTGCTGCAGCGGACGGTAGCAGACATGGAGCGGGCGGGGCACTGACAAGCAACACCCCCAGCGGCGGGGAAACCGCCACCGCAGTACGACCCGTCCCTGCCGCTGCCGCCCCTGGCGGGCCCCCAACTGCCGGGGACAAGCGCAACGGCGGCGCTGCCGACAGGAAAGACCGCGGCAAGGAAGGCCGTGACGGCACCGCTGGCGGAGCCGGCGGCGGCGGTGACGGCGGGCTTGAGGGTCAGGACGACTCGCCTGCCGCCAGCGAGAGCGGGTCCGACTGGTCTGATGACGACCGCAACGTGTGTTCGATCTGCATGGACCTGCCGGTTGCAGTGCTGGTGGCGGGGTGCCAGCATGGGCTGTGCGTTCAGTGTGCCTTCCAGCTGTGCGTGAAGGGACGTGAGCTGCCGTCATGCCCTTTTTGCCGGCAGAAGATTGGCGGCTTTGAGGCGAAGGAGGTGGGGACACCGGGGTCGGGTGTGGGAACGGGGGCGGCAACGGCGGGAGCGACGGCCAATGTAACGGCGCATGGGAGCAGTCGGCGCATGGGGTAAGAAGAAGCGGTGCGGAGCCGTTTGCCGGGGATCAGGGAGGCGTTTTGTTGCCGACTAGTGATGGGGGCCGCTGTGACGCTGTGGTCCGGAAAGGGGTGCCGGTTCCCACTAGCGTGATGCAGGCCTCCCTGCCGACATCTGCATAGGTGCATGTGATGTGAGGAGGACGGAGAAGCGGGTTGCATAGCTGGTTTGCTGCACACCGGGAGGTGGGGTGGAGTTCTGTGGGTGGGGGGTTTTGAATTGCAGAAGACTGATGAGATCAAGTGGTTCAATGGCTAGCTAAGTGCCAATGTAAGCGTATAGGGTGCGATAAGGGATATAGTCGAGCTTTGTTTCATTATGATAAGTCATGCTGAGGTCACAAAGGTCGTTGGTCGGCCAAAGCTAGTGGCGTTGGGACTGTTCATGGTATCCTCTACGTCGTCGCGAAGGGCAAAAATAATCACACAGTGCGTGTGCTGACTGCCTGTCGTGGCGTCATCGGAGTCATTGTACGGGGGCTGGTCAGCCGTGGCGGGCATTTGGAAGGAGTTGCGGATGATACTGTGTGCTGATAAAGCGTAGAGCCATGTTCCATGCAACCAATGCCACACCGCGTGAGTGCCACACCGCGTGAGTGGGCGTCGGAGCGATGTACCACCTATTCCGTCGCTTCTAAAATGCAAGGCGCTATTCACATTCATTTGGTTTCAAGGAGGGGTAACGGCGGTGGACTGAGAGCGTCAAGAGGGGACTTGTGTGTGTCAATGTTGAAAACATCGGCGCGGATGCGAGGAGGTGATGTGTACGCGACCGTTATCCCTAGGTAGTTATGTGTGTCCCCTGTTGCTCTCTGTTTGCGGGCGTGCTGTGGGCTGTGTATTGCAGCTCCGCGGGTGTGAGACTCGGGGGGTGTCAAGAAGGTTACCCAAAGAGGGGTTATAGCTTTTAGGGCGGGCGGCCCAGGACCATGTGGCTTCATGGTTGGCCGAACACACAGCCATTGTTGTGGATTGGGGCCCCGTTCGTCGGTCCGTGTGTCTGGGCCGGCGGGCAGCTGAGGGACGAATGGGGTTCAGGGCGGTGGCTTTTTCATGGCTGGTGACAGGCTGGTAATGGGATGGGATAAAGTTGCGGCGTAATAGGTGCGTCTGACGTTGCTGGTGGTGGCGTTGGTTGTTCCCTTGGTTGGTCGGGTGGCGTTGGTTGGTGGGCAGTGGGTGCCGCATGGGTCCCCTCATAGCTGCTGGAAGATACAGGATAGTACGGTTAATAGGGTTTGGTTTGTTCCTGGTGGTGGTGGGGCAGCAGCAGGTCGGGCGGGTGCTGTTGACTTGTTGACTCTTCTTTTACCTCATGATCGCTAGTTAGTTCATTGTTATGGCATAGAATGGATGCCTGTGCAGCATGCGCTGCTGAATGCTATCGGTGCAGGTTTCGAGGCATAGCTGGCTGTATTGCCCGTGGTTGGGTTAATTGCTTCTTGAGCATCCAGAGTTGCATGGGCTCGTCACTTTGGTGTTGTGGTGGTTTGAAGACTATGTTGAAAGCTCTATGTTAGGAAGTTGTATGGGGGGGTGGGCGTTGACTAATAGTAGCAGCAATCACACGCGGCAGGCGCGTGTTTCCTTCGTTATCGGCCGTTGGATTTATCATTGTCCCTGGTTTCCACATCTGCTATTGCCATGCTTTTGGATCGTGCGATGTTTCGCCGCTGTGTGATTCGGTGTGTTCGCGGTTTCACGGCCTTCAATACAACTCATCGACATTTGCGCGTATATGCGTATACCGTACGGCATATGGTTGGAGCGTTACGACATCGCAACAACGTCGCCACCAACCGCGTGCAGTTAAGGGTTAAGGCAGGGGTTGCGCTACGCTTTTCACCAGTTGCACCATAATTAACCTGGTGTGGTTTGTTTGGTAACGGCAACACATGTTTGGTCACCATTCATCCATGGATGCATGTGCGCATGTTTGGTTTCACTGGGTCGCTGTACATTACTGTAACCTGTACTGCTCTGATGATTCCTTTTTTTCGCGCGGATGTGTTGTGACGTTGGCGCGGCGTCCCCGCATCAGGCATTGCCATGTAAATGGAGTGGGGGGAACCAGATTAATAAAAAGGAGGGGGGAGGCAGGTGGACAAAGAAGTAGAGAACAAAACAACAAATGTTAATGCCTACCTGTGGTGAAAGTGGCTGACGAGTGACTGCACATGGAGGGAAGCGTCACACAGCCCTTATGTGGTGGAGGCAAAGGGGCAATCGCACAGAGCGGGCCTCTTAATAGAACCGATAGCCAGTTTACCAGGTTCACTCCTGCCTACCGGTAGTCCAGGGCTGCACCTGGTGTTCCATGGGGAACACCACTGTCGGCGTAGCTCATCGGGTGGGAGTATCGGGTGCATCTCGGTACGGCCCGCATTCCTTACTTTACATGCTGGCAGCAGAACGGGGTCTCCCCAACCGAGCTGTTATTAAAGAACGTCTCTAACTGGAGGCCACTGCACCGTGTCCCGTTGTGTCGAGCCGGGCATCCTTGCGTTTGGGACGCTCCTGGCTTCGTAAGAGTCGCAGCCAAACACGTCGAAAGGAGTTCGCTGCCTGCGGCTTGGATATGCAGCGGGATGTGCTATCGACACAACTAATCGGGGTGCCCTGTTAGCATTTCGAGGATTTGCAGCGGAGCCCTTGCGCCCTGCTCCCGGTACTGCGCCCTCCACCCTTCCTGTAAGACAAATGTCCCAAACTTACTGGTTAGCTAGTTTGCTACTATACACAGCATCACCCTATAAGAATACAGGCTAGCTACCATACACAACTTTACCCTGTAATTGTTCATGAACTCCTGGAGATAGGGCGCCGAGCTTATCAGTATTAATGTAGCATGTAAAGGAAAGGCCAAGTAGAGAGCAAAAACTTAAAGCGTGTGTAAGAAATTAGGTAAGATACACCTACAAGATTGTGTTATCGCCTGAAGATCTTTCCTAGCCCACGTGGGGCGGGCGCATCTAGGATATTTTGCACGAGCTTAGATATTTGGTTTGCTCTCTAATAGAGTGTGCCACACGGTGTATGATACATTATAAGCTGCAATGCATAGATGTGCGTTACTGGCGGGAACTGCTTGGAGCGCTAGTTGAGACACTGGGCAGAGTGCTAGACAGAAGGAAAATGTAAGGTGACTAGTTCAGCCTTCAGCAGGCGTACTTTTGCTATAGCAACGACGTGTCACACGTGCAGGCTTGTCACGGAATCAGTGTTGCCGAATAGGTTACGAGGCGACTGCCCTCAATGGCCTCAAAGGCCCTATCCCAAGCGCGAATTGCCGAGAGTGCTTTGCGAAGTCGCACCTGATGGCCCATAGGGGTTTTTATAAGGATTTGAAGCAGCATTGGGAGCTTTGTTACCGAGTTATTGTTCCGTACAAATGACCGCATCGAATCCCTTTCTCCGTACAATGACCTCGTCTTGTCCAACGGCAAGCCACACCCGAGCAGCAGTGTTGCTTTAGTTTGAGTTTGGCACCTACGACCTTTTTCGAGGGGCTAACACCAAAAGCACCAACATGCTGGGCAACCGAGTGCCCGCGGAAGCTATTCTGAAGTGCGTTATTGGCCGGCATCCAGCTTGTGCAGATTGAATATTAGTATATTTGCTGATTGCTTTGGGGCTACACTGGACTGGCGCAAATCTTGGGAATCAGGAGGCATTGAGGGTGAGTCTTACAAATTATATGGCCTGGCAACATACCACTTTATTTGGTATCATTTGGCTATAGGTTGGTTGGGTCTAGTTTAACAGTAAAGGGCAGTTGGGGCCCCAAGGGTTCGCGCCTTTGCATCGGCGCGCTTTCCCCAGGGCGCCAACAATGCACACACAGGACACTTCTCAAGAGTGAAAAAGTGGTTCCGTTATTGTTACTTACTGTCACTGCTGCCCCTGTTATCAACTATGCGATTGCAGGGACGCGCTGCCCGCCAAACCATAGCAAGGCCTGAGGTTGACGCATAACTAAGACCTCAGACCAAGTGTTGACATCCTATGTGTGCTGTGGACGCCGTGACAACTAGCGTTGAGGACGCGAAACCGCCAGGGTCAGAGATGGTCTCGGTTGTCCGTCATGTTTGCCTCCCGGAGTTAACGACTCAGAAGGGCGATGAGTTGTCCTTTATCGCCAAAAAGGGCTTACTTCAGGAGGAAAATAAATTTGCAGTTGCCGCCTCCATTATTTCGGAGGCGCCACACCTGCCGGAGACTGGCGCGAACAGTTCGTTGCCGGAGGTTACTGCTTGCACGCCTTCCACAGCTCAAGATGCAGCTCATCGAAATGAGTCAGCTTTGCCTCATTCGAAGGCTTGCGCTGGTTCGTCGCGAATGTCGGAGCAGCGTGCTGACGCGCCGCCAGCGCCCGTTGTAGAACTTTCCGCTAGCGGCCAAGCGCACGAAAAACCGGCACAAGGGTCGCGGTCTTCTAATATAGCCCAACGCTGCAAGTTGGCGGCCTCTTCGGCTCAAAACAGCGAGTGCAGGATGGATGGGCGACAAGATGTTGCAGACCGCACGGGAGCAAACAGCACACCAGCTGCGCCTGCAGCAAAGCCGGACATTACCGTCCTTGCTTCTGCCGTGGCTGCGTCCAAGCTCGGCCTGGTCGACCAACTAAGCCAAGCACTGGCGACATGCGCGGCTGTTGCATTTGCCAAGTAAGCACCGGCGGTTGACCGTGTCAATGTCTCCTTTCCAAAAAGGATTCCACCTCTTCGCTGCCTGCTTCCATACCCTCCCTAACCCATCACTAAGCGACAAACAGCTCAATAATCACTCGCTATCCTCCTCCGCCTCCTCCTCCTCGTTTGCCCGGGACATGCCATGGTTTCGCCCCCGCTTTAGCCCCACCCTCACATCAACCTCACTGACCCCTCCACAACCTCACACAACCCCTCGCACCCCCCGCAGGGACGCGGAGGACCGCACCTGCCTCCACTACGCCGCGGGCTACGGCCACGAGGAGTGCGTGTCGCTGCTGCTGGAGCACCACAGCGACACCCGCGTGCGCGACGCCAACGGAGACGTGCCGCTGCACTTTGCCGCCATCCACGGACACCCCATGTGCGCCTACAACATCACAAAGGTACTCATCACCGTGGGGTGCGGGGGCCCGAGCTTCGGGATTTGGGTGTGGCTCCTCGTACTCATGCTCGTTTGTCTAGTAATAAAAACGCTATCGCTCGCACCCACGCCTCTTATGTGCGCGCTTGCCTGCCGGCCGCCCCTCTTCCGCCCCTCAGGCGTGTCCCGCCACCTGCCTGACCCGCAACTACCGCGGCCAGACGCCGGTGGAGGTGGCGGTGGCGTGCGAGCGGGGGGAGGTGCTCAACGCAATGCTGCTGGCGTGTGCGGGCGACGGCAGCGGCGGGCTGACAGTGCAGGTACGACGCGCTGACAGGAGCTGAACCCATTTGTTGGGCGCTGACACACACAGACCAGTTTCCAACCCATTTGCCAGCATGCGGGCATATATCACCCTCTGCTCATGCCCTGCCGCCACCCCCATCTCTTCACCTCCCACCCGTCTCCCTCCCGCGCCCCTCTCAGGCCATGCGCAAGCTGCTCGCCAGCGGTGCCGTCCCCGACACCTGGGCGCCCAACGGCAGCAGCGCGCTCATGCTGGCGGCCGCCGCCAACGGCACGGAGGCGCTTGCCGTACTGCTGGAGGCGGGGGCCACCCTGGAGCTGCAGGACGCGCTGGGCCGGTCGGCGCTCATGTTCGCGGCGGGGAACTGCGCGCGGGACACGCTGCTGGCGTTGCTGGATGCGGGGGCGTCCATCAGCCAGAGGGACCGGCGGGGGCGGAATGTGCTGGACTATGCGCCGCCTGGGAGCGAGGTGCGGCGGCTGCTGCAGGTGAGGAAGCAGGCGGGCTGGGCGTGTTGGTGCAGGGGGTGCTGAAGGGACTGTGGGGGGAGTGGCTACCGGTACGTGGCTGGCAGTGCAGGTACTACCGGTAAGGCGCGCTAATGGCGCTAATACCTAGGGTGTTGCTATAACCGTAGAATGCATTGAAGTACTTGAGAGCTGCGTGGCAGCAAAGTACACGACGTACAATTCCTGTGCTTGCCGTACCCCTCAGGCCCGACTGGACGAGCTGGAGGCGGTTGCGAACAAGCTGCAAGAGGACCTGCTGGCCAGTCTGGGCGCGTCGGAGGCGGCTGGCGGGGCGGGGGGCGTCGCTGGGGGAGGCGTGGAAGCCAAGGGGACGTCCGGCGGCAAGGTGGGAGCCCGTCAACGTGAACATTTAAAACGTCCAGTGCACGCATTCCCGTGCCATTTAGTTGCGGGCATACTTTTGGGCCGATGTTGCTCCGCGCTTACGAAACAGCCCGTAACCTCTCTCGCTCTGGTTTTACCGCAGAAGAAGAAGCAATCTGCTGGCAAGAAAGCCCCTGCTGCAGCATCCGCCTCGGCCACCAAGTCATCATCGTCATCCGCTGCCACGACTGCGACTGGATCCAAATCCAAACCCACCTGTACGACAACACCTGCAACCGCCTCCGCCTCCGATACCAACCCTGCGCCATCCGATCCGCCATCCTCGGCTTCTGCCTCCACGGCCCCTGTCTCTGAGACGCCGCAAGGATTGGAGGCGGCGACGACAACGGTGGCTGAGGGCGTTGCCAAGTTGCTCAGGTCGGGTGCCGCTGGCGCTGCCACGATTGCGACGACATCTTCGCAGAACCTCCAGTCGACCCGCAACCACTGGTTTGGCGCGGCTAGCGCGGCCAGCGAGGATAACGACGAGCGGACGTGGCAAAAGGTAAACTCCCACAAATGCTCCGGCAAGTCGCGACAGCAGCAACTGCAGCCTCAACCTCAATCCTCAACGTCATCATCAACCACAGCCGTCTTAACGGTAACGGTCAGCCGCGCTGCGTTAACCAAAGCGGCAGCAGCGGTGGCGGCGTCTCCTGCGCCACTCCCGCCTCAATCTGTTGGCCGGCCGCCTTCCTCGTCCTCTTCAACAGTGGCAGACGCGGCCGCGACGGTCCACCTTGCCGTGCCACCAGTAGCCGTGGCCTGCGGTGCCACTACTACTGGGGCTGCTGCTGCTGCCGCGGCTGCAGCGGCGCAAGGCGAGCGCAGGCCCGCATGGGGCGGCGTGAAGCCTGGCAGCCAGGTGGCTGCCGCGGCTGCGGTGAGCTGCGTCGCCGGCTGCAGCCCCCGGTCCTACCCGCCGCTGGCTGCTGCTGCTAGCGCCGGCACTGCTGCCGCCCCGTCCCAACCTGCTCAGCCAGGAGGGCCGCAAGGGCCGTCCCGAGCGTCCTCGGCACGTCAACAGCAGGCTGAGCAACCGCATGCAGCAAGGCAGCAGGATCAAGAGCAGCAGGCGTCGCTTTCCGCTCTCATCTCTGATGGCTCCGAGTCCTCCTCCTCTTCCTGTACCGCGGCCGCATCCGCGCCGCCCTCCGTCGCCTCGCTGCCCGAGTCCGAGGTCTCCTCCTCCACCGGCACCAGCACCTGCAGCCATTCGGGGGACGGCTCCTGCTCCCCCCGCTCACTACCGTGCCACTACCAACACCAGCTGCCGCACGGCGGCCACCATGACTGGACGCGGCCCAGCCCTGTAGATGTGCTGCTGCAAGCGGCTCTTGCAGCTTCCGCAGATGCTGCTGCTGCCGATGCAGGTGCAGGGGTTGCTACAGGCAGCAGCAGCAAAACGCTTGCCGTGTCTGCTGGACACCGTAGTAGCGGGTGCAGCAGCAGCAGTAGCAGCTGCAAGATTGGCAGCTGCGGTAGCAGCAGCAGCGATCAGCTCTCCTGCGACAGCACAGTGCTTGAGCCCCTCCAGCCGCTGCCGCAGCAACCCACCTTGCACCCGTACGGCATAGCACATCTGGGCGGGACGGAGGTACCGCCCCCGCGTCGGTCAGGTGGTGGAGGGCCCGGCTTGTCCACTCTAGATGAGTTGCTGGGTCGCCGTGGCGGAGGCGGCACTGCGGGCTGCTTCACAGTCGGGAGCCCCAGCCAGCTTGCCTGCGGAGGAGGTCTCGCCACGGGTGTTGCAGCGGCCGCTGCGGTGCCGGGGCTTGCCTTTTCATGTGCCGCCGCCGCCGCTGCACGCGAGGGTGGGTCCAACACCGTGCTGCCACTGCAGCACTGTTTGCTACACCCCCAGCAGCAGCAGCAATCGGGGGCAGCAGCTGGGTTGGTGGTTGCTGGTGCTGCTGACAGGGGCAGCAGGCAGGCGGGCGGTTCATGCGCGTCCGCGATGTCGGATGTGGCGCGGCTCAGGTCGGAGAATGAAGCGCTGCAACGGCGGCTGCGCAAGGTGAGGTGGGGGGTGGGGGGCTATGTGGCTCTTTCGCAGCAGCAGCAGCAGCAGCTTTGATGCCTGTGCCTGGGGTTCGTGTTGGAGGCGCAACCTTGCATGGTTGCTGCTCATTCACCACCTCTTCCAAGCTGCTAACTAACCATACCTGCCTGACTAACACTCCTATCACGTGGCGCGCAGGCTGAGCTGCGCCACAGCCAGGAGGTGGCGGCGGTGCTGATGGACGCGGAGCAGCACGAAGCGGCGGCGGTGGAGCGGGCCGTTGCGCAGGAGCGGCTCAGGTGGGGTTTCATGACACGCAGCTGGCTAGCGGTGTGTGCAGTGGTGAAGGTGCATTCAAGTAATCCTCGTCGTTGCGCGCTCGCCCTCAACAACTGCTTCGGCGGCTTCTTCTGAAGACGTATGTGCCTTGCCCTCTACATGTGCCTGCCGTTCCTGAACAGGATTACCGCGAACCTGCTGGCTATCGGTCTGTGTCCCGAGGCCATTCTCGCCGTCATCACGCCGCCCGGACATGGACTGGACGCGCGGCACATCCTGGCGGCATCCACCGCTGCCGCCGCGGCGCCACCCGCGCTGGGCGCATCCGCCCTGGGGTCCCACTCCTCTGCTGCTGCTGGGGGTGCTGGTGCTGGAGGTGTTAAGCACGCAGCTGGCGCGGGGAAGGTTGCCAGCGGTGGCGCCGGACCAGCCGCCGCCGTGGGGCTATCATCCTCGTCTTCCTCGGCGACGGCGGGCACTAGCGGCAGGGCAGGGGCGGCGGCGGCCGTCGCAGCCCCATGCAGGAACAGCGACGGCGGCAGCGGCGGCGGTCGCTGCGGCCGCGTGGACGGTTCGGAGCCCCCGCACAGGTCTAGCGCCGGCGGCGGCGGTGCCACGTCAGCGTTTACCTCCTACCGAGCTCCCTGGGACGCGGAGGCTGCCGCGCGCTGCAGCAGCGACGGCACCGCGGATGCCTTGGGTGGTATCTGCCTTCCGCCGTCGCTGTCCTTCGGGTCCCTCATAGCGCCGCCCTCCCCGGCCATTGCCATCCCCTCGGCGGCCACTGCCGCCGGTGGCGGCTGCTGCCCCTCCGCTGCTGCCCTGCCCGCCACTGCCATGCCAGTGCCTGCGAGCAGCAACCCCGGAGCCGGCGCACGCCTCACCAGCTTTGGCAGCCCGAGCACCGGACGTATGATGAGCGGGAGTTTTGGCTCCAACGGCGTCATGGGAGGCGTGTGTGCGGGTCTGGGTCTGGGTGTGTTGTCGGGCTGTGGGGGGTGTGGCTTTGCGGGTGCGTCGGGCCTAGCGCTGGGTGGGTTGGCGGCGGTGGTGGCTGCGGAGGAGGGTGAGGAGGAGGATGACGGCTGTGCGATGGATCTGCCGGCGTGCGGCGACATATCTGCGCTGCTAGCCATGTCGGATGATGACGACGCCTGAAGCAAAGCGGGCGACCTCGTCTGATGTGGTGTGGCGATTTGTTGGGTGGTGTCGGGCTGCTGCAAACATGTGTGTGCATTGTTCTTCTGTGCAGCATGGTCGCGCGGCTGGTAGTGTGTGTGGGCGTTTCCCGGCATGCGTGGAGCAGATGGCACGGATTGACACGCGGTGTGTTGTTTGGTGATGCGGAGTGGAGCCGCAACATTGTATGTGTTGTGCGTGTTTGGCATGTAGTCGCGCTGCTGTATGCCTCGGAACGCGCCGGAAGGGACCGGTCTGAGACCGGTACCTCTTCGAAAAGGCCACTGGGAGAGCTGCCGTGTAGGGTGAAGGAGGAGGCGCATTACTTGGAGCGCATTGCTTTAATGGTTTGGTTTGGTTTGGCGACTGTATAATGGTTCTATGTTGTGTGTTTGGAGCATGAGGTGGACACTCTGGTGTGGACGTTTAGCGCTCGTTGGGAGCCCCCGCTGGATCGCTGTACGTTGTGTTGTTGCCTCAGTAGTGGACGGAACGCTAGACTTGGAGCGGAAGGGAGGGTCGAGTAAGCCACGGCGGCAAGCTGCTTCCGAGGCGCCCTTCCGAGGCAGCCAACCGTTCGCGTCGGAAGTTTAATTCATTTAGATGGCGACCCGGGGTCGTTGTGTGGCACTACCCCAGCTAAGTGCATCTTAGCGGGGTTTGGTACCTTGGGTATGGTGTTTTGATGTGGATGGGTTTCTTTGTGGATGGGTTTCTTTTTCGCGCGTGAGGAGAGATGGATCGCGCTTCGTATCACATATAGACGCCGTGCAGCTGGGCTCTTGAAGCACAATTTTCTTCGACTGGCGGCAGAAAGAGAGAGAATCGTACATTTTGCGCAATGGGGCTACGACCGCGCAACGGAGGAGGGATCCCCTGTGGTCTAAATAGTTCCCCTTCTGGGTCTTCTGAACGGATGGGAGCAACCTTCTGCTCATTGTGTTGGCTCTGCGAGGAGAGATGTGGAGGCGTGCGTGCAGAGGCGTTGCGGAGAAGTGAAGTCTGTACAGGAGAAGCCGAGTGGGGACAACGACCCATGGGTCTGTCCGAAGATTTTCCAGCCATTTTGCGTTTCTGGATGTGTTTTGTGCGCGTGTGTGTAGCTGTGTGTGATTGTGGTCGCGTATAGTCGAAAGTCAGCGGCAGACGGAATGGTGCGGCGCATTTGCGGTGTGGTCTCGGTGCTGTGGTATCACATACACGTGCTCCCCACGACGACCCACGGGTCTCTGCCATTCCTGTGTCTGCTATGTCGGTGTGCTAACGGTGAAGTTTGCCGCATTGTTGATGGTGGTGGTTGGTTGTTTGCGTGATATACTCTTATCCTTTGAACCTATCGGTTAAAGCTTTTGCGTCCTATCAGGCGCGATTCGTGTATCCTATTTGAAGTGGCGACGGTGGATTCTGGCGGTGGCAGTGGTCGTGTTGTGGGGGCACCCGTCCTGAAGGGCCGAAGGGCGCTGCGGACGTAATAAGCGGGGCAGGTGACGGCTGTCCTTTGCAGCCCAGCCCCTGGCGAGACCCTGAAGGCACTCGCACGTGGTAATGCTTCTTTGCGCGGGCGGTATAGGTGTATAGCTGCAGGGCACACAGCCTTGTGCGCCCTGATCTGCTGGCAGTTGAGAGTCACATCGCATGATGCCTGGCAAACAATCCCCACACCCCACGCTGCAATCATTGAGCAGCAGGGGCGAGATCCTATCACCTCGAACTCCTTTCGGAATTGGCACCGCAGCGTTGCACTCGCCTGCTGTTTAGTCGGAGCGCTAGGGGGGCCTTGTGTCCCTGATGCGCGCAACATGTTTATAATTGATGTGATGCCCGTGTGCACTTTCCGGGCGGCTAATTGAGTTATTAAGTTGCTGTAACATTTCAATTTGGTCGGTATAAGCGAGATGATGTAGGGATGTGGGATTTGTCTTTTCGTCGTCATTGTAGTGGTGGTGGTGGTGGTGGTAGTGTTTTTTGTGGTGATGCGCCCCGGGGTCAACATCAGGTGAAGGTATGGAAGTTTAAACGCTCGACGCCATCTTGTCAGGACGAGATATAGCTCCATAAGTAAGGTTATTCTTGCTATAATGGTTCGAAGGTTAGCTGAGGCGAGAGGAATTGCCGTGTTGTTGGTGAGATGTGGGGCCTCCATTCTGGCGCATCAGAAGTAACCTTGCATCTGTTGCGGCGAGGTAGGTTAGCTGCATGGTCATTGCCCATCCAGAGAGAGACGAGACGGAGAGGCACGCTGTTTTCGTGCTCTGCACGGGGTTGCCAACCGCTGCTGAGTGCTGCGAATGTAAGGGTCGCCCGCCACTTCGCATCCCTCCCGCAGCTCCTTTCCAACCCATTATTGCCGTGAGACGTCCTGAACCCTGTCCACGACGCGCCCTTCAGCACCTCCCTAAGTGTCGTGTGTGGAGCAGGGCACGCTTGCAACAACAACAGCGTTTCAAAAGCGCGCCTTAGCTATACATCAAACGCCAGCTGGCAGACTATTGGATGTTAGGAAGTCGTCCTACAGTCGTCCTCTCACGTACATACCGCACAGCTGTGCAACGCTTACCCCTTCGCAATGCAACGTCTCACGTTCAGAACTGCCTTCAACATGTCAATACATTACATGAACACCTATGTCGCTGCCTTTCCGCATTGCACTGCACACTTCCTTTCCTGAGACCATGCCATGGCTAAGCCCGATGGTGTAGCGGTTGTATGTCGTGTCCGTAGTGTTTTGAAGCATTCACAGAGCCGCGTAACGGCGTTACGTTACGTGCGTGTGCATGCAGCCGCCCCCGCGCGTGGTCGGCTTTGAAGGCAGTCAGGTGGCTAGCTGCGCTCCTGTCTGCCTGTTAAGAGAAGGCCGGTCTGCATGCGTTCCGTGCGCACCATGTTGCAACAAGCTCGACCAGCATCTGCTACGACAACTGAGGCCAAAAGCCATGACAACTGAAACCGCAAACGGCCGCATCCCACACCTCAGCGTTGCCCGATACCCTGACATACCAGTCGTACATGCATTCAGGCAGACCTTAACCCCCTTGTCAAAACGGGTTAGTTTGTCTTTGACCCCCTCTAACTCCGCCCTTACGGACCCTCTCGGCTCGTTCGTCAGCACACCATGGAAACGCCTACCCTGCACCTGTGATGTACATACCGCCTCCATTCCATAAAACCACCACGACCACCCCACCCCAGCTCCACACCCGCCGCAGCTCAGTCGTCATCCTCCAGCAGCTCGATCACCTCCTGCCGGCCCCCCGCGCCTTTCGCGGGAGGCTGCTGCTGCTGCTGGGGAGCCGCTGCCGGAGCAGCAGTGCGCTGTCCCCCGCCCGGCACCGGCCCTGCACTCGTACCGCCAGGACCCCCGCCCATCCCGGCGCCTGCCGAAGCGGTGCTCACGCCCGCACCCGCACCCGCACTCGGGGCGGCTGGACGGAGGGGTCCCGCTGCTGCTGCTGCTGCTGCTGAGGGAGAGGGAGAGGACGAAAGGGCTGCGGACCTCGGCTGAGGCGCCCGGCGAGGCAGCGGCACCCCCGCAGCAGCAGCAGCTGGGGAGGAGGCGCCTAGTCCTCCCCCGCCCCGACTGCCTCCTATAGCAACGGCAGCAGAAGGCCCGGAAGGCCGCTGCGGCTGCACGCCTGGAGAGTTCTGCTGCTGGTGTTGCTGCTGCTGCTCAGCTCGTCCCGGGGTCGGACCGGCAACAGCATCGGCTTGAAGGCCCCTAGCGACTTGTCCATCCAACCTGCGCGGCAAGGGCGAACGCAAAGGGGAGTGGTGCCCAGCAGGTGCCCAAACAATTAGGTCCCCAATGCTCGGCAAAGGTGCTCCAGAACACCGCAAGTACTGATGCACAGCGCTGGGTTGCATGGCTACCGGTAAGACGAAGGCCTGGCGCAGGCTAGAACCTTACAGCTGCGAAGGCTTCTACGTACCTGCGGCGCTTGGGCAGCAGCTGAGCTTGGTCTTGTGCTGCTTCTGCGCTCCTCGCCAGGGAAGACAACCTTTGTGGCTCTTGATCCTGCCTCATCAGCTCCTCTAAATGCTGTTGCAGCTGTGCAAGGTGCTGCTGCTGCGGCTGCTGCTGCTGGTGTTGCTGCTCCGCCTGTGGCCCGTTGTGAGCCGCTTGCTGCCCCCTGCGCTGCGCCAATCCTTGCATGACCTCCTGCCGCTGCGGCGGCGGCTGTTGTTGCTGTTGCTGGTGCCGCTCTTGCTGCTGCAGCAGCAGCTGCTGTTGAAGCTTCTCTTGCTGCCGCATAAGGGCCCTCTGCAGCGCTATGCTCCTCTCAACCTCTTGCTGATGCCGCCGACGTTCCTGCATCTCGGCTTGCTCCCGCTGCTCCCTTTCTCTCTCCGCCTGCGCCTGCTCTCGCGCCCGCTGCTCCTCCTGCTGTCGTAACGCATCCAGCTGCTGCAACTGCGAGCGGCGTTTCGCCAGGCTCTCCGCGCGGTGCTGTGCCATCTCTTGCGCCGCCTGCTGCCGAGATGCCTCGGAGCGCTGCTCCTGCTCAAGCTGCTGCTGCGTACGCTCCGGCTGCTGCTGCGGCCGGTTGGATTCGGAACGCGGCAGCGGCGGAGGCATACGAAGCGGTGGCTGCGCTTGCGGCTGGGGCTGCGCTGTGGTCTGGCCATGGGTGTTGTTCGGGCCTCGATACCTGGGCAGCGCCGCTAGCAGCTGAGTGGCATGCAGCGGCTGCGGCAGCGGCTGCGGCCCGCTTGCAGCGGCAGCGCCGCTTTGCCGCCGTTCTACCGGCTGTTGCTGCTGCTGGCGCTGCTGCGCCGGCATGACCGGAGGAGCTTCGGTTCGTGCCGCCGCCGCAGCCGTGGACGTTGAGGCTGCACCAGCTGCTGCTGCGGAAGGGCCGCCGCCGCTCATCGCTCCCCCCTGCTCCGCGGCAGCACTGCCACGCCGGGAGATGCCGCCGCCACGGTCGCGATCGCGGTCACCCTCGCCGCTTCCATTCCGAGCTCCTCGAGTCGCGGAACCACTACCGGTAGCCGAGCCACCCTGTGCCGCCGCCGCCGCAGCAGCAGCAGCACTGCCCCGTCCTGCCTGCTGCTGTTGCGGCTGTTGCGGTTGTTGTGGCTGTTGCTGCCCGCCGGCCTGTCCGCCTCCGTGTCGTTTGTACAGCGATGTCACCAGGTGGGAGCCGTACTGCACCACACCGCCCAGCATGCCCAGTCCGGGAACCCGGGGAGGCCCGGAGCTGCTGCTGGGGGCCGCGGAGGGCGCCCCCGCTGCCCCCGCTGCTGCTGTTGCTGCTCCCGTATCACCACCACCAGCAGCAGCAGCAGCAGCAGCAGCAGCAGCACGAGCAGCCGCCCCAGCATCCATCAGCGCAGCAGCTGCAGCCGAGCGGCGCCGCGCCTCCTCCCGAATCAGGTTGGTCGCCAGCAGCTCCTCCGGGGTGAGGTCCAGCAGCGCGGGGTCGATGTCATCCTCCTCACCCGCCACATGCCGAGAAGCACCACCCATCATGCCGGCTGCTGCGGCTGCTGCTGCGGCGGCGGCAGCGGCGGCAGGTGCCTCTGCGGCTGAGGGCTGGATGCGGCGGAGGCGACGGAGCCGCCGGGAGCCGTCTCCGGTGCGCTGGGCGGCCTCCGCGTGGTACTGCTGGCGGGCGACGTGGAGGTCCTCCTGGGTTAGGGCCTGCGGGGGGGGGGGGGGGGAGAATGGGAAAAGGCACGGGGGGGGCGAGATGGGGTGTAGGTGCCGTGTTTGGGAGGCGGCCCAAGGGCAATGGATACGACACGAGGGAGGGGGTGGGGGTAGTTCATGGGCGGACTGCTTCATGCAGTGCAGGCACACTGGGTTGTATCATGTATGTAGGGATAAGGTGTTAAGAGCCTGCTAAGCCAAGCATAATTGTTTTCCCATAAAGAAGCGCACAGAAGTTAGGGGACAAGTTAGGGGACGGAGGAGGGTGTGAAGTGCATATAAGAGGCCCCGATCCGCTTCCGCCACGCCGCCCAAGCAAGCACCCGTGCCCCCGGCACTCACCCCCAACGGGTCGGGTGGCAGCTTGGACTTGTGGTAGTAGGCGTGCACCAGCGGGGCCAGGATCTCGGGGTCCTGCGGGTGTCGGTGGTGGTGTCGTACGACAGTCGGGGCATCGGAAACGGGTGAATCAGCGGGGGGGCGCGGTGGTGGTGAGGATGGCGGGGGGAGTAGCTTAGGTCCATGCAGCACACATGCCAAGCGCTAAGGAGCGTTGTCCCAAAGGAGCATTCCTAACCCCCACCCCCGCTCTCCCCATACGACGTACGACCACGTGTACTGCACTGCGGGTGGTGTACTCACATCCGCAAGCGCCATGAGCGCCTGGTCCCGGGTGTCCGCTAGTCCTCCTCCCGCTCCTCCTCCCGAGCCTCCATCTCCGCCGCCTCCCTCCGCTGCCGCCGCCGCCGTCACCGCCGCCCTCATCGCCGCCGCCGCTGCGGCCGCAGACGCCCCTCTGCCCCCTCCACCTCCGCCACCACCCCCTCCTGCTGCTGCATCCACCGCCATGGCTTGTATCATCGCCGCCGCCACCCGCGAGGAGGGGTCCGCCAGCCCCCGCAGCCATAGCCGCGCCACCTCGGGCTGCAGGCGCACGGGGGCGGTGTAGGTCCAGCGCTCCGCAGTCGCCTCGTGGGCCTTGCGAACTGCCTTCTTGTCCACCACCTGGGGGGGGGGGAGAAGGGAGGAAGGGCGGGAGGGAGGAGGGAGGGAGGGGGGTTGGGAGGGAAGGGAGGGGGCATGAAGGGCACACCGTACCAAACCACCAGTCCACCAGTCCACCAGTGCTGCGTTTTTAGTGCGTCTCTAGTTATTTCGGGTCTGTTCTTTGTGTGTGGGGTTGTGTCCTAGTTGGCTCCCTACGGACCGTCGGCGCGGCTGCTGGCTACCTCGATGTACTGGCGACGCTACTCTACCTCTCCCTATCCCTGTTCGCTCTGGCTTTGGTAAGGCTTCATTTTTTGGTAAGTGCTGGCACGTACTGGCTTCACTGATTCGGGTTGGGCGGGTCGGGCTGGCTCACATGTTGCAACCCATGTTGACGCCTTATCCCTCAGTCAGTTAGTTGTTTCCTCTTTACCTCCCCCTCCCTCCCTCCCTTCCCCACCCTGCTGAACAGCTCCTCCTTCTGCACGTTGTTGTCGTACACCAGCTCCTCCAGCGTGGCGGCGTACAGCAGGCGGTACACGAAGGTGGGGCGCACCTGACCGAACCGGTAGATGCGGGCGATGGCCTGAGCAGGTGGGGGGAGGTGGGAGGGGGAGGTAAAAAGAGGATTAACGAGCTGTGTGACGAGACTTTACCATGGGTTGCTATAGTGGTGAGGGGGGTGAGAAGGGAGGGGGAGGGAGAGGGGGGAGCTAAGCTGCAGGGCAGGGGCAGGAGTGTGCCGGACGACGGGCACCGGTGGGCGTCGAAGGGAGGGGTATGAAGAGTGCAGCGATAAGACATGAAAAGGTCCCACACCCTGCTACCCCCCCTCCCGGTTCTGTGGGGACTTCATCTTCCGACATCCCAGTACGTTCCTACTCGCGGCCAGTTTTCTTAACACACAAACACAGCCAGCGCCAGCCAGCCAGCCACACACATGTAGTGAAGACAGGACTGTGCAACAGACCCCAGCAGTCAGGCGGGCGGTCAGGCGGTCCGGCCCCACCTGCGCGTTGAAGACGGGGTTCCAGGGCACATCGAATATGACCATGCGGAAGGCGGTGGTCAGGTTGATGCCCAGCGAGCCGGCGCGCGAGGAAACCAGGAACACCTGCGAGCAGGGGGGCGGCGGGAGGGGGGAGGCGGGCGGGATGGGTGAGGGTTGAGCAGGAGGGGCGGGAGGTTGAAGCGAGCGGAGGCAGAGGGCGTCACACAACGGACAGCCACCCCCCCCCCTCATGCGCCCCGGCATCCCAACGGGTCAAGCACCCGTTCCCACCGCTCCCGCGGCGGCCACCACCCTCCCGGAGTACAGCTAGGACAGTAGGAACGGACGGGGCTGCACGCCCTATCGGCTTGGCTAAATTCGGGCTGGGCGGGTCGGGCTGGCTCACATGCTGCAAACCACGATGATGCCTTATCACACGGTCAGTTAGTTGTTTCCTCGTTACCCCCCTTCCCAACCCCCCATCCCTGCCCCCCCCCCTCCTGTCTCACCCTGGACGCCTCCCGGCGGTTGAAAGCGGTGATGAGCTCCTGCCGCCGCTCCGCCGCCACCCGGCCGTCAATGCGGTGGAACTGCTGCCCGCGCTCGTAGCCCAGCTGGCGGGTCAACATGTCCTGGGGGGGAGGAGGGGGAGGAGAGAGGAAGGAGAGGAAAGCATGATTCCACCGGCCAAGCCGCCTCCCCGTCCCCCTCCTCTTCCCATGACCCCTTCCTCCTCTTTACCCCTCCCCCCCTCTCCGGTTGGGACTCCAGTTGCTGCACTCCTCCTTTACTATGACCCGCCCCCCTCCCCCCCCCCTCCCCTCCCCTCCCCCCCCTCCCCCCCCCCCTCCCCCCCCCCTCCCCCCCCCCCTCCCCCCCCTCCCCCCCACTCCCCCCCACCTGCACGTCGTCCAGCACCTTGAGGCTCTGACTGAACACCACCAGCTTCTCACCCGCCTCGTGGCACACACTGGCGGGGGGGGATTGAGGGGGGGAGGGGGGGGGAGAGGAGAGGGGGAGGGGGATACATGGGCTAGTACGATTGGAAGGAGTGAGGTGGTGACGGCGGCCGTAAAGACCCGCCTCTCGCAGGTAAGCAGCGTCCAAAGTAGCGGGTGCGCTGCATGCGTGGCCATCCACGTAACCAACGTACATATGTGATGCCAGGTTGCACGACGCGTGGGGATGCCGCCGCCCCTATGAGCCCGTGTGATGCGGCCCTCCACTCTTTGCAGCTCAACTGATACCCCCTACCCACCCAACCCCACCCCACCCCACCCACCGCAGCAGCTTCTGCACGAACACGTGTTTCGGCAGCGGACCCCACAGCGGGTCCACTCCCCCTCCTTCTCCTCCTCCTCCTGCTCCCGCCCCCCCCTGCTGCAGCTCCCTCCTCAGCCCCGCCAGCCGCTCATGCAGCCGCTGACACAGCTCCAATGGCAGATGCAACGTCTCCTTGCTGCCGCCCTTGCCACCACCACCAGCAGCAGCAGCACCTGCAGCACCACCTCGCACCCCTCCCCCACCTCCTCCTCCTCCTCCGTGTGCAGCGCCATTACCGTTAGCAGCCCCCGCTACTACTGTGCCAGCACCCCCAGCACCTCCAGCACCTCCAGCACCCCCGGCATCCACGTCCATAGCCTCCGGTTGTGGTCCCCCTGCCCCTGCTGCCCCTGCCCCCGCTGCCGGCCCTGCTGGCCCCCCCTCCGCGGCGCTGCCAAACGTGAGCCGGCGGGCGACGTCGGCTGCGGGTGCCGCTGGTGTTGGTACCTGGGAGGGCGTGAGGACCACCTGGATGGCTGAGCCCTCCTCCTCCTCCTCCTCAACCACACCTGCAGGGGTGGAGGGGGAGTAGGAGTGGGGGTGGGGGGGATGGGTGTTGCACACGTCAGCAGCAGAGCGGAATCAGAAAATGACGGATCAGGGAAGGAATCAGGGAAGGGAGGGAATGTGACCGGTAGCGGTTCGCGGAGGTACCGTACAGGACCCGGTAGCGGTTCGCGTTTTGCCTTCTGCCAGTAACTCGAAAACAGCCACGCCCTCTCTCCTGTCCTCTTCCCCCCACCCCCTCCCCTCTCCCCGCCTCACCCTCCTCCACACACCCCCCCCCGCCCCCTCACCCTCCAGCACCACGCTGCTGCCTGCCGCCCCCGCCGCCCGCACCGCCCGCTCCAGCAGCTGCTCGAAGTCCCGCGGCGTGTTCATCACCTTGCGCAGCATCTCGAAGTCGCGGAACAGGCGGTAGCGCTCGGAGCTGGGGGGGAGCGACTCCAGCTCCTGCGGAGGAGGGGGAGGGTAGGTGAGGGAGTGGAAGGAATGGGAGAGGGGGGTGGAGCAGAGAAGTGAAGGGAGTAGTAGAGAGCAAAGGAAGGGTGCGGAGAGGGGAGAGGGTAATACCGCCCCCAGTTGGTTAGCCCCACCTGCAGGTACGCGCTGTAGAACTCCCGCTGGCGGTCGTTCAGGTCGAGCTCCAGCACCACCTCGCTCTTGGGGGGCAGCTCGGACTGGGGGGAGGAGGGGGAGCGGGAGGGGAGGGAGTGGTGAAAGGAGTTGAAGTGAACTGGAGAGCTTGAGAGGTAAGGCGGGGACATAAGGAGGTGCATATGCATGGAAGCAACGCCATAAACCATCAGCTGCCAGTTTCCTTAACCCCCTCCCTCGCCCCCACCTCCAGTATCTCGGGTCCCGCTCGGTGTATGAAGGCCCCGGTGATGTCGTTCAGCACTCCCAGCCGCTTGGCGCTCTCGCGGCGCTGGGAGGAGGTGGCGTTGCTCTGCTGGCCTGGGGGGAGGGAGGGTAGAGGGAGGGAGGGAGTGGAGAGGGTTGTATGGGCGGGGGACAGCAGGGGCGAGCCCGCATGGGGGGTGTGGTGAAGGGGGGACGAGCGGACGACACGACACGTGCTTTCCTCTTCGCTCGCGTGCCGCATCTGAGCAGTCTTGGTTGCCGACATGCGGCGCGGGTTCAACCAACTGAGCGTCGTGTGCAGATGTGTGGGAGGGGTTGTGCGCGGGGGCAGTCATGACAGTGCTGATACGGGTACTGCTTTCCGCAGCCCCCTAAGCAGCCCCCCCCCTGCCCTGCCCTGCCGTACCCTTCTTGATGACCTTTGAGAACTCCTCTCGGAAGCTCTGAGGGCGGGGGAGGGGGCGGGAGGGAGCAGGGAGGGGTTTCATTAACAGCAAGAGCGCCATACCGCATCGGGGTTTGGCTCAAACTACGGTAGGCTGTGGCGGCGCGTGCAACAGGAACAAGTGGCATGCACTGCCCCCTTGCACTCACCCCCTCCCCAACCACCCCCCAAGCCACCCCTTCACACATCCCAACCACCCCCCTCCCACCTCCTTCGTCCCCAGCAGGTCGGGCTGCACCCAGGTGAGCATGGTGTAGTACTCGTCCAGGTTGTTCTGAGGGGGGGGGCAGGGAGGGAGGGGGGAGAGGGAGAGCAGGGCAGTGGGCAGGTGGGAGACACCAACAACAGTCACAGCCACAACCGAGTGAGAGGGGTGTGAGATGGAAAGGGAAAGCGGGTGGAGACCGGCAGTGCTCCTGTCCCATCACCCCCCCTCGCACATCCCCACCCCTACCCGCCCCTAGCCTGTCCCTCGTTCTCCGCTGCCTGCCTCCCCTCCCTTCCGTTCCCTCCCCGCCCCCTCCTATGGTAGGTTTATTACGACCTCCGCCCCCCTCCCCCTCCACCTGCAGCGGGTACCCAGTCAGCGCCAGGCGGCGGGGGGTGCCCACTGCGCACATGGCGCGGTAGAGGCGCGAGGCGGGGTTGCGCAGCTCGTGAGCCTCGTCCACCACCACCAGCCCGCAGCCCTCAAGCACACAGCGCCGGAGCTGAGGAGGGGGGGCAAAGGGCGGGAGGGCGGAGGGGGTAAGGAGGGGGGCGGAGGGTGGGGGAGGGGGGCGGAGGGGTAGAGGTGGATAGTAAGGGGTGTGCTACTGGGATCAGCTGGGCCGCGTAACAGGACTGGTTGGGGGTGAGTGCGGGTGTGTACATGGGGTAAGTGGTCGCAATGGACTGCGTTAGCTGCATAGGATGTATGCAAGCACTGCATTCTAGAAATAGGTAGGGTTGTAGAGGGGCGGAGGGGCCACCAGTTCTAACAGCATGGTGAGGTATGCCCCGCGGCGCATGCAGGGCAAGCAGCGAGCCGCCCAGTCATCAGTCAGCAGGAGCTCCCGCGAGCAGCGCCAGGAGCCGCAGGGTGCCAATATTCATGCGCACGTGCATGCACTCGCGACCTACCTCCATCCGCTTCGCAGTCTTGGGATCCTCCTCTCGCTCCTCCGCCACCTCCGCCGTCCCCTCCTCAGCCTCCTCCCCCTCCTGCTCCGCCTCCTCCTCCACCTCACCCCCTCCTCCTCCTCCTCCTTCAACCCCCGCCACTCCTCCTCCTCCCCCTGCTCCTCCCGCAGCTCCTCCACCCTTATACGCCGAGGCGGAGGGCCTGCCCCGGCGCCTCCTGGTGCTACCACCCGCCGCTCCACCCGCCCCACCATCACCCCCATCCGCACCCCCTGCTGCTGCTGCTGCTGCCGCACCCCCACCCGCGCCCCCCCTGGCCGCCCCCAGCACCAGGTTGGCGAAGGTGGTGGAGCTGATGAGCAGCACGGAGCCGTTCTGCCGCCGCCAGCGACCCACCGCCCGCTCCACGTCGCCGCTCACCAGGTGCACCTGCGGGAGGGGGGGCGAGGGGGGGAGGAGGAGGGGGGAGGGGGGAGATGGGGAAAGAGGAGGGGGAGATAGAAGAGGAGGTGGGGTAAGAAGGGGAAACAGCATGCATGCTGTGAACGACAGTGGCAACCCGTCAGCTGCTGGCCACGCATCACACATCTCCATCCCTCCCCCAACTCGGTGCTCCCTCTACTCCACCCCAGCCCCCACCTCCTGCCCCTCCATGCCGCCCCCCCACCCCCCCCACCCCGCACCTTCTTGGAGATGAGGCGGCTGAGCGCCTCATCCGCGCTGCCCGGCTGCGGCAGCCAGGTGTGGAACTCCGAGTAGAAGTTGCACAGCACGTTGGCGGGAACCACCAGCAGCGCTCGGCGCCGGCCCCGCAACCCGTCGCAACCACCACCGTCATCGTCACCATCACCATCACCGGTGCCGGTCTCGCCGGTCTCGTCGGTCTCGTCGGGCCCGTCCTCCTGTTCGCCCTGCTCGCTGGTGGCCCCCGTCATGTTTTGCCCCAGAAACATGTGCAGGAAGACGATGGTGGAGAGGGTCTTGCCCAGCCCCATGGAGTGAGCCAGGATGCAGCCGCCCGCCGCATCCGCCTCCGCCTGGGTCTGAGGCGCGGGAAGGGAGGGGAGGGGAAAGGGAGGGGAGGGGAGGGGGAAGGGAGGGGAGGGGAGGGGAGGGGGAAGGGAGGGTCAATGGGAACAGACTTGTTGTTCGCACAAGTCGCCATCTGATACCCGTACCCTATCATATGCTATGTTCGCATGCACGGGTACAACACACGCAGTTGTGTATCAGCGGGAAAACAACGGCACACTACGTCTGCCCCCCACCTTCACATCCGCCAGGTGGTTGTCCACCAGGTTCTCCCACATGAAGCGCAGACCCGCCAGCTGGTGGCCTTTGAGGTGCGCCGCGAAGCAGGCGGCGATCTGGGCGTGGCCGGGGGGGGCAGGGGAGGGGAAGGTAGGGCAGGGGGAGGGGGAGAGCAGGGCAGGGGGAGGGGGAGAGCAGGGGGAGAAACTAAGTAACCGTAGGATGAGGGCCAAGGCAGGGGTCACACGCAGACGGACGGACCGTAGGGGCAAGGCTAGCTGAAGCAACGCGGTACTTGGCTTGGCTGACTCGGGGGGCCTCGGGCACCGGCCGGAGGGTAAACACCATGCATGCAGCATGCAAGCACAACTAGGAGGTGCGTTGGCGTCTTGGCGGGTCGTACGATAATAAGCACAAGTGGTTTGCACCATCTCCCCGCACGGACTGTCCTGGTATCAGGGGAACACGGGGAGGAGCCTACTGCACCCCTAGCGTACCCGGGGCAGCGGGCGGTCGTCGAAGAGCGGGCGGCTGCCCTCGTCGCCGGCGGACACGCCCCTCTCCAGCGCCACCCGCCTCTTGAGAGCCTGGTGGCGCAGCTTCTTCATTTCCCGCTGCCGCCGGTCCCACTGCGGGCAGAGGGGAGGTGGCAGGGGGGCCGCCATGGGGAGGGAGTGACCCATTGACGCATGCAGAGGCAGGCAAGCGGGGTTGCATTGGACAGAGCATGCAACACGCTAGTCGGCTTTGACAGTCTGAAATGGGCGCGCGACCAGAAGACGAGTGCACCCTCCTCACCTCCCTCTGCTTGTCCACCACTTTGCGTGCAGTGGGGTCGCTGAACCTGGTGCGCTTGGGGGGGCGGCCGCTGGGACCCGGAGGGGCGCCGCCGCCGCCGCGTCCTGGAGCGCCATGGCATGGGAGGACACGGGGGAACGGGGGGAGGATTCTTGGAGCGTCATGACGTGAGAGGACCTGGTGGCGTTTCGACCGCTGAAGGCGTGAGTTAGGCAAGAGGGTAACAGCTAAACCCGCGTGGACACGTCGTCTGTAAACTAATGTCCTGCATGCTTCCTCCACATGGGTTGCTGCCGATCCGTGTCCAAAATATCCTTGCGACAAACTCCAGCTACCGTGATACTCAACGCCGTTAACCTCTTTCCATCTGCTAAGCTTCTGAAAACTCCCAGTTGCCCTCACCTCCCCTGCCGGCCTTGCCGCCGGCACCGCCCTCTCGCTGCTCGTCCGAGTCGTCGTCCGACAGCAGCTCGATGACGTCGCCCGCATTCACGCCACCGCGGTCGTCGGCATCGTCGTCGGACCCATGGGTCACCGCCGCTCTTCTGAAACCGTGAACGGGCGGGGGCATGCGGGCGTTGGTTTGGGTTGGGTGGTATGTGGGCTGTGGTGACGGCTAAGGGGCGTCCAAGGCCCACGTGCGGTAAAGACCGGAAAGGAGAGCGGCTCCCAGTCATGCCAATCACGTCAACCAACCAACGTCATTCCCACACGCCAACGTCGCCAAGCAGCCAACCAACGCCAGCCCTGGCCCCCTGCTATACCGCAACGCCAGCCCCTGCGGACGACCATGTCGCTACCTTCCAGCCCCCGCTGTGCCCTTACGTTCCAGCCCCGCTGTGTGCTTGCCTGGTGGCTGCATGCACCTGCGCAGGCGCACTCCGCCGCCGCTTGCGATTGCCAGCGGGGTCGTCAGCCATGTCGGCGCCGCGTCCCTCTTCGGCTTCCTCCCCACCGCCCCTGTGCGGGAAGGCACACCACGCGACACGCATGCAGGCGCGGTGGGTCACACGGGGCCATGGCGTGGTACCGTGTTACTGGTGTGGAAGCGTGCCGGGGGTGCCGGGGGTGCAAGCTAGGTTGGGGCTTGGGTTGGGGCTCTTGCAGGTGTCAAGAGCAAGCAGAGGAGTGACAGAGAGGATTATCACATGGATGCATACTCCGCATTAGATAGGCTGGATGAGGAACAGGGAGAGGGGAGGGGAACAGCAGGGACGTAGCGCAAGCTGCGGACGGGCAGCTCGCCCCTTCCTAGGGGGCGTCCCGCTTTTGTTAGCGGCAGCCTTCCAACCAGCCTCCCGCACCTTCCCCCCCTCCCGCCTCGGCACCGGGGGACGCACCTGACGTCCTCGAACACTTGTCGGATCCTGCGCGGCTTGCCGAAAAACCTGCCGAAGAGGGCAACGGAACAGACACAGTTCGTACACAGGCTTACAGGCTAAAAAAGCATACATAAGCGTGAATGGCAGTGATTTGTTTTTAAGCGATAGGTCGCATTTTGAGCGTTAAATAATGGGTCCTAGTGCGGTGGGAAAGCGACGAGGTGTCTGCGCCCAGGGTATCTCATGATTTTCATCGCTCGGACCCCCCGTGCCAAACCCTCTACATGCTAGGGGTTTGGGTCCTGGAGGGCACTGGGACCAGTGAGACGCGCCTCCGCATTGGGGTTTAGAGTGCTATGGGCACGTGTGACCCCAGGAGGCGTCTTAGGAAGCGATAAGCCCCGAAATCCCTCTTGGCTGGTCGGGAAAGCGATAGGCGATTGTCCAAGTTTGATTTCTATCGCTCTAGCAGCGATGACAAATACCCCCTCGAAAACGAAAAAAACGCTGGTACATGGGCTTGTATAGGATACCTGGTACATAAGCATACACAGGCTTGTTTAGCGCAAGGCAGGAGTAGCGGTGGATCTCCGCTTGGCCGCCTGACAGCCGCAGTCAGTCATCAACAGCGGATCATAAACACGGCTACCGCCTAACAACGCTTAGCCACAACAACAACATTAGCCGCAACAACAGCAACACCCCGCCGCCCCACCTGTGCGTGTTGGGTACGTGCGCTTCGGACCGCCGTCTCAGCCTGCGCGCCACCTCCCTTGCCAGCTGGTCCCGCAGCCGCTCCTCATCGACATCAGGGTGCGCTGCGTCCTGCAGCTGCTTCAGGCGCTGGCACAGCCAGAAGTCCAACACGCGGCACGACACCTCCTTGGCTGGGGGGGAGAGGTGGGGGTGGGGCGGCGGAAGGGGGAGCGGGAGCGGGAGAGGAGTAGGCGGTAGACAGGGGCAGCAGGAGGGATGGGGGGTTAAATTAAGGGAAAACTGACGAACTGGATGACGAGGCTTTACCAGCAGGGGGGGGGGGTACAGCCGCTTTGCGCCCCACCCGATCCCTTGGGGGGCGCATCCCTTCCTTCCCCCCAGACAGCCCACCATGAGAGCTATCAGAATGACTGTCAGAATGAAAGGCGTAACTAAACGCACCAGTTTGGCCTTCGACGGCGGTTGCTGACACTTGCCGCCATGTGCCCTTGAGTGGCTCGCTCGGCGCCGGTTGCTGCTGCGGCTGCTGCGGCTCCTGTTCCCAGCACACCAGGGGGCTGGCCTGGCGGGAAGTGAAGAGCTCCCGGACGCACATCTTCGTGTAGGAAGCGCAGCCACGAGGCGGCAACAGCATGGTTGGGGAGGTGGGGGGTAGCTTGGAAAAGTGGGGGAATGGGGTGTAGGGGCTGGGTTTCACATCGAAAGCATCGGGTATATGGGAAGAGCTCGCGCACCACCCACAACATCCTTTTCCCCGCGCTTCTGCTTTTCCCCATATGCCTCATGCAAGCGCCGCACAACACCCCGTGTCCCCTACCCCGCCCCCTCCCGCTGCGTCCCCTCACCTGCGCGACCAATTGCCGGAGCTTCCCCCGGCCATGCCGCTGCCGTACTTCGTTCAGGTACAGCAACCGTACGAATGTGGGTTCCACATGCCCGCCGTACGCTCCGCTGTACCGTCCACCTCCCACTGAAGCGGCTCCGGAACCGCCTGCGGCTGCATGCGCGGCAGCATGCTCCGAGGGCTGGCCCCCTCGCCCATGCAGGTGGTTAACGTAGGAAGCATCGCCGTACCCCTCCACGATGGCGGCCCCTCGCCGGGCACCGGGAGCAGGGGACGCAGGTTCGGACTCCCGTGACTGATCCTGACCGGCGGCGGAGGCGGCTGCTGCCGCCGCTGCCGAGGGTGCTGCAGCGCTAGTTGCTGCTGTCGGTGCTGCTGCTGTTGGTGCATGCGAGCCCGCTGCATCGCCTGCCGTGGAGTCGGTGGAGCGGGTGTCTTCGGGGTCACCTGTGGCACATGCAAGGGGAATACAGATGTCGTCGCAGGGGGGGCCCTTGAGGGCCGCTGCAAGAGTGCCCCATCACGGTCTGTTTGTAGATACCAAGGGAGCAATGGCACGACAACGGCAAGCGGCAACGGAATAGGTATGATGACCATGGCAGCCCTCCCCATGCCAACGTTCGCCAAACCCGCACAAAAAAGTACCAACAAACGGAGAAGGACCGAGACCCAGACCAACCAACTCCCAGTACCCAACCCAAGACCCGACCAGCCAACCAACCTGCTGCTGCACCGCCTTCCCTCGCCTGGCGCCACCGCCAGGCTCCCGCGCGCTCCCAGCCCTGCACACCCCCGCCGATGGTGGCAGGGGCAGCAGTCGCCGGCAAGTGCTCCCGTACGTCCCGCCAGTGGAACCGGGCGGCCCTGTCGTACATCCGGACGAGCGCCAGCACCCGCACCGGCTTCCACACGGGGGCGCCGTCTGGGCCTGTCTCGCGCATTTGAAGCAGGGTGCCTCTGCGAGGGGATAGGTTTCGGAAACACGGTGAGCGCTGTTTGTATAAATGAACAGGATGTAGAAGAGCAAGACTTTTGAGCCTGCAAACTACGGGAATACTCAAGACACTGTCAACAAGAGACGCAGGAGACACTTGGCCATTTGGACTGCTTAACGGTGTGTAAACAGGCGGGGCTCGAGCACTTACTCCTCTAGGGGTAGGCGTCCCCACTCCTCCTTCCACTCCTCCAGCCTGCCACGTGTGTTGTGCGCGCCACGCGCAAAGGCCGGTCGCAGCCTCCAAGCCGGCAGCTGCATGCACGCGGGGTGAGGCGAGGCAGGGAGCCAATCGAAAGACGCAGCAAAGCAACAGGGCCATCACCCAATGGCGAACAACCCTCCACCCTACACCCACAGTTCGCACATCTTGCCTCCCCCCGCCTCGTCCTCCTTCCCGTTTCCTTCCCTACTATACTCTACTATCCTACTAATCCAGCCAAGTGCGGAATCTCCATCCCTCCATCAATCCCGCCCCCTCCCTTCCGCCTCCCGTCCTTCCACCGCACCTGTGCCACGCCACCTCCCGCGCCCAGCTCCACCCTGAACAGCCCCTCCTCCGTCCGCCCCGTCACCCTGCCGCCCTCCCGCCACACACCGTACTGCAGCGCCCCCGCCTCCGCCTCCCGCTCGCACCGCTCCGCCCCCTGCGCACCGCCGTTGCTGCCTGCCCCGCCCGCGCCGCCCTTCCCTGCCGCGCTGCCGCCCGCCTTGCTGGCACTGCCGTGAGGAGCGGAGGCGGCATGGGAGGCGGAAGGCGTGGGGGCACCCGCCGTCGGCGTCGCCGGCGCCGCCGTCAGCAGGACGTCCACCAGCTGCCCCACCTGGAGATCTTGCAGTACGACAGGGAAGGCCTTTTTTGCGGCGGCGACCTTGTCCGGAGGGCACCACCGGCTGATACGTCTGCCGGCGCCGTCAGCTGGCTGGACGGTGGCGGCGGCGCGGTCGCCCCCACCATCACCGCCGTTGGCGGTGGCATTGCCATTGGCGGCTTTAGCGTTGCCGGCGTCATCTTCCTCCTCCTCGTCATCAATGGGGACTCCCTCCGTCGACTGGCTGTGGACCTCACCCTCATCACCGCCGGCCCCGTGCTGCACTGCGGCTGCCAGCGTGGCTGCTGCTGCAGCGGCAGCAGCAGCGGCCCTGCCGGCTCCTCCCGCCTCTTTACCGCCAGGAGCGGCAGCAGCGGCAGCCGCACCCCCATCCGCCATCTCGACATCCGGCAGCTCCTGCGCTGCCGCCGCTCCGGAACCAGCTCCAGGCCCACCCGCTGGACCCACAGCAGCGCCGGGCAGCGCCGTCGCTGCCGCCGCCGCCGCCGCCGCCGCCGCCGCAGCAGCACCTGGGCCACCCGCAGCTGGGGCCCCCACCTCAGCCCCGTCTACCTCCATCGCGGCCTCGCCGCCTCCCTGCCCTGCATGCGCCGTCTCCTCCTGTCGGCCTCTCCGACCTGCCTTCCTGCCCTGCTGCTGCTCCTGCTGGTGTTGTTGCTGCTGCAGCTGTTGCCGCGCCTTGAAGCCCAGCAGCACCTCCGTCTGGTTGGGCGCCAGCCCGACCGCCGCATTGGGTCCCGCAGCACCTCCCGCCCCCTCCTCCTCCTCCTCCTCCTCCTCCTCTCCAATCTCCTCGCCCTCGCTGCCCAGTTCCTCCACTTCCCTCTCCTCCCTCTCCGCATCCTCATCATCAATGAAGGAGCTGTCGTAGCTACCGTCATCCTCCGACGCCTCCTCTTCCTCGCCCTCCTCATCCTCATCCCCACCCGCAGCAACGCCTCCTCCCGCCTCAGCACCCCCTCCGCCAGCATCCCTGCGGCCTCGCCGGCGGCCCCGCTGCTGCTCACCCTCTGCGTCCTTCTTCTTCCGCTCCTGCTGCTGCTCCTCCTCCTGTTGCTGCTGCTCCTCGGCCTCCTCTGCCGGCCCGCTCTCCCGCAGTTCCTGCAGCGCCTGCTGCTGCATGCCGGCCGCCTCCTGCTGCGACTTGCCCGCGATCAGCAGCTGCAGACGTAACCGCTCGGCCTCGGCCACCGACTCGGACAGCATGTCCACATACCTGTTTGCGGAAAAGTAGGCGCCTCGGCTAGTTACGAGGATGCCCATCACGTACAGGAGCTGTAGGTGGTGGAAATCTGCCACGGCAAGGCAACAATGCAACGCCGACAGCCGCCAGTATAAGGCATACACCCAGCAGCAGCAGCAGCCAACAACCAACACCTCTCCTTGCAAACAACATTGTCCATTCCCTCCCCAACGCCCCCTCCCAAACCGCCAACCCACTTCTTCTTCTCCTTCTGGAACTCCTCCTCCTTGTCCTTGTAGGCTGCGGCCACCTCCTGGCACACCTCCTGCGCCCGGCCCTCCAGGTGCCCAAGCTGCGCCAGCCAGGCGTCAGCGAACGTGCGGGCGGCGCTGCTGCTGCTGGGGCCCGCTGCTGCTGCTGCGCGCTGGGCTGCGTTCAGCGCACCGCGTGCGGGTCCTTGCGCGCGACGCCACCACATAAGCGCTTTTGCCTGGGGTTTGGCAGGGTTTGGCGGGGGTTTGGAAGCAGGATGGTTTCAAAAGTAAGGCGGGCGGCTTCAATCTGGGTGCTTCCCCAAGTCGACAGTCGTACCCTTCAGGGATGCAAAACACGAAGACGGTGCCAACCCTAAACCTAAAGCACCCACCGTACAGCCTAGACGCTGCCCAGACTCCTGCCTGCTTTCCAATCCACTTCCAAGCCAAGACCTCTGCCCTCCACCCGGACCACCAACCGTTCCAGCCTTCTGGGAATGGCCTGGGCTCCCTCTCCGCCCCCCACCTGCCCTTCTCCGCTCCCCACCTGTACCTCTCCGCCTCCTACCTACACCTCTCCGCCCCCTACCTGCACCTCCAGCCGCTCCCTGGACTGCTGCCACTCCCGCCGCAAGCGCCCCACCTCCTCCTGCAGCTCCGCCGCCAGCCGCTGTGCGGCCTCGCTGGCAGCGCGCACCGCGATGCGCTTCAGACGAGTCGACAGGTCGCGATCTGAGGGGGGCGACGGGGTACACAAGCAGGTGGGTAGGGAAGCAGCGGAGCGCGGTGCACGGGGGATGCAGGCAGCAAGCGGGTGTAGGGGTGCACGGCTGTAAGGAAGAACCCCATGAGTAACCATATGAGGTTCATGGTTATACATATATATAACCATATATGTTTCAAAGCACAGGAGGCAGGGGAGGACAGCGGGAGGAGAGTCCCCCGCGCTCCACGTGGCCCCACATGGCCCCCTGTCGTACCTCTGTGCTTGGATACCTCCCGAATCAGCCGTCGGATCTCTGCGCCGAGCACCGGGTCATCGAAACCACCACCACCGCCTTCACCATTGTCCTCGGCATCTCCTTCTTCGCCCCCTTCACCATGCGCCGCCGCCGCTGCCGCTGCGGCTGCTGCTGCGGCCTCCCCGTCCACCAGGACACGCCGCCCCGGCGGAGCCTTCTTCCTGCGGCCCCCACCGCCGCCCCTAGCACCACCGCTCGCTTCAGCAGCAGCTGCGGCAGCTACTGCGGCCGCCGCCGCAGCTGCAGCGGCGACAGCTGCCTGGCGGACGGGGACCGCGCTCGGATCAAGCTCGTCGCGTGCCGCGGTTTGGTCAAGGTCCTCTTCTTCATCCTTCTCCCCGTCCTCCTCCTCCTCAGGCTGCATGGCGATAACTGCGTCGCCGGCCGCCTCCGCACCACCCCTGTCAGCCACCCCCTCGGCTTCATCGCCGCCCTCCTCCACCTCGCTGTCATGGCTGATGAGGTCCTCATCATACTCGTCGTCCTGCATGGTGGTTGGATGATAGTTTCATGGTGGTTGCATGGTGGTGGTGCAAACTTGCAGTGCAAAATAGGCCCTCCTCGCACGTCATGCACCCTTCACGGGTAACCTCCACCAAACCTCCTCCAAACCCGCTTCGGAACGGCCCCGGATCACAGCCGCCCCCCTCCAGCCCCCTCCATCCTCCACCCCTCACCTCATCCATGTGCGCAATCTCCGCTAGGAACGCCCGGTTGTCCACCTCCTCCTCCTCCGCATCAAGCTCCTCATCCGCAAACACCTCACCCGCGCCTCCTGCAGCAGCAGCACCCCGGGAAGCAAAGAACCCGCCAGAGCGGGGAACGCCAGATGTCTCGCGCCCGTCGTCTTCGCCCTGGGAGTCTTCTTCGGCCTCGGGTGGTCCGTCCGCCGACAAGGGCCCGGACGTGTTTTGCAGCAGGAACTTCATCACCTCCCTGTGATGATGTTAAGCAAAAGTCGGCAAGTCAAAGTCGGATGGGCATTGCAACCACTGCCGCAGAACGCGCAGCTGCAGGATGCTTGGGTACCGTGGCAGGTACAAGCAGCCATTAGAGGCCCCATACCCTCTCAATATCCCTGTGGGCATTCCTGTCCGGGCCTCGTTACTGCACGATGGCTTCCTATTTCTCCATGCGAGGCGTAACCAGGGCCATGTACGGCAACCTAACTTAGAACATGCTCCACGACCCATATACGGCACACAGCGCACGTACGGCACTGCAGCATGCACTCCTCACCTGCGCGTCTTCTTGTAGCAGGGAACGTAGCCGATGCTGCCGTCAGGGTGCTGAACCCGAACCCGGTCCCGGAACTCGTTCCTCCATCTGGGTTAAGGAGGACACGGGGGTCGGACACGGACATGGATACTGGTATGATGGGGCATGGTGGGGCAGGTCACGGGCATGGCGGGACAAGCCAGCAGGCCATGACGGGAGGCAGTTACAATCTAGGCACATGATGGCGTGTGCGTGGCAGAGGCGACGGAGCAACAAGGATCAGGCAAAGGATAGGGTACGACAGGAGCCGTACAGGACTCTGTATTCTCATTCGGGTGGCCGAGACAGCTATAGGGAACAGCTGTGTACCAGAGCACTGGACGGAACCCTCCAGGGGGGTGGAGGTGCAGGAGGTGCAGGAGGATGCAGGTGACCTTGTGGCCAAGGACATGCCGTGCACATCGCTGCACTCACTCTTCCAGGTCCTCCGGCCCATGCGATCCCGGCCAGTTGCTGCTCACGCCGAACTTCGGGTGCCCTGCGACCGGGGACCAACGCGGGTGGGGTGGGGTACGGGAGATGCGCGTTGTGGACTCGGGGCGGTGTGCAAGAGGCAGCTCAGGCGCAGCTGGGCACTGCCAGGCAGCACCCATGCACAGGTACAGGGTGCTGCCATGCAGGCAGCAACAGATGGCATGCAACCATGCAAGGCATGCATGCAGGGTGCAGGGGAGTCTACCCAACCTGCCGCACAATGGCAACCTCATCGGGGGCTAACCTCACCGTAATAGTACCAAAGCCACTTGTCTTCCTCCGACGCACGGCCCAGGTCCTCCTCTTCTTCTTCCTCCTCCGTTTCCTGCTCTTCCATCTCTTCCTCCGCCAACGCCACGTCAGCGGACGTGCGCTCTTCGTCATCCTGGTCCATGGCTTCCGCGCCGCCTCCTTCACCGCTTCCACCAGCCCCGTCACTCCCAGCAGCCCCGTCTGTCGCTGCGTCCGACAGGGCGACCCGCCGCGGGTTGACCCGGCGAGGATCAGCAGCGGCAGCAGAATCAGTAGCCGCGGCGTCAGCGGCAGCACCTGCGCTTGCAGCCGCTGCTGCCGGGGCTGGTGCGCCCTCAGGCTGTTGTTGCTGGTGCTGTTGGAGCTGAGGGGCGAGGCTCTGTGGGTTCACGGCCTCTGAAAGGCTCATGGTCTGGGCCCCAGCTTCCTCCTCCTCCTCAGCTGCGCCCCCCGCAACAGTGTCCAGGGGCGGCCGTACGTTGCCCGCAAGGGGGCCTTCTGCCCCGCCTGAGCTTGAGCCTGCAACGGGGGTTGAAGCTGCAGCAGCGCCGGCTGCAGGTACGTTGGGCCCCTCGTGGCCCATGTCGACCGCATCCGCCATTTGCGTGTCAGCTTCGGCATCGTCGCTGGTCTGCGCCGCTCTGCCGTCATGCTGAAATACGGTGCCAACCCGGGCGGCTTCTCCAGAAGGCGCAGGGTCGCGTACATGGCGTTCGACATCTTCGGGTTCGTCGGCAACCCTATCATCGCCTTCGGCTATGCCGGTCCGGTGGCCGGCCTCATTTTGGCCGGGTGCAGAGCGAGGGGCTTTAAGGGGAACGCCTTGAGCGTGGGGAGGCAGGTGTGCAGGACCATCTAGCGCGGCATTTGCGGGCCCCGGTTGAGGTTGGGGCCCTGCCGCGTTACCGGCTGCGCTTGCCGAAGCGGCGTCCTCATTAGCAATTAATTTTTGGGCATACTCGACAAGGCTTGGAGCTAGGTGGGGCCTGTTAAGCACAATCTGCTCGAGCTCCTCAATGGGGTCCAGAAGCTCGAGGTTTTCTGTCAAATCATGAGTCAAGTTTAAAGCACATTGTTGTAACTGCCATAGGTGAGTCCTCAACCTTGTGAAAAAACTCATCGCGCTGCTTGCTTGCCCCGAAAGTGGGGCAGTCGATATTATGCCATGCCTTATCTCCAAAGAAGAACGCCCTATGGTCCTATCGGGACTGGTACTGACTATTAGTTGCAATTATATTACCAGGGCGCCACGGTGAACGCGCTGCGTAGGGTATGAGCACAGCATGGAGGGCAGGACATGAAGGGCACAGCATCTAGAGTACGGTTAGTGGCTGATGCCCCTTCCTCTCCCGCTGGTTAATTTTAGTTTTGTTATTCTCCCGAAGATGCAGTACTTGGGGGGACACGGATCACTTGTTGCGTTATCCTCTTAAAGCATAACTACACCCTTTATCCGCGGAGTACTTGGCCAACCTTGTGCAATCCTAACCTTTCACAAATGACACTATAAGTGCAAATGCGGTTCTTCTACGGGGATAGCCGCAGGCAAGCCCTCTTGGCTGCCATGGCTATTCCCGTTCTCTCCTTCATGGTCTGCTGGGTCTTTGTCTTCCCGGCATCATACTGGTATGTTACCTCATGTAGTTGGAGTAGATTCTTAAGCGCATGGTGCTGTCCACATTCCATTCCATCGCGTGGCCCAGTCATATCCTTGTACTGAACCCCTCAAGCAGTTCACGTCACGCCTTCATTCACATCCCATTCACAGGACGGGCTGGTGGCTTTCGCAAGACGCACGCCTCGCCAACCTTGGCGCGCTTCCCTACATCTCCGTCCCGCTCGATGTCTTCACGAAGTACCGCGGCAACCCAGCGGTCAAGTTCACGCACCTGCTGCCTTCTGGCATCTGGGCGCTTTGCGGCGCGTTGCAGCTCCTGCCGCGCCTGCGAAGGACAGCGCCCCGCCTGCACAGGCTGTCTGGCCGCGTAATGCTGGCTTGCGCGGCCTCAATGGCGATCGGATACCTCATTATGGAGGCACGATACATGGTTCTGGACGAGGCTTGGTCCCAGCACATGGTGCCCCCTGCTGCTGCTGTTGCAGCGGCAGCGGTGCCAGGCTATGTTGGCACTACCAATGACAGCAATAACCGCGAAAACGCGTCCTTCAAACCTCAAGGCGGCGGCTTGCATGAAGGCGACGGCATCGGCGCTGCCATGGCCACCATCATCGGCACTATTGCAAACACCAGCGCAAGCGGCAACATCCATGTCGCAGGCATTGCACGCAATCGACCCATGGGTCTGCTGCTGCTGCGTCTGGTAACCTGCTGGTTCATTACGACCGCCTACCTCGCCTTCAAACACGCGCGGGCGAGGCGCTTTCAGTGGCATGCAGACTGGGCTGTACGACACGTGGCCTCAGGCGGCTGGGTTATCGTGCAGCGCCTGCTGATCATCCTGCTGGCGTCAGCAGCGCGAGCGGCTGGGGTGGTATGGAGCGACAGGCAGCGGCAGGAGCTGTTTATCGTGTTGGAGCAGGTGTCCATGGCCGCATGCATCGCTGGGGCGGAGGTGCTGCTGCAGCGGCGGCAGTGGAGCAAGGAGGCGGCTGCAGCGCCGCTGAGGGGTGCGAGGGGTGCGGGCGGAGGTGCTGGGGACACCGTGGGACGGGGAGTTGCGGGGGTGTCCAAGTCCAAGCAGAAGGCCGGCTAGCGTCCAGGGCTGCGCGGGAGGCTGCGGATACCGGTAGTGAAGGAGTTGGCATGGGGTGTGGTGCTGGGGCAATGTGAGGGGTAATGAGGGAAGGGAGGCTTGGCGATGGGAAGCTTGGTCGTGTCACGCACCAAGGCATGTTGCCAACGAGGTTGCGAGGAGAACGTTGCGAGGTTGCGCGGTAGACCTAGGGCAGGTCAGTATAGCGCTTGGGTTTAGGAGGTTTAGGCTACTATCCAAACAGGACCACGATTTGCCTAATTTGCATGCATGGTGTTATGATACCATAACTGCCGTAGCTTTCGAAATGTTTTGTAGCATGGCCACTCATGCAATGGCTGTATGGTGATTGTATATTTGATGCAAGGGTTGTCTAAATTGATTCGACGACGTAGACGTCTCATGTGCATGTGTATTCGCTGAGCATGACTGTATCCTACGGGGGGAAACCTATGGCGGTACGTTTGGACGTTACATTGTGAGTATTGAGCTGCTGCTTGGATTGCTGGCACTGCGAGTCGTTAGGATTGCAGACACTTTTATCGTAACATGCTATTTACATAGGATTGCTGGCACTGTCTTTATAATAAGACAGGCGGTTTTGCTGGGATTGCTCGCACCTTCGTCGTAAACTTGCTGTTACACTGAATTGGGACTTTCGTTGTTAGCTTGTTCTTCATCTTCAAGGAATGTTGGCACTGTCGTCGCCAATACTGCTGTTTACAACAGATACTCGTATAAAACGTAGGATTTATGAAGGAGTCATATCCATTATAGAAGATTTTATTGCGTCGATTGTTGGGTAGCTTGCTTGTTTAGTTTGTCGGGCAATGTTTCCTTGTTGCTTTCGGCAAGGCGACACAACAACAGACGCCACCGAGCGTTTTGGGCCCTTGCCCTTTCAGTAATATATCCACACCGCAATTGCTATGCCATTGAGTTGTTGCTTGCTTTGATTGCAATGTCTTCTTTTGATATATACGGCAGTTGGGACACAGGTGGTCCGTGGGTCGGCGTGTCGATGGCTCCGAGGTTCCTCACACGCGTTGAGCTCACCTGACAGGGCAGTACTTCGCCCGTCCAACGCGAGTCTAGCTCGCGTCAACACGCGACAAGCAAGCCACACGTTGCTGAGCTGCTGCTAACCTCAAATCCCTCTTGTGGCTGCTGTTACCGGTAGCTGTCTGCGGTCGCAGAGCAAAATAGAGCTTCCGACGCGCAATTATGGCTTCGTAGTACGTCTTGTCGAGCGCAGCTACACGCAACGCCAGCTGGCTTCGTGTCTCGTGTCCTTGACTCGTTGTCGTCAGCAAGGTGCCGGAAAACAGAAAGGCCGTCCCATACCGTCATCGCCGCCCCTTTGCCTGCCTTACCTATACAGCAATACAGCACACACATTGCAAAACCTACACACCTTCATTTTGAACCCGTCCCAGCTGAGAGAGTCTGCAGCCCGCTGTGAGCAGCACTTGCGTCATGACGCCGGCAGCAGCCGCCTCCGCGCCCCCAAGCAGCCGGCAGCTCGGCGCCATTTTCGCCTGCACTGCTGCCACCGCTAGTAGCAGCCCCCGCCCCTTCCCGCGTGCGCCATCAGCTGGCCACGCGCGGCGGCGAGCGTGCACGCCAGCTCCGACTCACTCCCTGGGTCCTGCAGCTGCTGCCGCTGCTGCTGCTGCCTCCGGATTAGGTCGCGCTGGTAAGAAACATGAGGCCTTGACGTTGCCATTGTACTGTTGGACCTTCTCATGGTGGACATGATACGTAGCTTGAGGAGGCGGTCTAATGCTTTGCGTTCAGCAGGGTCTTGCTTGCATACGTGTCCTCCCTCGGCACCTCACCTAGTGTTCAGCTTCGGCCGGCTCCGGTCCTCGCATGCCCGCAACATTGCAGCGCCTAGCGCGATCTCTTCGCCTCACGTCCCCACATTTGGAGCTAAACGTGCCGGTAGCTGAACACCGTGTTCCCCCGCTTGGCAGGCCTGTCGGGGGGCTACTTGTCGTCGCTGAGGCGCCGGGTCACCCCAGCCGCGCCGACAGCGGCAGCAGCAGGAGCAGCTGGTGCTGCGGCGGCCGCAGGCGGGGCAGCTGGGCGCTCCTCCGCCCGCCGACATGCGCAACAGCAACAGCAGCAGGAGCTTGAGGAGGAGATTGAGCGCGAGCTGCAGCAGCAGCAGCAGTACAGTTCGGGGGAGCTGGGGCGCGGCGAGCGGCGGAACGTCGCCGAGCTGGACGCGGGGAGGTTCCGACTGCATGAGAGTGTGCACTTCTGGCAGGGCTTCCTGTCCACACCGCTGGACCAACGAGGCGGGTAGGAGCCTGGGGGTATATGCGGGAAACGGACGAGCTGTATGACGAGGCTCGGGAGGGAAGGGGTGGAGGGCGGGGGCAGGGGTTGAGAGGTTGTAGTTGGAGTGGGAAACACTGGATTGGAAATGGAGGAAGGGCATCAGTAGATGGCGGTGGCAAGCTGGCAACAAACATGGCTTCATGGGGCGTGTTGGGCCGGGTGATCTGGGTGCCACCCTCCTTCTCCCTCTTCTCCTCCACCTCCCTCTCATCCTCCTCCGCAGGCTTGTGGAGTTGCTGCGATCCGCGCTGGCCACGCTGGACCAGTTGACCCATGGGTCGCGCACCTCGGACCCGCTCTCCACCGCCTACTGGGCGTACCACGCGGCGCGACTGTCGTTCTTCGTGGGGCAGGTACGAGTGTACGGGGGGGGGAGGTGCGGATGGAAGTTAGGTGGTGTGCAGGTTGGAGATCCCGCACGTCCTTGAATACCGGTACAGAAGAGGAATAAGACGAACACAGCAAGAGAGCAAGCCCGCGAGTGGACCCTTGACGATGTGCTGCGTCCGTACCAGTTCATGTGACGATGCGCCGCCTCCCTACTTCATGGAGCATTTCCACCTCTCATGTTTTGCCGAAAGAGTACTGAACTGCCGATCTTCAAGCCCAGGATCTCTGCTTACTGCACTGACGCAGGCTTTGGCGGGCCTGCTAGCGCATGAGGCGAGCGAGGTGGTGGCGTCCGCAGGACTGCCGGGATTCCCTCAGCTTCAGCCGCAGGGCCCGCAGCGGGAAGGCCAACCGTCGCCGCCGCCCTCGTCTTCCCCGCCGCCACAAGACCATCAAGGCCGCCAGCAGCAGCGAGTGTCGCTGCTATCACCAAGGAAGATTGCCCGGGCCAACAACAGCAACAGCAGCAGCAGCAGCGGCAGTGGCAGTGGCAGTTCCAGCTCCAGCGGCGGCGGCGGTGGTGGAAAGGACGGGGGCCGCGAGGACGTCATGCAGACGCTAGCGCAGCAGGGCCTGGACTGGATCCAGGAGTCGATTGCCATGTTTGCTCAGGTGGGCGCTTGCAGCTGCCCGGCTGCTAGTGAGGAACACATACGACACGAGTGTAGGAGCATGCAAGAAAGCTGCATGTACGCCGCGGGGGGGGGGCTGCTGAGGGGCGACCCTGGTCCCCCCGCCGTTAGGGTCGGCGAACTGTGATGTGCGGATGACATGTTGCCTCTTATCATAATGAGATCTCGTGTTGGACCTGATGCGCTGACGCAAAGGAGCGATGACAGCGCTGACGTAATCGGAGGGACACGGGCTCATCCGGAGGACTGCTCCACTGCTCACTCCGGCACATGCCAGCGTCCAAATGCCATGGAATCCAGGTTGTGGTAGCTTCCCCATGGGGCTTCCAACCTCCCTCGGCCCCCTCCCTCCCATAGGATCTGGACAACATCCGGGGGGGGCACTACCCCATGCCCTGGGACATGACCACCCCCGGACACCGCCAGTTCAACCCCGCATTCGTACTCGCCAGGTCCGTCGGTTAGGTGTGGGTTAGTCATATTGCTCTTGATACGTCCTATCGTTGGTGAGGCAGGGGTGAGGTTCCGGTACCCTTTGTCAACCCATACTCATGCGGGAGCAAACCAAGGGAGAGCTGCTTACCAAGGGCGAAAACTCGTTTCTGCGTAATGCGAAACTCGCCTCGCCTCGCCTCGCCTCGCTGTAATCTGCTATGCCACGCCATGCCGAGATGCCGTACCCTGTCATCATCCTGGCATCATACTGTCGTACATCGCCGTGTGCTGTGCAGGACGGCCCAGTTCGTACAGAGCAGTGTGGCCACCATGGGTCGCCAGGCCCGCCAGCAGCCGCAGCCGCTGTGGTTGCGCAGCGACCTGTACCCGCAGTACTACACCAAGACATTCCACTTCCAGACGGACGGGTGGTTCTCGGATAGGTGCGTCGATCGGCGTCCGTTGGGAGTGCGTCTAGTTGGGAGTGTGTTGGAATGCGTTGAAATGTGTACGGTGGCGATTGCCGTACCCTGAACAACGGTTGCCGTTAGCTGAGGAGGCTTCAAGCAGGACTTAAGTACGGCCGCATCACGCCGGCGGAGTACGGCAGATGTCAGCGGGAAGACACTTCTTCAGCATGCCTGGACACGTTCGGGATGTATGCTTCACAAACCCTCACACGTCTTTTGATCTCGCCTTTGATTTCGCCTTTGATCTCGCATTGATCTATTCATTCGTGCAAAACACGCGCCGGTACTCCTGCGCCCTGCCCCCTGCCTCCTGCCGCCCCCCCCCTCAGGTCCGCCCGCGTGTACGAGCACTCCACCGAGACGCTGTTCCTGGGCCGGCAGGACGCCATGCAGCGCACCTCGCTGCTGCCCCTTGCGGCCTTCCTGGCGGAGGTGCAGGAGGCGGGGGCGGCGGGGCGGAGGCCGGGGGGCAGCAGGCGGGTGGGGCAGCTGAGGCTGCTGGAGGTGGCGGCGGGGACGGGGCGGCTGCATACATTCATCAAGGTGAGGCAGGCGGTGGGGCTTGCTGTGGGAGGTGCTGTACCGGTAGTTACCGGTGTAGCAGGAAGGGAAAGGTTG